ATGACCGCCACAGCTTCCGCTCCTTCATCATGACCACCCGTCCATCTGCGCCGTCCTCCTCGTCCTCGTCGACGACGGCGCCGGCAGCAGCAGCAATGGCATCACCCTCGACGGGATCCATAGGCTCCCCCTCCCTCAGCGCTCCACCAATACGCATGCGACACCCTCTTCCAGCCCCACCACTTCAATGTGCACAGCCACCGCTCCACAGAAGCAGGTCCATCAAGTCCTCCCACCATCATCAACCCACCTCGTCGTCTGCTTCATCTGCATACTCCACAAATCGTACATCGCCCCGGTACAGCTATCCAGGCACACTCTCCTCGATCTCGCCTTCCACATCGCCCTACTACTCGAGCTCGCATCCGAGTCCCGTGCCTTCGACCACCAGCTCGGCAGGTGGCAGCAGCGTCAGTGGCGGGAGCAGCCTTCGCACCCCGCCTGATCTTCTCGTCAACGGTGCCAGCGTCGGCCACACGGGCAAAGGGTTGCAGCAGTTGGCGGTCAACAGCTGGAACGGTCAGCTGGTCAAACCAAGGCCACCGCGTAATCTCGCCAAGGAGGAGATTCGGAGAAGGCAGTCTTTGCTGAAAGATTTGCCTCAACTGCCGCCGACCTTCTCACTGCCGAGTCCGCCTCCCAGTCCCAAGCTCGAACCGGCCCGAATCAAAAAGCGGAGAAGAGACTCGGTAGACACCAACGACGACCCAGCAGCACCGCTTCCACCATCTTCACGGCAGCCCGAACACCACCGTTCATCGACCATCGCCCTCGCCAACCACACACGGCATCGCTCCCTCACACCTTCCACCCTCTCCTCGCTAGCAGCAGCCTACCGCTCCGCCGCACGCGAGCTCAAGCACGCCGCGGACGCGCGAGCTTCGTCGCTCTCCGCCTCTCGCCCCTCCTACCTCGCTGCCCGCCCTACACAAGTGTCGGCGCTGGAGCAGCTCGACGCAGTGCTGCTCTTCTGCTACGCCTTCTGGTTGGACGATCTCGCCGCCTCTTGCCCCGGTGGGGGATGCATCGCCAAAAACTGGATCAGCCTCTTTGGTCTGCTTCGCTACGCCACCAATGCGCACTCGGACCTGGGCAACGACGTGCTCCTCGGCGTCTGTCGCTTGGTCGAATCGGCCGTCCTGCGCAAGCTGCACGCCCACGATTCCGCGGTGCTGCTCAAGACGCTCACCGCGAACACCGGAGTGTCGATGGGAGAGGTGACGCAGATGGTGCAGCGCCAGACAGCCGATTTGGAGCGGTCCGATCGGTTGGCGGCGCAAGCGAGGAATTTGCTCTCGCTGAGCAATCTGGCAGCGTCGCATCCGGAGTTGCTCGCGAAAGCGCTCGGTTCGACCGTGGTGAATAGCGAGGCTGCTGCGAAGAGTGTTGATCCCGGTAGCGAGGAGAGTTGCGGGGGGCTAGCGTGGCCGCTGGACAGTATGAGTGCCATGCCGTTCCTGGTGGCTTTTGGGAGGTGTGCCGTTGCCGAACAGGCAAGGCGGGCGGGGGTGGAGTTTGCGCTCAAGGTGGTCGAGCGCGAGTGATTGCTCCTCATCCTATCGTTTGCCTGGCTCAGCCGCGACCATCCAATCCTCTCGTTCGCATCCAACCCTCCGGCTTCACGTCGTCTCCCATCTCCCTGTCCTTCTTTCTAGCTTTGGTCGCCTGCTTTCATCCTGCATCACCTCATCCTCTCGCTCAGTGCCATCTCTTCATCTGCTTCGGTCTTCTATCATCTTGCTTACCCTCGCTCATACTTCGCATATCTTCATCGTCATCATTTGCTCATCCCTGCACTCTTGTACCGTTTTTCTTGCAATGCTTTCATTTGTTCACGCGCTGGTTTGGTCTGTTTCACTTGCGATGCTTCCATCTGTTCGTGCACTTCATCCGATGCGTTTTTTCTGGCACTGCCTCATCCAGTTGGGTTTGATTGTGAAGAGAGAGAGGGGGTGGCGAGGCTCCCTCTGCGGCCGATCGCGTGGCTCGCTGGGTGGGAGGGTTCTGAGCAAGCGTCGATCCCCTTTTTTGCCCTCGATCGGGCGAGAGGGGTGCTTCTGACGAGCTTCCAACGCATTGCATGCGCAGCCTGAGACAAACACAGGTGATGCTTCTAGGGAATTGCGAACACTTTCCGACCAGGGGTGGTTCAAGGGGATGCTTAGTCTTGCTCCACGCACACAGCAGGAGATGAAGCGTGGGTCGAATGCGATCCTCCGATGACCACTCGCTCTGACGAGCTTCAGCCGTTCCGCACGTCCAAAGGCCGAATGGCAGTCTGGAGACGTTAAACAGCTCAATTGTCCGCAGGCATAAAACGAATTTCCCTCAGCGCGTCACTTCTTCCCCTTCGCCTTTCCCTTTCCCTTCGCTCCAGCACCCGCTTTGGGCTTCTTAACCAACTTGTCCTTGGCCAAATCATCCTCGTCCCCGTCCTTCTCATCCTCCTTATCGTCCTCCACCACCTCCTCCTCCACCGCGTCTTCCAAATCGGGCACTTCGGCCTTGGCGATTTTCATCTTGGCGCCGACGTCGCTCGCCTTGTTGAAGGCGATCGGGTGACTACCCGCGTTGTACTTCCTCGTAAACCCGGCCTTGACGGGCGCAGGGATGCTTTTGAGTACGGCTTCGGCGTTGTTCGGCTCCAGCCCGAGCTCCAGGATGCTCTCCCGATCCTCGATGGCTAGGTAGTATTCGTCCATGATTTCGATCACTTCGTCCACCCCGTCGGCGCCGTTCTGCACCATCGGTTGGATCAATCGCCCCCACAGGCTAGGCAGGTAGTGCTGTCGCACATCGTGTCGACTTCCGGAGCAGACCAGCCGCATCTTTGCTTGGAGATCAACGACCGCCCGCGTGAGACGCTGCTGCTTGCTGTTTTGCCCGAGCCACGCGGGGAACGAGGGGAAGCCGCCCTCGGTGCCGCCGTAGATGTAGCTGCACGGTCGGACCGACGAGGCGATGGCGTGCAGCGGCATGAGCGACCAGTGCTGTTCCGAACCGTGGATCATGCGGTCTACCACGTCGCCGTCGGAAATGCTGGCGGCTGCCTTGCGCAGCAGTTCCAGATGCTTGAGCTGTTGACGAGGACCGCTCTCGCGAGAGGCGAGAACGGGTCGTGCCTTGACGTAGTTCTCTGCAACCATCAGCGGCACAAAGCTGTGATCTTGGAAGTACAAGTCTGCCTTGTCGTTGAGCGTCTTCCTGGATGTGGCGTTGAACATGCCCGGCGAAGACAGGTCGGAGTAGAGCGAGAACGGGGTGTGCAGGCCCGGTTTGGAGTTTTCCAATCCGAGCTGTTTGGATTCGTCAAAGTCCATCGTGTCGTTGGAGAGCTTCCAGGTGGAGAGCATGTTGATGACCGATCGAATATCAGACTGCGCCGCCTCGATGAGTTGCGCCATGACTTCACCGGGGATTTTGAGCTTCTCCTTGAACGCGATGGACAGCATCCTCGACTTGACCTGGTTGGCATCGGGTTTGCGGAACGACAGATTGTACGTCGTGTGCTCGAACGGGCGCATCTTTTGGTTTCGGCGGTCGTTGCAGATGCAGATGATGGGCACTTTGGTCTTCTTGATCAACGCGTTGATCGCACCGACACCGCCGCGGTCGCCGCCAGACATGCCGTCCACCTCGTCCATGATGAGCACCGTGCGTTCGTGGATGCGCGGCATGTCGCTCGGCGCAGAGTGCGTCACACTGGTGTACCAGCTGTCGAGCGACTTGTTGTTGATCGTGTCTTGGAGCATGTTTTCGACAACCTTCTTGCCTCGTGTGTCCGAGGCGTTGAATTCGAGTGGCATGTAGCCTTCCATCTTGGCGACGAGGTGAGCGGAGGTAGTCTTGCCGATACCGGGAGGGCCGGAGATGAGGACGGCGCGGTAGACGTTCATGCCCGTGGGGCCAGGCTTCTTGAAGTTGCTCCGGTACGAGTCGGGCCACGCTTTGAGCCAGCCTGCGAGCTTTTCGACCGCGGCCTTGTTGCCGACGAGGTCCTTCATCTGCGTGGGTGCGTATTTGGAGGTCCAGAGCATGTTGGACATGTCGACTGGATTTGCGCTGGTGTCCTTGGGTGGACCCATGCTCCTAGCTACCTCCTTAATCTTTTCCTCTTCCGCCTTGATCTTTTGCTTTGTCTTTTCGTCGAGCTCACCGGCGCCTCGGGTGCGGATGAGGTCGAGGAAGCCGTCTTCGTCGAGCGTCGCGATCTTGTTCTTCTCGATGGAAGCGACCTTTTTGGGTCCAGCTCCTTCTCCGAGCACAACGTACGAGGTCTTGGATGAGGGCGCGCCAGTGATTCGAGCGCCGTATCGCTTTGCCAGATCGGTGGCCTCATCACGGCTGATGGACGAAAGCTCGCCGGTGAACACCAGAGTGAGACCGGCAAGGCAGTTTGGTGCACCCTGAGGGATCTCTTTGGAGCCAGGATTGGACGGACCTGCAGCTCGCTTAGCAGCCATCTCCCTCCAGTTGGGCTTGTTGCCAGCTGCCGGCGCAGGTGCTGCAGGCTCCACAAAGTCGTCGTCTTCTTTCTTGGATACTGCTGGTTTTGCAGCGGCCTTGGCGGGCGGCTTTGCTGGAGAAGCCTTCTTGCTACTACTGGCGGCTGCCTTCTTGGGCGGTGGTGGGGCATCCTCAAAGTCGTCGGAATCGTCGGAATCGTCGATCTTGATGGGCTTGGCATTCGCTGCAGCACGGCGAGGAGGCTGTGAGGTAGCACTCGCCTTGGCTTTCGACGAAGTGGTAGCTGGCCTCTTGGGAGCTGGAGCAAAGTCATCCTCGTCATCCTCGTCATCCTCCGCCTTGCCCTTCTTGCTGTCCACAAAGTCGTCGTCAGAATCTTGGTCATATGTTTTGCGCTTGACCGCCGACTTCCTCGGACTTGTTCGAGCCATGCTGCCGTTAGTCGCTTTGGTCGTTGGTTTGGAAGGAGGCTTCAGAGCCAAGTCGTCGTCGTCCGAGTCGTCGATGACCATCGGATCAGCCTTGGTTGCTGTGCTGTTTTTCGAGGCGAAATACTTGGATGAAGTGCTGCTGGCTGATGCATTCTTGGTGGGCGTAGTGGCCGTGGGGTTGCGTGTGCTCGCACGCGCCTCCTGAGATGAAGCCGGGCTCGAGCCAGTTGCTTTGCTTCCGAAGAAGTTGGAGAGAGACGCTTGGCCCTTGGGCAACGGCGTTGAAGGCTTCTTTGGTGGCATCTCGAGCGGTTTCCGAGCTATGTCTGCGACGAGGTGGTGAGGATGAAGAAGAAGGAATGAAGCAGCGTACAGGCCCGGCGTGGACACTGTGACAGGCCTCGAGGCTCAGTTGTTCTTGCCAAAAGTGGAGAAAATGCCATCGAGTAAATTAGTCAGTCAGCGCCAACGCAGCAGCAGCACGCGTCAGAGGGGACCGAGCGCGTCCTTTTCGGAAAAAATGTCGCGATGCACAATCTGACATGTTGCGATTCTCGACAGGACTGCCCCATGCACGTTCGAGAAGCAACTCGGACCCTGAACAGATAGCTTCTTGTCAGGCTTCCTCCATCGAGCTTGCCGTCTTGCTCAATCACTTTACCACCAAGCCGACAACATGTCGGATCCGGTCCATCGGCACCAATCGTCGCTCAAGGTCTCCATACGACCTTTGCAGTCCTCCTTCTTCGCTGGCGAAGACTTTGTCTGCCAGATCACCTTCACAAATACCAACCCTCCCCTACCACTTGCACAACCACAGCTTCAGGGAGAGTTTCCTCCTTCGTCACCAGCACGCAATCTCTTTGATGACGACGCGGCCGGCCGTCGCGTCTCCTTGACCTCAAATCATTCCAAATCTCGCAGCTTCGATGTCAGAGCTCTGGGTCGGGACAACGAGCAGTCCGACGCCTCTGCGAGCGTGCCCGGCTCCACGCGAGCTAAGAGGCTTCTTCGACACCTCGATGGCGATATCTTGCCCGAGCGTAAGGGCCTGATCGGCAAGAGTCTTCCTTCGCCTACACTCTCACGCTCCTTCCACCCTTGGTCAGCGTCGTCCAACCTGGGACCTGCAAACCCCTCGCATCGGTCCACACAGTCAACTTACATTCCGTCAAATGGTGAAAAGACCGAGCTTGGCCTCGGACACCCAAGGCTTCCCCAGCTTAGCCCCATCAAGGCAACACCACCATCTTCGCGCGTTCAGACAGATCTCTTCTCGCCCAAGACTCCGTCGCGCGTCTCGTCTCTACCCGGCCTGGGCAACAGGAGACCCTCGGCACCTATCTCACCCCACCATTCTCATTCACGCAAAAAGTCGGTCGCACAAGTGCAGGCCGAAGATCTCACTGAGGCCTTCGAGCTCGATTCGCCATCGGCAGCGTCTTCGCCAACAGCTTCCTTCTCAAATTCGTGGCTGGGTGCTTCCCATGAGCAGAACGCCGGCTCCAGCTTCTACGGCATGGGCCGCAACGATAGCATGGAGAGCGTCTTTCGAGAATCCGTCAACGACTGGTCCAAATTCAAGCGACCAGCTTCTTTATCACGAAAGTCCAGTCAGAGTCCGATCTACCCTTCCCCCGACACCGCAACTTCGGGCAGTCAAAGAATTCTGTGGTCCTTCGCCCAGCTCGGAGGCACGATCGAGATCGACGAGAGCCTCATCAAGCCGCACGATTTCGAAAGTCTCAAGAGGAGACTGGCCTATGGCGACATTTCGGGTGCAACCGCCTCGACCAACTCTGTTCCTAGCACGCCAAGGACGCTCGGTGGCGGCGATCTTGGTCATTCCTCGGAGCCACCACCAAGTCCCACAGGCTGGAGCAGCTATCTGCGCGGACCGTTCGGGGGTCGGGCTCAACAGCATCGCCGTACCGGCTCGACCATGCAAGATGCGCAGGAGCGCACACTGCAGAGCCGAAGCGTGCCCACCTTCTCCGCTCCGCCTAGCATCGTTGCTGTTGACTTGGTCCTCGCTCCAGGAGAGAGCAAGACATTCCAATTTAAGCTTCGTCTGCCCGTCGACCTCCCTCCCACCTACCAAGGCAAAGCGATTCGTCTCCGGTACAATCTGACCCTTGGCACGAATCGGTCCGACGCCAATGCCAACTCAACACGCGCGCAGACCAGCCGGCTCATTCAGGTGCCCATTCGCATTTACAATCACATTGGCGAGTCGGGCTTCCGGCCTTTCTTCGATCTCATGAACCCCGTCATTCTCACCAAGGAGGATGCCTCTGTCACGCTTGTGAGCGAAGACGAGAGGCCAGCGTTCGGAGCGGAGCGTTCCAGAGCCAAAGTTGCGTCGAGGAAGGGGCCATCATTACGCAAGCAGGACTTGCAGGAGTATACCCGGCAGCTGCTCGTCAGCAAAGCCATCAGCGAAGGCTCTCCCGTCACCTCGGTGCCCGAATTCGGCGGACCCGCACCCGCACCAGCCGGCGCGGGGACCAGGTCCTGCAAAGCGACCATCGAAGCGCTCGCCCGCTCTTCCAGCAAAGTCTCCTACGACATCGCCAAAGACGGCAAGGTCGCTGCAGTCCTCACTCTCGTCCGCTCGCGCTACCGTCTCGGCGAAACCATCACGGGCGTGATCAACATCAACAACGCGCACTCTCTCGCGCGCATCGCTCGCATGAGTGCAACACTGGAGACGTTCGAAGACGTCCAGCCCTCGATCGCCACCCTCCCCGCGGGTCGGCTCCAACGTGTCACCCGCATCATCCATGCCGAGCACCACGAGAGCGTGCTCGACAAGGGCCGCGCCAGCTTCAGCCTGTGCATCCCCAGCGGTGCTTCCCCAGAGTTTGTGACGAGCGGCGTCAAGCTCAACTGGCTCGTCCGCCTCTCGTTTCTCACCATCTCGGCCACCAAGCCGGTCGGCGCCGGCGACATCGAGAAGAAGCTCGCCAAGCTCAGGCCGCCGCCCCATCTCCTACCCACCCAGTCCGACGGCTTTTCGAGATACCATGTCAGCGTTAGGGCGATCGATAGTTTGGCGGGGTCAGCGACAGGACTTGGTGCAGAGAGCGCAAAGGCGCTCGCCGAGCTCGGTTGCGCGAGGGAGACAAAGCTTGAAACGGTTGAGTGTGCCGTGCCCGTCTCGATCCTGCCCAACAGCACGAGCTACAAGGTCGGCGACGCCGAGTTTTACGCCTGAGCGAAGTCTCACCACGGAATTGCACATCTTTGATCAAAGGGACTCGTCACAGGCGTGCGCAGGGTCAACTGAGACAAGGTTCGATTTTGAGCAGCATGTGGTTCTGTTGAACAAGCGTACGGTCCGATAAGCACAGCAAAGGAGTGGACTGGGGGAACAAGTGGGCAATGATTAAGAGAACAGCCGGTGCGAAGACAAGCAACGGCCAGGAAATCACAGAGAAAAGACCGTGGAGGTATAGCAAGGGAATCCATGACGAGCGTGCTACCTCTAGTAGCGGCCGCCTCGCTCCGACATCTCGGGGCCCATGTCCTCCGGGTCGATGGTCTGCAGGATAGTGTCCTTGATACCGGGGAAGACGGTGCGGAAGGCGTCGACACCAAAGATCATGTCGAGGTGCTCGTAGTTCTGCAGCTCGACGGTGTGGATCATCTCGACGTTGTTCTCGTAGCGCTGGATGCGCTGAACCAGGGGTTTGCCGAGCACGAGGTGGTCAATGTCACCGTAGAAGATCGAGTGAGGAGGGAAGTTCCTAGGGAACCAAGGCTCGGTGATGCGCGGGTCAAAGATGCAACCTCGGTGGGAAAAGCCAGACATGTACCAGTAGAGAAGCTCCGACGAGGTCGGGACGGGGACGGTGCGGAACATCTTGCCCTTCTGGCGCGCGACCCAGTTGTGGTCGTGGAAGCCGAAGAGGAAAGCAAAGATGACGTAGGCGATGTGACCGAACCAGAAGGCGGGGAGGAATGCCTGGGCGATACCGATGGCGGGCATGAACTCTCGCACACCAAAGATGAGACCCCACCACTTTCGCGAGCGGAATTGACGAAGGAGAGAGAAGGGGAACTTTCGCAGGACGGAACCGGCGTAGACCGAGGGACCGAGAGCGACGAAGCAGCTGAGCTTGTTGGCGATCTCGGGGCAGATGCCTGGACTCAAGGCGAGGTACATGGAACCGGCACCTTGCGAGTGGCCGACGTAGGCGAGCTGAGGGTAGCCGGTAGCAGCGGTGATGTAGTCGACAACATCGCGAAGGTCGAAGGCGAGTTCCTTGAGACCCCAGGCCCAGAATCGAGGATCGTTTCGGGTGTATTCGGTATGACCAGCCTTGAAGTTTGCACGAATGTTGGTGACCCATACGTCAAAGCCTTGATCGACGAGCCAGAAGGCCATAGAACGCTCTTCGTTAACGACAAAGTGAGCTGAGTTGCAGAGAATACCGTGTTGGAGGACAACAGGGTAACCGACGTTGCCGCCACGACGAGGGTCCGAGATACGGTGAGCTTTGAGGATCCAACCGCCTTCGGTGATGATCTCGTGCTCGTCACACTGGTAGCCCCAGAACTCGGCGTAGTAAGCGGGTCTGCCAGAGCCACGTTCGCCAGTGATTCTGCGCTCGTATTCGCGGTCGGTCTTTGCCTTTGGTGGCGACTTCTTGAACGGATTGAAGTAGACGAAGTAGGCAGCAAAAAGGACACTGCCGAGCGAGGTGGTGCTGAGTGCGAAGGAGAGGGCTTGACGGAAGTTGAGTCGGAGACGCTGAAGGAAGCCGTATTCGCCGTAGTCAGCCACGACGTGGTCAAAGAAGGGCATCTCTAGTGGTGCCTCTGACTGGTAGTTGGGGAAGGTGGGGTCGAAGAAGGGGCGTTCATCGCGATCATTGTAATCGCCCTTGGGCTGACCTGGGTCGCGACGGACCTCGACGCCGCGAGGAGGACGAGAAGGCTGCACTTGTTGACCATTCAAGTCGTCGGAAGTCTCGTCGACTTCTCGCTCAACCTGTTGGGATCGGCGAGGGGCAGCACGTTCGACGCTTTTGCGAGGCCGCTCCGACTCCTGCTCGGAGAAAGGATCTTCTGTTGCCCTCTCTGATTCGAGATCTCTGCTTGCCTCGGACGCGGGGCCCGAGGCACGGTTGCGCTTGCTGTAGTCGATGAAACCGGTCGACATGTCGAGGGATGGAGACGCAGGGTAGCGTCAAGCGGATCCAGGTCGATACTAAGGGGTGATTAGATGTTGCGCAATTGACTGACAAACAAGCTGAGTCTGGCACAAAGAGACGCGCGATCACCTTGTTGTGGAGCAAGCAGGTCGCAGCTCGAGCGAGATAGACAGAAGGAATGTGTCGGGATGATAGGGTGGAGAGATGGTGGTGCTGAGAGGGATGATGGCCAACAAGCAGGGTTGTGTAGCTTCGAAAGCGGATGTGTCTGGCGGGGGGGCTGAAGACACAACTGGACAGGAAGTGCAAATCAGGCAATGCGGCAGCTAAGTTGAGTTAACTCAGACATGCCCTCCTTCACTGCCTGCCTGCAGCGCCTTTTTGAAAAATAACCGATTTGGCCCAGATTGAAAATACGTCTGAGTGCATGCAAATAGAGCGGCGGCGGCGGCATCTGAGCGTGATGGTGGATTTGCAGACTGCACGCGGCAGGCCAAATTATTATAGCATGGCAACCAGGGGAGGATGCGGGGAAAATCCCCCGATCCATCCGCCTCGCTTTTCCAAGACACTGCTTTTCCGCCGCTGTGTGCGGGCAAATACGCATCTTTGATTTGATGTGGCCGAGGGCGCCGCTCGCTCCCTCCGTCTCCTTCTACGAGCATGCACGCTCCTGCTGACTGCCTGAGCTCACCCCACTTTTGGATTTCGTGGGTTCGACCTTAGCAACGCTAGGGTCATTGTTAGGTGCGTGCGGCTCTGAGCTAGGAGCTCTTGATACGACCACTCTCGCAACTCGACCCCGTTTGCAAAGGGTTTGCTGTCGACGCCAAACGAGCCGACGGGGTATCAGCTTGGATGAAAAAGGGTCGATTCTCGCTGCTCCAAGCGAGCTTGGTTTGCATACGGTTGTCAGATGCAACTTTCACGCAGAGTGTGAGTCGCAGGCGCAGTCGCCCATTCTGAGTCGGCTAGCCAAGTGAAAAAGGCTGCGATTCGAGCGGGGCTCAATTTCTGGCTCAGAGCGCAGCAGAGTGCAAAATGCGGTCAAACTGCCCTGCCAATCTGCGGAGTTGCTTCTTGGGATTTTCCCTTCGGCTAAGCGAGCTCAGTCGAGTTTCAATTGTCCTCTTTGCCAGACAGGCACAGCTTGCACTCGTCCAGAGGGCGGCCCTTTCTCTGTTCCTATGAACAAGGCCAGGGTTTCGTCGATCCTGTCACCTGCCTGATCATATTCGCCAAACGTGGCCTGTTAGACCCTCGAGAGCAGCGAGACGGACCCCTTCATCAAACAGCCTCATCACGTCTGGACAGAGTCGATCACCTAGCGTATGAGGGTATGGAGGGTGCTGAGCATTGCCGTACTCTTCTGCATGTCTGTGACCAGATACAACCCTACAGTAGTCCAAGGCGCCCCAAGATCGCAGCATCTTTGGTTTTGTCCGCTCGTCCTGAGGAATCTGCAGCCAACCAATGCGCAGATGAGACAGGCCATCCTTGGAGCGGTCAAAGCGTGCAGCTTGGCAGCTCACATGGAGCGGCTTCCATCCTAGCCTCGTCAAGGCTCTTCTGTGGCCGCAAAGCAGGCAGCAGACCTCACGCTTCAATCCGAATCCGAGTCGGATCCACTCTCGTCCGACGAGCTGTCCGAGTGCACCAGATCGTCGTGCCCACCAGCAGGTCCGCCCGCAGAGCCAGCCGCCTCGCTGTTGCCGAATTGCTCCAGCTGTTGCTGCAAACGAGCGATCCTCTCGGCCTCCTCGCCTTCATCCAGGTTCTTCTTCTTGATGCCTCCCGTGCCACGCTTGCGCCCATCCAACGGCGCCGATTTGCTGTTCTTGTTGGCCGCGGGCGCCGCCTTTTTGGGCCGCACCACATACTTGTACAGCTTGTACAGCGTTCGAGGCGACAGCTCGTCAATGTCGAGCTCAATCTCCTCCTCGTCGTTCTGGTTTGGCGGCTTGTCTTCGTTGATGATGCGAATCGCACCGTCCAGACGCTCTTCCGACAGCTCCGTGATCTTGGCTGCGAGCTCCTCCTTTTGCTCGTACGTGACGTTGCGGATATCTTCGTCGCTGTTGTCGTCCCTTTTGCTCGAGCTCGCCTTCTTGTTGCTCGACGATGGCTTCTTCTTCTGCGAAGCAGCCGCCGACTTGGCCTTCTTCGCAGGCACGTAATCAGCCGCCGCCGAAGGGCTGCCCGTTGCCTTGGCTTTGGTCTTCTTCTTGCTGGATGCGCCGCTCTCGGATGCCTTCCTCTTGGTGCCAGCGCCCTTGCTCTTGCTCTTCTTGGAACGCCCCGAGCTGGCGTAGCTCTCCTGCAGCGTTGCTAGCATCATCTTGGTGTTGGCAATGAGGTCCGTGTTCTGGTTCTTGGCTCCCTCCAGCATAGCGAGCGTAGAAGCAAGCTGCGAGATCTGGTCTTGCAGCGTCGCCAAGAAGGCCGGATCCACGTCGTCCTCGTCGTCCTCTGCATCCTCGTCCTCATCCACATCGCTCTCCTCGTAGTCCGGAAGAGGGGCCGGGGCGGGCTTGCGCGCGAACTTCTCTTCGTAGACCGCCTTGAGCTGCTCGCCCAGGTTGTACACGTCGGTACCAGGCGGATTGAAGGTGAAGCAGTTCTGGAAGAGCAGCTGCATGTCTGCATTGAACTCGTCCGCATCGGCATAGACGCCGGATCGGATGTTCTTCTGGACATCGCGCAGAGCGATCGGCTTCTTGATCATTTGAAAGTAGGCGGGCGCCCAATCGAAGTCCATCGTGGGCTGGTCGTAGAACACCCAAGCGGCGTTCTGGTAGCTGGGCTTGAGCAGGTCGTCGATGATCCTGGTGCAGAAGCGCAATTCGTCCTGAGCCACCTTGGCATAGTGAGCCTGCTCGCGTGCCGAGAGACTGCCGCGCTTCTTGGCGACCTTGCGTTGCGCGGCTTTGCGCATCTCGGAAGACGAACTCTGCGGCTCGTTGGCGTAGGGAAGATCCTTGGGAGGGGGAGGGTGGATCTCCCTCTTGGGGCGACCGCCGACATCAGAGGAGGAACGTCGGATGGTGGGCACAGGGTTGGACGGGCGGCGTTGACGCGCGGCGGGAGACTCCTGTGCTGCGGGGGTGGTAGCTGCGGGTACGTCGGACATGTACTTGTCGAAAGCGTGCTCGAGGACTCGTGCATTGGCAGTGTAAGGGCTGGCGGGCCCGTTGAAGGTGGCGCAGTTGTAAAACACTTGGCGAACATCGGCCTCGAAGTCGTGCATGCGTCGATAGACGTCTTTGGACGGGTCAAGGCCCCATTGCGGAGCGGACTTGGCCTTGTCGCCTGGCTTTGAATTGGGCTTGAGCACGAGCGCGGTGAGAGCAAGCTTGATATCGATGGTGCCAAAGTCCATGGGTTTGGAGATGATCTGCGGATACTGGGGGATGCCAAGGGCGACGGGATCAACGGGAGCGAGGAAGGCGATAGCCTCGCGTCGACTCTTGAGAGATTTGAGAGTGCTCTGTGCAAATTTGAGTTGAGCCGTGGTGATCTCCATGGGACCATCGTAAGGCTTGATATCGACGACAGCGACGTCGTTCTGCTGCGGGGCCGATGTGGCTGAAAGTGCCTGTTGGGAGCGTGCCTGCTCCTGCGATACGAGTGCGACGGGCTGGACGCCTACGCTCGAGATGGGCTCTGCAGTAGGCGGCACGAGGGGCGCTTCGACGGATTCGAGCTTGGCAGGATGTGACTGGAAGCTGGCAGGCGCATCGTGGTTGGCCTCGACCTTGGGAGTTGGTTCGTAGACCGAGGAGGATGGTGCGTATGCATGACCGTTGGCGGGAGCGCCGTTGAAGTAAGCGTCAGACATGTTGGCTGAAGAAGTGGGTCGATGAGGTGCGTAGCGTGCAGAAGCGAGGGACCAGACAGAAGCAGCGGATTTTCGGAATCGCCCTTGTTCTCTGCTTAAGAGCGGGGTTGAGTATGCGACGTGAGATTCACCGAGGCGAGGGCCGCAGGAGCTTTTGGGAGGGTGCGGATGGATGACGTGTTGCGAACGGCCGAAAGAATCAACGCTTCATGCACGCCGATGCAATTGAAAAGGTGGATGGATGAGAAAGGCGGTGTCGGATGAAACGAGGTTGATGGTGGATGGATGGATGGATGGATGCGATGAGGTGATCCAAGCTGGCTGCTCAGTGCGCGTTACAGAATCAAGAAGAATTCCACTTTTTGGACTCGACGGACTGACTCTGTTGCCGACGTGTCTTGTCGTAGATTGAAGCCAAAAGGGCAGAGAGAGAGAGGGAGAGTTGGGAGGGAAAGGAAGGTCGCCTGAACGCGTCGTCTTCAAATACTTGTCGAGCCATTTCGGATTTCGACCCTTTTCCTAAATGCGCTCGGCTGAGCCTCTCTCTCTCTCCCCTCCGTCCGCGAGCGGAGCGACACGCTCGCCCACCGTCACGCGCAGAGTGACTCTCCAATCGCTGATGAGACGGGCCAGACCCTCCCGATACCCACCGCGAAAAATCTTTTCAACACTCCTCTGAGAAATTGACATCCTCGCACAGCAGCCGTCGATGTAACAATCTCGGCTCGATTTTCCGATGTGAAAGCTTTCTTTCGAGTCAGCTGCGGGCCGACGGGATGCTCAGCTCCGATTCCACGCTGGCAACCTATACGCCCTAACACGCTTCGGGAGATGAACTCACGAGACAGTTGAGCTCGCCAAGCAGGATACATTTCGCAACACGTTGAGTCGCTGGTGTGGTGTCCTGCTCGCCTGCTAGTAAGTTAGCTTGGGCTGAGTCCATGATTGACAGCTGTGAAATGAAATCTTCCTCAAATTCGCGCTCTGAGGCTGACTGTGACTGTTCTTGAGCTCTGAAAAAATTAACGCGCTACCGAGCCGCGTTAATCTCCCCGACGGTTCAAGCTTTTTGATGCGGATTTCAGCTTGGATTTGGCTGGCTCGGACTTGCAAAAGAATCTCATCGCAGCAGCTCCGTCCATCTCTCCCTTCTGCTCATCACACTACCATTGGAGCAGTTTCGCACAATCTCGCTGCTGCTGATAACTACAGCAGACAGGTCTAGGTGTAGCTGTACCTTGCAGCGCTCTCGGACCTGGCTCTGCTCTCATCATACACGGAATCCCTCGACCGCCCAACCAGCGTCATCCCTCGCATTCTCATCTCTACATGAATACTTGAACAACAACATCAACTCTCTTTGTCATGGGCATGAATGCGGCCCTTCGCGATAGCTTCGGCTTCATCGCTGATCGTCAGCACCATGTGCCACTTGCACGCGCCAACATCAACATCACTCCGGCCAATGCTCTCCAAACCCTCTTTCGACGTCAGAGGGAGACTCCTCTTCCCATCACGCCTGTCTCCATCCTTCGCTCCATGCTTCAGCTAGACGATCTTCAGGCCCTTCTTTGGGCTTGGACGCTCGTCGGTATCCTTCTCCTTTTCGCCTTCTGGACCAATCCGAGTGAGGCCTCCTTCAGGCCTTTCCTCACCGACCTCGTCTTTCGCGAGCGCTTGAGGCTGCTCAACCAGGACCAGGATGCCGCCGAATCTCACTCGCAAGCCGATGATGCCGCGGCAGGTACTTCCAGCCCGACCACCGCTGCGCGCAAGTCGGATACCAACGCTTTCTCGTCTCTGCTCTCCACCGCTTCCTACGCTTCTGGTCCTTTCGCCGTCACTTTTGGTTCCAAAGTTGCGCTCTCAGTACGCACGCCCCCCTTCCATCGCAAAGATCTTGGATTGCTTTCGATCGTCACCATCTCGCAAAGCATGCCAAGTCGCTCAGTTCATGCCCAACGGGCAGAGGCATCGCAGCAAAGCACCCGATCCGCCAAAGCGCACGGTGCCATGGATTGCACTTCTCTCTTCATCGGCGCCTTTGGCAAGTGGTGGGTGCTCGGCTATGGTATCCCAGATCTACCCACAACTGGTCCTTCCAGTCAGCCTCAACCAAGCAAGACGGGTCGAGAAGAGCTCGAGGAAAACATGACCGATGTGACAGACTGGGGCATCCTCGACGTCCGGTCGATCGACCCCGAGCCCCAGTCGCGACGAAACTCGATACAGGCATCCAATGGTAGCGTGCAGGACGGCAGCTTTCACCATTCTTCCCGACGACCATCTGGCCCAGAATCGAACGCTCGCAACGCATCTCCGACACCGCTTGCGACCAAAGAGACCCCTTCTGAAGCTGAGACCGAAGATTGTCTCAGCATCACAGCATTGGTTTCAAGATCTCAGACCGACATCCTCGAGCTGCAGGAACAGCTCGCTCAGATCAAGAGCGTTTCTGCACGAGCTTGCGAAGCACTCGAGGTCGACTTGGAAGATGTACGCTCCAGGAAAAAAGAGGAGGAAAGGCTTCGATCCGACATCAAAACCAGGACAAAGGCGTTGGACGACAGTAAGAGACAAGTTGAAAGCGGTCGACGAGAAGCAGAAAGGCGATTGAAGACGGCCAATGCCGCTCGGGCTCTCAAACAGGCCAGCATACAGCAGAGAAAGGACCAGGTGGACATGCTTCACAAACGCCGAGCGGCTCTCGTCACCAAGAAGACCGCCCATGTCGAAAAGCGGCTGCAGCGCTCGGCAGACCTTTCGGCCCAGATCAGTCAGGCAAAGGCCAGAGCCGATAAGCTCAGGAATGAGATGGACCAGTTACGTCACGACATGCAAGCTGCTGAGGAGCAATTGCAATTCGAGAGGACCCACCCTCGCGGTGTCCAGGACGGCGACTTCCGAGACCAAGGCCGCATGGACCCATCCGCACACGTCTGGAGCCCGGCGATGGATTACAGCCACATGGGAAGCAATGAAGCCATGTACGCTCATCTCGCGTCCACTCCGGATCCACTCGTCGACAGCTTGGCCCGCTTCGAAGAGCGTAATCTCGCTGGTCAGAGGCTCTTTGGCCCTGGCGCTCACGACACCGATGCCAGTCTGATGGTCAACAAGATGCCGACGGCTCATATGGACGACTACAGTGATCTCGGCACCAGCGTTCTGCGCAATGCCTTCCGCCGTGCGAATGCCGCCGCTGTCGCCGATGGACGCGAGATACTGCCCAATGCTCCGCAGGGCATTGGCAACCCCTCTTTGCAGAATGCCTCCAATTTCGAAGCCATCAAGCAAGCCTTCCAGCCCACTCTTGCCACGGAGGAGGACGGTAGACGGTCCTGGTCTGCGTTCGACGTCTGGCAGTCCGACATCCGCAGCGTTGGTCAACAGAGGACGCAATGGGCCACTGGCGGAGCAAACGGCAGCGCTGACTCGTTGCCCCACTTGGGCTCCAGCAGCGGTTTCCTGCCCCTCGATCGCAGTAGCAGCGCGGAGCACAGCTTCCAGTCCCAGGGCGATGCGGATCAGACTCGGAACATGTCCAAGGTCAAGAGAGCCTTCCGATGGCCCTTCCGACCTAGCCAAGTTCAAGACGAGCTGGTCTGATTTGCTTTGCGACGCCGCTGCCCCTTTGTCCGAGCCCCCTTGAAGCCGACGACCTCTTGCCCGAACTGCCCGACATGTACTCTGCTGACGCGTTACCCTCTCGTCATCTGGAATAGAAGTCGTCTTGGAGACTCCATCATCTTTGCAAATGAGTTGCCTGCACGTGCCGACTGTCTGTACCATGGTGGGAGCCATCTGAGAGCCTGCCAGCCTGCCTTCCTCGCGTCCGTCTTCTCACTCTCAGAACCTGAGTTCGGGTCAGTCAGGTTGCCGTCCCCGATCTCGGCGCTGTCTCAGGCAGTCTTGCAAAGCCCGTTCCGCTCTTGTCGTCAGCATCTCCTATGAGCGCGCTCCAGTTGCTATTGGCCATGCCACGGACAACGATGCCGCACCTGCGGGCACCGATCAACAGTGTCGCATTGTAGACGACTGACTGTGAGCGAGGCCCAAGGCCTCCATAACTATGAGCTCGTTGCTTGCGAGGCCGCCCGCCACTTCGAGCGGTGTCACCGCGCGCTCGAGACAGATTAGCTGACCCTCGACCAAAAACGACGTGGGCATCGCGATTCACGTTGCATCCGTCTCGTCGCAGTGCGTGACGCTTTCTGCGAGACGCTGACTTTAGCGACCGCCTGCCAGCACTGTTCAAGCGTGTCTTCAGAAACATAATCCAGCTTCTTTACAACAGTTTGATCGTAATTTGGGAAAGTATTTTTCTTGCGCAATTTCAACGCTCTTCAGCAACGAATTTGGGCTCAGAACAGCCCAAACTGCGACCATGCTCCAGAAAGACTGGACACAATCGCACAATGTCATGCCAACTTAATCCGCCCTAAAATTCACAAAACTTAGCTTCATTTTGTGATCCTCTTCGCTGCATTTTGTGACCCCCTTTTTTGGGCTCGTTTCCGACCATTTCCAAGCCTCTTGATTGAAACATGCGCCGCTTTAAAGAAACACTCCGGAAATGCGGTCAGAAAGCAAGCCCTATCGGTCTCAGTCACATCAAGAATTTGGCTGGTGATGCCAAAAGAAGTGCATAAGTATGTTTTGGCGTTTTGACTGCGTCGCAAAAAGCCGTCAATATGTCGACAAAATTGGCCCATCCTCAGCCTCCCGCAACGGAAGAGCTGTCTTGAGTGTGGAGGTCAGACCCGGAAGAGCTGTGCACAGACCTCGAGAAGTGCACGTTGACTACCATCATACCACCTGCCTGGCCCAACAGCAGCGACGACGACGACGACGAACAAAGACGAGGGCCAGCACAAGAGCCTATACGAAGCCAACCCATACACGCAAGCATGTCGTTGGACAAGACGCTCGAAACCATCCTGCGGAGCGAATGCGCTCACCTCGGCACACAGTTCACGTCACGAGGAGGCTCGACGGTGGTGGCACAGCCAAGCGGACGGAGGCTGTTCGCGAAGATCGAGAGCTCAGTGGAGCAGACAGTGGGAGAAGCGGAGAGTCTCAAGGCAATGGGCGCGGCGCTGAGCGACGACGACGGTAAGGGTGGCGAGGGCAAGCTAACGCCAGAAGTGCATGCATCTGGAAAGTCGGACGATGGGCGAGCATATCTGATCACGGACTACCTCGATCTCAAGCCGTCGATCAGCAGGAGTGGACAGAAGGTGCTCGGACAGAGGCTAGCGGAGATGCACAAGCGGGGCGTCCACCCAGATGGGCGCTTCGGCTTTGGCGTGGCCACCTACTGTGGTGTGACAGTGAGTTGCTCTGCACATGCTTGCACGGCCGCGCTAGGTATTGGCGGATAGCCGAGTCTGAACAATATCCCTCCCCTGCCTCTTTTACAGCGACAAGAAAACAGCTGGAACACTTCATGGCCCAAGTTCTGGGCTGATCAGAGGATCGGTGACCTGGTAAACCGAATCAATGCCGACCAGGGAGACCCGGAGCTCAAGGATCTGGAACAGCAAATGCGCGACAGGTAAGTCCTCTGATACTTCATGGCCATCCGTGCTTCTGTGATGCTGACAGTCTTTGCTTCGAAACGCTGCCAGGGTGTATCCAGTGCTCCTAGCACCGCTCGAAGCGAAAGTCAAGCCGAGCATCCTGCATGGCGACTTGTGGTGAGTTTGCCCTCGAGCATCTGGGTTGCACAGGGACGATAGACGACTGACCCACGACCGTTCTCTGCAGGTCTGGGAATGCAGGCACGGTCATGGACACTGGAGAACCGGCGATCTTCGAGTGAGTAGGTGGTAGCGCTCGATCTACCGGGCCCCGCTCGTTTTGCGATCCTCCTGCTGACCTTGTTGACCCCGTCATCGAACCCTGTTCTTGCTGTGTACAGCCCGTGAGTCCACCATTCACCTAAAGTGTCTGACTCCGAGACCTGCTTTGTCTGACACAGCTTACCTTTCATGCAAACCGTAGCTCAAGCTACTATGGCCACAACGAAGCCGAGTGAGTCCAATCCATGCTTCACAACTCGATGCTCTTACATGCTTGTTGTCGACCCATCTGACCCATCGCTCGCCACGGTAACGACAGGCTCGGGATCATGAACATGTTCGGAGGCTTCACACGGGACTTCTTCGACGCTTATCACGCCGTCATCCCGCGGACAGAGCCGTACTACAACGAGAGGCTCCGACTTTACGAGCTCTATCACCAGTGAGTGCTTTCCCGACCGCATGAGAGGCGTTCTCGGTGACGTATGACGCCGACACTTACATCCTTCCTGACATGTGGACTTGCGCATCGCTCCTTCGCAGTCTCAATCGTAAGTTTGCTTCACACAATCCGAGCCGCTCACGTGCTCAGCTCGGGGCTCTCCAATCACATTCCGCGCGGACATTCTGACAACAATCCTTTCCTTGATCAATATGATGTCAGACTTGCTCATGTTCAGGGGAGGCTACAGATCCGGCGCCGTCTCGATCATGCGGTCGCTGATCCAATTCTGCGACAATGTCGACGACGCCAAGTGACACCATCCCTGTCTGTCTGTCTAGGCAAATCCGAAGCCTTCACCACCTTCGTTCATGGCGAGCAGGAGCGACGAACGCAGCTTCTCGTACGACTCGTACTGCGGCAGATCGAGCTGGTTGAAGCATGTGTGCGCGGCCGGCAGTCGGTCCGCTCCGTAGGCCTTGTGGATGTTGAACCTCTGGGTGCCCTGCACGCCTTGGAGGTGGGCGAAGCCTTCGAGCGGCACTTTGCTGGTGCCCGTGATGAATTGGAGCAATTTGGCCTTCTCGGTCTGGTCGAAAGATCGGACGGCACGCCACCACCACTGAATGACGGCATCGCCAGAGCTGTAGCCATGCAACTCGGTGTTGTTCTTCCATGCGTCGACATCGATGTCTGGCAAACCTGAAATAAGAAGCTCGAGCTCCTGCTCTGAGAAGATGCGGATGAGGTCGGACGGGATGATTTCGTTGAAGCCGCCGAGGAAGGCCTCGATCTGGGACTTGATGGACTTTGTGAGCCTCTGTTCGGTGACAAGCCGCACATACTCCTGCTTATTGGCCTCGGTGACCGCAATCGACGCGCCGTTAGGCTGCAGTTCGACGATCTTGGTCTCTCCAAACTCTTCATCATCGACGCTGAAGGTGAGATCGAGAATGTCTGTAATGTCGTTGTTGAGCATCCACTCGAGACTCTTGAAATATTCGGGGTCGATGGACTCCAAGTCTCTGTAGTCGACGGGCTTGCCGAGGATGTGCTTGTAGAAGCTGCGAGTGAAGTATGCGTCGAGCAGTCGACCGTCGTAGATGGCCTTGCCGATGATGCGACCAACGAATTTGAAGAAGGAGAGATGATCCGGGTTGACGTACGACATGCGGTTTGGCTGGTATGTGGTGCGATCTGCCGCACAAGGTTGGAAAAGCGCATAGTCTGGGTTGAACATGGCCCTGGCCAATACCTGGAACCACTCCCTGGTAACACCTCCTGCGTCGATACCCTCCTCGTTGTTGAAGCGAACGTTCAGCTTGCCGTGCTTGACCTCCGGCCCCGACTTTCTAGAAAAGTATCGGAAACTGTCTTCGAAGACCGAGTTTCTGCGGACCGATAGCGACAAAGGTGTGTAGTGGTCGCGTCGACCCTTGTGTAGCTGCTGTGTAAAGTAGTTTTTCTTGTTATCAAAGTCAAGCACCTTCGGATTGCGGACGAGCAAAGCAAAGGAGCCGGACATGAGCGTTGGGTTCTGGCGAACCATGATGTTGAGGATCTTGCGGTGCTTCTCTGTGAAAGCGAAGAAATTGTCCTCCATGATCTCTTTTGCTGTTTTAGGACCCTGCGTTGACGAGCGGCTGTGGGCACCGAGGGTGGAGGAGCGGCTGAACGGAGGCCGAACGTCACCAGGAACGATGGGGGTTTCGCCATCTGGGCTGGTGACGTGCTGAGAGACCACCATCATGCTCTCGATCAGAGGAAGGAGGATCTGAGCCGCTCCAGGGTCGTTCTTCATTCTCGACAACACATCGCTGAGCTTGGACCACAAAGGGTCGAATTCGAACGACTCGTAGATCTTCGCGAGTTTGGCCTCGTCTTCTTCCCGTCGCTTCTTCTGCTTCTCGAGATGGGTCTGATCTGATGGTCGGGAGCGACTCGATGAACTGTGACGGAAGTCGGCGCGAGGGTCGCCGGGATAGGGCATGCTCATGAAAGTGCGGATCATCTCGGGGGTCGGGTCGACGCCGAGTTCGCGCTGCATGGCTCTTGCTTCTGCGCGCAGAGGAGCGCCTGTGCTATCGAGGGCGATGACTCTTGTGAGGGAGTACGGGTCGAATGGATCCGTCATGGCTACTGATCTGGACCGTCTACAGTAGAAAAATGCTCGCGCTCGTGTTTCGCGGCTGCAAACGGACTGCCGTATCCGCACTATTTCGATGGAGTGCGCTCTGTGCTGGCGAGTGGATGATCGCGCGGCTGTTCCTTATAAACGTCGTTGCTGCTGGCAGTGTAATTATACCGATGAAGAGGCTGAGTCCGTGACTGTTCCGAGCAAACTTGCGCTGAAGCGAGAGATGTGATGCGCTCGAGCAGAGGCCTGTCGCTCTTCCGCGCTTACACTAGGGCGGCAGGCAGATGCGAAGTGAGGCGTGTGAACCTTGCTGACAAGGTTGCAGCGTGATCTTGGTGATGGTCGGCGGGCAGGATGTGTGATTTTCGATTGAATGCCAAAATCGAGCTTCCAACACATCGGAGAGGGTGCCGAACGAACCCTTTTTCTGAAGCGAGTCGAAAGTGGAGCGAGCCAGGCGGATCTCCCGATTCACCAAAAAGAGCTGGACTGGACCCTCGACGTAATTTTTTGGACTCAGCTTTCAGAAAGTCACAAAGCATGCAAAGCGTGTCGAAAGACTGCGCAGCGCACGGTGACATGGGGCCAAAGCTGAGTCGACTACCCCGCATTCTACCATCATCACCACTCCAGAGCGGATCCTCTACGACACATCACGACGATCGGCTTGCTCACAAAGGTGCCTGGTGCTCCTTGCGACAGCAGCAGAGATGAGGATCGCTACTAAGCGTCTCCAGAAAGAGCTGTAAGTACTGCATCACTCTGTCGTGTTCGACCCTGCGCAGATCGACAATGCATTCATTGTGCTGACATCTTCGCACTTGCCCCCACTTCTCACAATCCCACACGACAGCTCGGAGATCAGGATCAAAGGAGCTCCAGAAGGCTGCGAGATCATCAAGGCGGAAGACTTGCAAGAGTGGCAGTTCTCCATACAAGTGCTTGGCAACAGCCTCTACCAGGATCAGAAGTTCGGCCTCCGCTTTCGCTTCTCCGACACATACCCAATGGAGAGTCCCGAAGTGGTCTTCATGACGACAGACGGCTTCCAGGCCCCTGTGGTAAGTCGCTGCCCTGCAAAAGATCCGCCGCGATTCTCCCTTGCTGACTCGACCCGTTCTACCCTTGCTTCACTTCAACAGCACCCGCACGTCTACAGCAACGGCCACATTTGTGCTTCCATCCTCGGCAACGAATGGTCGCCCGTCCTCACAATCAGCTCGGTGCTGCTCACTCTTCAGAGCATGCTGGCAAGCTGCAAGCAGCTTCAGAGGCCGCCGGACAACGACTCTTACGTCAAACGCGCGCCGCTCTCCCCCAAAGACAGCCGATTTGTCTATGACGACGATACAGTTTGAGCAGATCTCATCACACACCATTCTCAGCATTTGTACAAGATCAAGGGTTCCAAACAGCATTCTCTCGACTGCGCACTGGGTGCTATTGCGTGATGAGGAGAGTTACACAACAGCAAGAGCTTGGCTTCGACACGGTCGGAGGGTGCTACTGGGAGGTGCGGCCGAAGAAAGCCTTCTGCTCGCCGCAAACCGAGTTGACGCAGCCGGGACAGCGCAGCAGCATCTGCTTACTAGTGAATCCCTGACTCCAGACATCCTCTCCGCGCTTCTCGCCCTGGATCTTGCTCGACGTGCCCTCGACAGCCGACAGATGCGAGGCACAGATCTCGGCCATGGCACGGATGAAAGTAGGCTCGTCGTTGAGCGACTCGGCACGCTTGAGGGTGATGCCGTGCTCCTCAGCCTCTTCCTGCAGCTCAATGTCGATTTCGTAGAGCGTCTCGATGTGGTCGCTGGTAAAGGCAATAGGAACGGCGATGACATCCTTATGGCCTTGCTTGGCCCAGCCCTTGATGGTGTCGCTCGTCTGCGGACCAAGCCAAGCAGCAGGACCAACCTGCGACTGCCACGTCACTCGGTACGGGTTGCTCCACTTCAAGCGCGTCATGACCGCAGCGACGGTGGCGGCGACCTCGGCGGGGTAGGGGTCACCTCGACCCGAGACAATCTGCATGGGCAGCGAGTGGGCGCTGAACATGATGGGCACCTTGTTGCGCTTCTCCTCCGGATACGTGTCGAGCACAGCTTGGATGCGGTTGGTGAAGGCTTCGACGAGCAAGGGATGCGTTGGCCATCGGTCGATGAGCGACCACGAGATGTTGCCTTCTGGTGCACCGCGCTCTTTGCGCCTCTGAATCTCGCGGTAGAGCTCATTGAGGTTGCTGCCGGTGGTACTACAGCTGTACTGAGGGTACTGAGTGAAACCGACAGCACGCGTGACGCCATCTTCGGCCATCTCGTCGAGTGCTTCCTCCGTCAACGGTCGTGCGTATCGGAAAGCGACGTACACCTTGTGTGGCGCTGTCTCTGGGTGAAGCTCGTCCAACAATTCGGTCATGGCCTTGCCCTGCGTCCTTGTCCAGCGCAAGATAGGAGACCCGCCCCCGATCTTTTCGTACTGGTTGACGATCTTGGGCGTTCTTCTGCGGGCGATCAGAGGAGCGAGACGAGACTGCCACGGCAGCTGGATGAGCTCGCGATCGTGAAAGAGCCGTGAGAGGAAGTCGCCTACTTCCTCGGTCGTCGATGTGGACGGACCGCCCATGTTCATGAGTAGCACACCAGTCGGTGGCTTGTTCTTGGCAACCGTCGCTAGAGTACGACACAGAGGCGAGGATCGCGCCAGTCTGACGGGAGCAATAGAGTTGGTGAGGCGCGCTCTGCTCGCAGCGGCCAGCATGCTCGTTGACGAGCTCGAGAGCATTGTGACGAAGTTTTGCTTTCAGCAGCGGCGAGTTAGCTTGCTGCAGCTTATTTGCGAAGGAGCGAGGTCCGAGAGAAATGTGGTGGTCCGACGAAGGGATGGAGCTGAAAGGTGGGGCCGGTGATGGGTGCACTGGAAGGTGTGGGTCGAGAAGAAAGCTTCCACAAGAGCTCAGATCAGCCAAATCACGAATTGCAGCGTCGATCCGAACCAAAAAGGCTGTCGCATCGCGTAATCTGCAGGAAATCCAAGCAGCGTCCAATCGACTAGGCTCAGTTGCAAGAGTCGATTCGGGTTTCGGACCATGCCTGCGGTCACCTTGGTGAACGCAACGGTCCTCCCTTGCGCTTCGGGCACGCTGTCTTCTCATGCTCTACCGGCCACTAACGAGGGAGTCCAGTAGCAGATAAAACCGTCTCATGAGTAGCCAAAGAGACCGGAAAGCAGGTCAACCAGGCAACCAGACCTGCTTGATATACGCGTGTCGCACCCTCAGGAGGACTTCCTGAGCTCTTGCACAGTCTTGCCGGCGTCGTGACAGCATGCTTTCGAAAATTTAGCGCTGGTCGGGTATTGTACAGAAGCAGAGAGCAGACAGCGAAAAAGGGCCATCGAAGACGGAGTATTGAAAGGTTGTATGGACGCGAGCGCGATCAGTGCTTGACGACGATGGGGACTGTAGAAACGACGGAAATCGTGGGGAGTTCGAGTCAGTTTTTGAAGTTCAGCATGAAGCAAAGATGTCTCTACGAAGACTGCCTGAAAGCAATCGACTTCCGATCGATACTTACTGATAATGACGCAAAGCAGGATGACAATGCCGACTGTTGAAGGGAAGCGGAGGAAGAACAGGTTTGACGGATAGCTTTGATCAGCGCCCTGCAGCCCGAGTAAACGGAATTCGTCCTTTGATACTTACTGGCAATGATGACTGTAGCGGACAAAGGTCGAGCGTTTGGACGAGATGGCGGAATTGTGTGCATTCGAGATCAGCGAGAACCCCGGGTCGATAATGGGCGGAATCGCAGATCGTGCTGGCTGTAGAAAGCACTTACTTCGCATCTTCATGTCCTTCCACCACATCTGCTTGCGGACGCGGTTTGCGCCTCGTCGGAAGCCCTGAGCGGACACGGCGAGGTTGTCTGATCGAATTCGAATGATAAGTCGAAAGATGCAAATCAATAGGTGAGCGTCGCGTCCTTTCCTGATCCCTTGGGGACCCGTCGTCGTCGCGGCGAAGCGACGCCTCTTGACGCCGTGCTGATCAGCAACGTACCAGTCTTGTCCTGAAGGCTGTTGAGGTTCTCGCCACGCTCGTTGACTGTCATTGTCGTCGTTGGCAGGGTTTGCAGATTGGAGAGGAGATGAGAGTCAGCATGGATACACATCGAATGCGCACAGATTCTTCGAAAGTGTGCTCACCCTTGTTGATGTTGTCGCGCATGATCGAGATGGTGTTGTCGATCTCGGAGTGGATACGAGCCGTCTTGGAGTTGGAAAAGTTGGCTCCACCGCCGGAAGGATCGGAGCTTGCGTTCCCCGAGGGGATGTAGGGGTCGTAGCGGCTGTCGTTCTGGGCAGACATGTTTGCAATTGGTGCGTTGCGATGTGTGAGGGACCTGCGATGGTTTTGGTAGCTGAGAAGGGAGTGATGGTCGGCTGACTTCAAAGCGAAGTATCACTGCAGACCGTGCAGATTAAGCGCACAGCCTTGAACTGGCTTGAGATGTGTGCTTCTCGGCTGCATCACCCATTCGAAAAAGCCACACTCGGCGCCAGTCTCACAGAGTCACGCCAAGCCACGGTCGAATCGGTGCTGGCAGAGGCAGGCAGGTTCACGCTCGCGTCGACTTGACGTTCACGCTCTTTCTACCCTTCTCCAGCCCAAGAACCCCAGAGTGACAGTCAGCTTAGCATGTCGCCATCTGCTGCCGCAAAAAATTGGAAGTGAGAAATGCGACTAAATTAGAGGTGTCTCTCAGTTCTCAGCCCCTTTCTCCTCTTTTCCAGTCAAGGCTGACCGTGACTGGACCCGTTTCGTGCGTGTGAGTGAGCGAGTGCCCGCTTGGCACGTGCATTTTTTGCGGTTGCAGCCTCCACTCTTGGTGTTGCTTTCGATGAGGAGGCAGCAGAGCGCGAGATGATGCAAGCTGAAGCAGCAGCTCAACAGCTCGGCGCGATGCCTTTTTCATCGTGAGCGAAAGCCGTTCGGGTCAACCCGAGCAAGACACTCAACACCATCTTCCAGGTCTGCCACCATCACACCTTACAACTATATCTACTTACCACTCACCAACGAATTCACATTTCAACATGCCTCTCTTCGTTCTCAGCCCCGTAAGTGATCCCATTGTCAAGACCATGACCTGCAGCAGCTCGTACTGATGTCATACTTCATTCCAAATCTGGAACGTCGCTTTCGAACATGACCCTTTCCACCGCACAGGCCTCTCTGGCGCACTCGGCCCTCTTCGCCGGCTACTACACGTACCTCTCGTCCAACGTCATTGTCAACCGACTCAGCTCCAACATCTGGCTCGGCTCTGGCGATGCTGACAAGGTGCACGGCCCGGGCGACAAGAAGACCCAAACTCCCGACGAGCTTGCCAAGCTGCAGAAGGCCGTGCGTGCCCACGGCAACTTTGCCGAGTCGGCCCCCTTTGCCTTCTTCCTCATTTTCCTCGCTGAACTCAACGGTGCCCCCACCTCGCTCGTCCACGCCGCCTACACTACCCTCTTTGCCGCTCGTGTCGCCCACGGAAGCATCGGCATCCAGGCCGGAAACGGCGCTGCTATCGGTCGTCCCGTCGGTGCTCTCGTCACCCTCGCTGTCACTCTCGGCGCCGGCCTCTACAACGTACGTACTCGCAAGTCGTCCGGTCCACAGCCGCGTGCTGGCCAAGTCGCTGACCACCCTTGCTTCTCTTTCCATCATTTCTTGACAACAGTTGAACCTCGGTTGGGAGCCCCTCAAGTCGTTCCTCGGCTTCAAGTGAGCTCGCCCCCTTGTGGGTCTCTGAGCTGCTCGATCCAGCTCACCTGCTACTTTGTTTGCTCACTGCGTAGACGACGGAAGAAAGAAAAAAATCAAGTTCTGTTGTACAAATGACACGTTTACATGAGATGCTATTGCGTAAGCACCTGAGATACGTTTGGAGCAATAAGGGCTGTCGGACGCTTTGGAGACCGATCGGGATCATGGCTCGTCGGCATCTGAAAGCGCGGTCTCGGCGTAAAGGACGGGTGTGCCAGTCGTCGGTCGCGGGTCGATCAGCCCATTCAGTTGTGCTGCTTCGGAGCCGGGCGGCGGTAACGAGACCAGGTGTTCGCGGAATCGCAGCATGTTGGTGTGCACCGTCTTGGTCGGCTCGTCGTGATCCTCCAGGACAGCAAGCGCGAATTGCTGCATATCCTGCGGTGCACCGAGGGACGCTGAAGGCGAAGCAGAGCCGAACGAGGCTTGCGTGGAGGTGTCCAGCTCGTCGATCTCGTCTGCACTGTCGTACGCGTTGCGAACGGCGTGCTTGACTTCTTCGTAAAACTGAGATGAGTGGGTTGATGAGTCGCTTCCAAGCTCGTCTGCGCTCGACAGCGGCGAGCCGTTTCTGCTGCTTGCCCCGCTCGTGTTCTCCCGCTTTCGAAGCAGTGATGCGGAAAACGCCTGTGTGCGTCCCTCCTCAAATTCAGCGACTGATGCGCCCTCCTCGTCGTCCGAGCCCGCGAGATCCTCGTCACGCGCGCCATCCTCGCTCCCGAACTCGGACTCGGATGTGCTGTAGTCGGCGGCGCTGCGCACCCACACGTCTTTCTCCAGGTCGTGGTGATTTGGTCGCTTCCTCTCCGTCTTGGCGCCGCCGGATATGTTGAAGGTCCGGGCGGATAGGAGAGCTCTTGCTGGTATCTTGAGTCTGACGACCAGACTCGCTCGCGATGCTGCAGCAGCTCCTTGCCCGGCGGACTGCTGAGCTGCTATCAGCTTGAGCACGCGACGAGCCACGCTCAGCCTTCCGAGAACGTATTCCTCGAGCTGACTGTACGGCTCTCCTTCCTCCACCTCCTCGCTCAAATCCAAGTCGATCTTGACCGGCGTCCAGGGGATCTCGCTTTCTCGGTCATTGAGCGGCCTGCCTCGTTTCTTGGGCGCATGCAAAGCCTGGTCGGCGTCCATCTGACGCGCCTTTTTGGTCGTCTTGCGAGCCGCTTTCTTCGGTAGCGGTTCCTCCATTTCGAGCGCAGCGGGATCTGCGAGCATCATGCGCTCTCTGGTGAAAGCCATAAGCCGCTCCTTGTTATTCCGTACCAGATCACCAAAACCCGAACGTATGAGGCAGCGGGAGCAGTTGCAATAGCCCAGACAATTTGGGCAGCTGAAATTGGACGCTTGAGGGTCAAAGACCACGTCGTCGTAACGGATCGTGAGGCAGCGTTCGCAGTACTTGAAGTCGCATCTGCTACACTGCATTTTGGGAATCTGTGTCTTGCGCCTGCATTGATGGCAGGAGGTCATGACTGTACCATCGGGGAGCACGTCTGGCTGCCTGTATCTGCGCTTAGTCTTGATTCGACCGAGCGAGTCGTAGCCTCTGAAGCGGTCGTCATCGTCTGTATCGGCATCGATGACCTGTGCGTCGTGTGCATCCTCTTCGTCGTCCTCCTCGTCCTCGCTCCAGCTGATCAGGTCCTCCGGTCGGATGTCAGGCACATCTTTGATGAAGATGTATTCGTTTCGAGCACGGTCTCGAAGTGCTGGCACTTCCACGTACGCGAAATCGAAGGTCTCGCCGGGTAAAGGTGCCGATTTGGTGGTGCCGTCTTCCGCGAACTTGACCTTGCGTTCGTATTTCTTCTTCTTTCGGGGTGACGACTGGCGGTCAGCCTGCGAAGGCCCAGCCGAGTTGGAGCGTGCGCGCTTTCGTGGTCGACCGCGGCCCCGTGAGGGCACATCTCGCGTCTGTGTGGGCTCGTCATCGTCGTCCCGATCGCTTCCATCTTCGCTCTGAGGAGTCGCAGAGGCTTCGAAAGAGCTGGCGTCTCCATTGACGGTGCCGGGCTTGGCGAGGCCAAGCTTGACGAGAAGCGCATCGTTCTGAAGCCTCCTGCGCAAGGTGCGCTGCTCGTAGTCATCGTCGTCGTCCTCTTCGTCGCTTGCCTGATTCGCCTTGTACGCATCATACAAAAGTAGGAGTTCCGGGTCTTCTGGATCCAACAGTCGACGCTGATCCGCCAATGGATCTGGTGGCGGCTCCGGTGGAGAGGCGGACTCTTCCGTCTGCTGTGACGTATGCCGCACCTCGATGCCATTGAGGTCCGGCTCTGTGTCGGAATTGACTTGCGGCGGCGGCAATTCCGGCGCGCCGAGCAGGTCCTCGACCACGTCAGGCAATGCTGGAGCGGATGCGTCCGCGGATGGTAGTTCCGGCGTGACCACATCGTCCAGGTCGTCGTGGGCGGCGGCAGAAGGCGGATGAGGCGTGAGTGTTGACGGTGCTTCATCGTCGCTACTGTCGAGGAGTGCAATTATACGTCGCGCTGCATCCACGTGTCGTTTCGTGTCGGAGGAGGAGAGCAAGTCTCCGAGCGTAGGGCGAGTATTACGCTTCGAGCGCGAGGCATGGCCGTTGGCGCGAGAATGAGATTGCGATGGCGCGGAACGCGATGAGCTCGCGACAGCTGAGTCGTTGGTTACTGTGCGGCGAGTTCTTGGCGTGCGTGTCTCCAACCACGAATCGGACCCGTTTGGTGGGACATAGCGCCGCAAGGGCATGTTGGCTGGTGAATACGCTGGCTCAGCCGAGCGCTATGATGTGACGATACTGGGCTTAGTGTACGACATTTGCAGACGAGACGCGGACGGGTAGGTAGTATCCACAGAAGTCCAGGTTGTTGAGTGGCCAGCGCTGAGTGCGGATCCGCCGAAGTGATGACTTGGGTATGCGACGGTGGAGATCCGAAAGGACGCGAGGTTGTGTCGCGAATGGCTGAGTAGCAAGGCTTTGTCTGAGGGCGATGTGGGCCGGGCTGAGCGGTCGTTTGACTGGCTGAAATGATGACAGAGCAGCGCGATATAGCAGAAGCGGAGAAGCCGTTCTGGATGTGACGGTGAGGAAGGATGCGGGAGGAAGGGATGGAGTCGTCTGAATGAGATGCGGGTTGAATCCGAAGCTTCTTGTGATCCGCCCAAAGCTAATTTAGCGGAGGAAGGGTCCAACGACGCTTCCACCCAAAAGTCACAGGAATTTCTGACTCTGCCTGGCATTTCACGATTCTTCGCGTGGACATGCAGGCAAACTGCATTCAGCCATGTCGTGTGTCCTGACGCACAATGCGTTAGCGGCTCTGCAGACTCGCAATTCACCATCACTTCCAGTCGGAAGCTTCACCTGTCCGAGAGGATGCGAAAAGAGCACTCAAGCTCAAGCACCCTTAGCGGATCGCTGTGTCGAGCGAAGCTGCACGATGACGGTCGCGTCGCTACTGTGATATTGCAACGGTGAGCAAGCTCGACAAAGACGCAAGGAAGGGGTATAGCGAGAACGGTAAGAACAATTCAGAGTCGTGGGAAGAGCCGGTCCTGGTCGAGCAGGTAAGGTAATGTCTTTGTATGTCAGCGCAAGCTGGGGTGGAAGGATCAGAACATGGTCGCGAACGCGTCAGAGGCATCCTTGGACGACGACGGCGGGAACATGGGCTTGCCATCCGCTCCCAGGTGGTTCTTGCCGAAAGTGAAGCCCACCCACAACGCCCTCCCACCTGCACCCGAGCCGCTCTCGCGCACCGCCTCGACGTTCCTCTGCTTGTCGTGCACATCCTTGTACCGAGCCATGTCAGCCGGGTCGTCAAAGTTGTCAAAGTAACCTGTATCCTCCTCGTTCTCCAACTCGGGGATGAAGGGTGCCTTGAGATCTCGCAAGCGACCCAGGTCCAGCGAGCGGAAGAAAGGATGCGCCTGCACCGGTTCGAGGCTGCTGTATCGTCGTTCGGGAGTGTCGACGAGCTTGGTGATAGCATCCCAGGCCACGTCGCTGAGGTTGAACTGCATATTCTCGGGCGTGTCGTACACGGGTCGCTGCAGCACCTTTTGCCAGTTCTTGAGGTTGGCGAACGTCTCGTCAGGGTTGCTACCGCTGAAGGGAGGGAAACCACAAAGGAACTCGTACAGGATGCATCCCAAGCTCCAGTAGTCGACACCGAAGCTGTACTGTCGTCCTCGCAGCATCTCGGGTGCAATGTAGTCGGGGCTGCCCACAATCGAGTTGGCGCGATGTTGAGTGTGCTGGATCATCTTCTTGAACATCGAGCCACGCTCGGCAGGCGTGCGATAGACGAAGTCAGTGTCCTTAACAGCATCCAGTCTGGCCTTCATCGACTCGATCTTGCCTGGGTGGAGCGCACCCGAAGCCAGACCAAAGTCGGTGAGCTTGACGTGACCGCTCGAGTCGACGAGGAAGTTTTCGGGCTTGAGATCGCGGTGAATGTAGCCCAGACGGTGAAGCTCGTTGACCGAGACGAGCATCTCGGCCATGTAGAAGCGTGCATACTCCTCTTTTAGCGCACCATTGTTGCACAGCAGCGTGCGGAAGTCGCCACCAGGAACGTACTCCATGGCCAGGAAGACGTGATCGGGATCTTGGAACGCGTACAGAAGACGTACCAGCCAAGGCGTCTTGGTGGCCGTCAGGATATCTCTCTCGGTGAGAACGTGACGCACCTCGTCCATCTTGACGAGAATGCGCTTCTTGAGTCGCTTGAGCGCGCAGATCTCGCCCGTGTCACGCTTGCGAGCCAGGAAGACTTCTCCGTAGCCACCGGCGCCCACCTGGGTGATGATATGGAATTGATTGACGCGAAGCTTGGTCCTCCTCTTGCGGAGCAGCACACGTTCACGTCCAAAGTACGAGCTGCGCTCCTTGAGATATTCCGGCGTCGGTTCGGCGCCTTTGGTCTCGGGCAGCAAGCCACGCGAGCGTGTCGACTCCTCGAAGCGAGCATGTCTGGCTTTGCGATCAGCGATGTAGCGGAGGTTGTCAAAGTAGTAGCTGAGGAAGTAGAGCTGAGCGACGTTGGCCTTGCGTTGCACCTCGGTGCTGCGCACGATGTCGTTCTCCCATGGCTGCAGACCGTCGCCGCGCCTCCAGCTCCTCCAGCTTCCCTTAGGATCGGGTTGAGAGTCGTTGCTGGACTCGTTGATGCGCGAGAGCTCGTGCGTCTTTGGCGCCTTGACTTGGTCATTGAGGCCCGATAGCGGAGAGTGGGTGTTTTCGCGTTTAGAGGGTGTCAGCGGCGAAGCTACCGAAGTGCTCGCATCCATGGCTGTAGCTGGCGCCATCTTGGATGATTGGGTGTGGATGGTGGTGGTGGTAGAGAGAAGTAAGGTCAAGATCGGAGAGCAACACGGTGTCTGAACAGCTGACAGCTTAGATTCATCAACTCTAAGCTCTTTTGTTGCAAGTCCGACCCGCAGCTCTGTGTCGAGTCGTGCAATCGTCCTGCGCGCTGCAACTTGACGCAGCGGGAAAATGGCAAAAGTCGTGAACCAACACACCAACACACCAGCCACTCTGGACTCTCGCGTCGTCAAACCTCACAGCTGCTGAAAAACATACTCAGTGGACCCTACTGCCTCTGGCTATCCAGCACACTGAGGTAGAGATGTTGACATGACTTGTCCCATCCTGTGCCACTGAGCAGCAAGAGTTGTACTCGACACATCAAAGCTGTACATGCGGCGGCCCGTCACAAATCCGTACTTTCGTATTGTTTCGAGCGAGCGAGCATGCTCGGTGGCGCATTGCGGATTCGGGCGTAGCATTGATTTCCGTCGTAGGGCTCGAGACAAGAGCAAGAAGCCTATCAGTGTGCATTGGGAGCCCATGATGGGGGAGCAGCGCAGAGGATGGTCTTGAAGCCAAAGTGTTACTTTCCACTAAGCCTCGCGACGCGGTCACGTGCAGAAAGACCCTGGCGCATTTGAAGCACACAGACAAGGCGCCACGCGCTGAAGATCAACCAACACTTTTCGGGCCAAATTCATTTTGGAGCTGCTGCAGACGCACAGTTGAGAACATCGACAGCTGAGCTCCACAACTGTTCTTCAGCACCACCATCGCTTCCGCTACTCTCGCCGATAACAACCTGCTCTCGCATCGGAAAAGTCGCACAAGGGCTACTTACATCTCGAGGCCGTCCAGGTCTCCCCATCCTCGAACAAAAAGTTTTAGCCAACAACCTAATTTGCAAACGATTCATCATGGCAGCTGCACCACGTCCATCCGTCCTTGCGACACCACGCAGGCCATTCGGAACGGCGACGCATTCCAATGCCGAGATGCGCAAAGTCTATGCCGATCTCGACAACAACGCCGTATTCGACTTTTCCAGCATCGTCTCAGCGGTCAAGACATTCTCCACACGCTTCCGCGCCTACACCGAGAATGCCATCTCCAACATCAACGACGACAAGGCCGAATTCGATGCGAATCGTATGGAGCATCGCAATCAGCTCAGGATGCTAGACCGTGAGATCGAGGACGCAAAGGCGAGCCAGGGCGAGCTGTGGGATACCATTGCAAAGGAACGCGAGCAGGATGCCAACCTTCGGACGCGACAGCAGACCCTTCAAGCGCAAAAGGCGTCCGTCACACAGCGATGCAATGAGCTTCAAGCTGAAATCGCAGAACTCAGACAGAACCTAGAGAGCAAGAAGCAGGCCAAGGAGGCGCGGAGGGAAAAGCTCAAAGAGCAGATCGACAAGAATGGTCCCGAGCTGCGTCTGCTCGAAGCCAAGACCGGATGCTCGGTCGTACCCACCAAGGTCGGTGATCAGCTCAAATTTACCTTCAACCTCATGAACGCAGACGACTGGTCGCAGGAATGCCACTTCACCATTGACGTCAGCAGCAGCAAGTACAAGCTCACCTCGGTCTCACCAAAGCTCGAAGCCAGCTTGCAGGAGTCGCTCCTCCAGGAGCTCAACTCTACACGCAAATTCTACACTTTCGTCAAGAAGATGCGCGCCGCGCTGCGTGCTCAAGTCGAGAAGGAACGTCTCGATGCACGCGACGCTGCCCGCCGTGGAGGTCGCTGAGCTTCATGCCCGTTTCCAGCCTTGACAGCCCGGATCGCATGCACCTTGTGCTCGATCGGGTCACGGTATCTCCTGACCGTCCCCTCACGCTTGTTGCCGTCTTCTCGCCACTCCTTAGATACCTCTTTTGTTTTTGTATTTGTACTTGTATCACACCATGTCTGCCTTTTCTTGCACCAGTCTTGTCACGCTTGTGCGCTGTATTTGAAACCGTTCCCTGGGTAGACACACTCTTGGCCAGAGAGGACCTAAAGACAGGGTCGGGAGCTGGAGGGCTCTCACACTCGCAAGTTCACCAGCATCATCACCATCAATCGGACCGAAGACCTTTTCTTGACCGTGATTTTGAATTTCATTTTTCTGAAGCGTCGGCCAATTTTGGTGACGTTTTCTGACACATTTCCGACCTGAATCACACGATGCAAGGCCTTCTCTCAGATCTTCCGTCCTCATCTATAACCACAACGCCAGCTTTCGCTGTCGGACGCCACTGTCCGCCAACACTACCGAGGACGGGATCAGACGTTCCAGTGACCGGTCCGGACGCGGCACCAGGAGAGAGCAATCATGGTGGCACCACGCATGTCGATCAAGTTCCTGGGCACCTCGTCCATGCCCAACTCGACCAGGAACTATTCTTCCCTCCTCTTCAAGCTGGACAATCATACTGTCATGGTCGACTGCGGCGAAGGCACACAGCGTCAGCTTCGGTCTCGATATGTCGGCGTCGACGAGCGTCTCGCCAACCTCAAGACCATTCTCATCACCCACCTCCATGCAGACCATGTCCTCGGTCTCGTGCCTCTGCTCATGTCCATGATGGGACCGTCCGGCGTCTCTGCTCCAGCGGAACCTTCTACGCCGCGTGTGGAGATCTACGGTCCCCCAGGTCTGCGTGCGCTGATCCGCACCACACTCTCCCTCTGCTATTCACAGCTGAGCGGCAAGTACGTCGTACACGAGTTCGTATGGCCCTCGCCGGCCCAGATGCCAGAAGATGCACCCCATGCGCTCAAGGATCAGCCCGAACGCACAATACCCAATTTGCCGCTGTACGAAGGCGAATCTAGCTCCGGAAGAAACCTCGACATGGACCCAAGGTCGTCCAGTTGGCCCAACTTCCTGTCCTTGAAGCCTTCAGCTCAGGGTCCAGCTGTGCGTGTCAGCGCAGCGCCCATCTCTCATCGATGTCCGACGCTCGCATACGTCTTTGAAGAGGAAGCAAGGGCTCAACCTCTGGATCCAACTGTCGCGGAAGCTCTCCAACGAAACGGCCCTGCCTTGCAAGAACAAAGAGGCATCCGGCATCCGCTTTCGCTCCTGTCCACCCTCACGACAAAGCGCCGCCCAGTTCACCTTCCCGACGGCACTGTGCTCCACCCACCGCCACTGAATCTTCCCGGACGCAAGGTGACGGTTATGGGCGATACGAGCGACGGGACCGGCGGTTTTACAGAGACGCAACTTCGAGCGGGGCATGGCTTGCCAGCGCTTGCATACGAATCCGACGTCTTGGTGCACGAGAGCACCAACATCGCCCTCCCTCCGCATCTCAACAAGAACGGCAAAGCTGATTCGCTCGAAGAGGTTGCAGCAAAAGCGCTGTCGCGCGGCCACTCGGTGCCTCAAGTGGCGGGGCGATTCGCGGCGCTGGTCAATGCCAAACGCTTGATTCTCAATCACTTTTCCACAAAGTATCCGAGTCCGCCGCACTATTTGCTCGACACGGCAGGCACTCATGCGGAGTCGTCCAACGTGCAAAGTCAGGGCCAGCCAGCTCCACAAGATCGTCAGCTTGGGGACCCGGAGCGGAAAGCGCTGATCATGAAGGAGTTCGAAGTGCAGGCATACCGAGCCTGGCAACAAGCCCCCAGGACGGGAACGCAGCTCGAAACCTACTCGGCGTTCGATGGCTTCCATTTCGAGGTGCCAGCACGACCGCAAGTAGATGAGACAGCGCCGGTCAGAGACGGCGGCAACGTGTTTGCGAGGCCATGGGAGCAAGATTCTTCTGCGGAGCACGACAACGGTCTGAAGAGAAAGCACGTCGAACAGGGCTCTGCGGTCGCCGACGAGACAAGCACCTGGGACCCTTCGCCCTTCCTCATGCCACCGTCATCAAGCGAGAAACCATCATACGCCATGGTGTTGCTCAATTCACCTATCGATCCTCGCCAGGTCGGGCATTTCCGACGCTTGTGGGACTCAGCATCACTCCGTTTGTGTGCCGACGGTGCGGCGAATCGTCTCTTGGACTGTTTCGGTGCCGCAGCATTCGAGCAGCAGAACAGCCCGTCGTCTGTACATCTGCCTAACGCCATCCTAGGGGATCTCGACTCGATTCGACCCGACACGCAGAAGTTCTTCGAGTCGAAGGGCGTGGCTGTACACACGCGACCCTCGCAGTACGCCACGGATCTGCAAAAGACGATCCAGGAGATCGAGGATCAAGAGGCAGGGGCAGGAGACGGCCAAGAGCATACACTCATCATCTTTGGCGGTCTAGCAGGTCGGTTGGATCAAAGCGTGCACACGCTGCATGTGCTGTGGCAGCTAGCCCCTGGCACCGAACATCTTGGCAGCGTCCTGGATCCAGACAACCCCACCGACAGAGGCAATCAGCTCAAGAAGCGACAGCGCACCTTTGCCATCGGAGACGGAAGTGTAGCATGGCTCCTTCCCAAAGGCAAGCACGTTCTCAAGATGGCCCGCGAGGTCATGGGCAAGACTTGCGGCATTCTGCCCTTGGGAGTCGGTAACAGCGGCGCCAAGGTGACGACCAAAGGCCTGGAATGGAACCTGGAGGGAGACTCGACAACGCTCGGTGGGTTCTTGTCGACGTCAAACCACTTGCATGATAAGGACGGCGTGGTCCAGGTGGAGAACGACGAGCCCGTATATTGGACGGTGGAGCTGCGTCCAGATGGCGATTGCAGCCTTTGAGACTTGCTAGTTCAGATGGATGCTCGTTCAGCGACGAGGGTCAGTCGACGATTCACACCATGCGAATGCATCCCTTTTCTTCCTCCATTCAGGCTTCATGTGTGGCCTCTGAGGTTCACAACCGACGGCTCGGCGGCTGTGACCGCCTCGTAGCATCTCTTGATGTGTTGCTGTGTCCCTGTCTGTGAATGCTTACGGAGCAATTTTTTCAGCTGTTACATCGCACCTGGCATTGAAGAGATGAAATTTTAGGTCCCTTCTCCACACCGCAACCTTGGCTCGGAACCAAAAATTTTGGGATCTTCGCACGTCAATCTGCATGCTCGACGTTTACACCTTGTCGCCATCACCCTCGCCATCACCTTCTCCGCGTCACACGACACCGGCAACCCTGTTATCGAAAGCAAAGAACACTTCGGAAGTACCTAAGTGCGCAGTAGATCGAACAAAAGCAGTAGCAATCTTCGCCATCCGCCCTCGCAGTCCGAGATGGTCCGCTCGTATCCGAACATCGTCATCACCGGCACGCCGGGCACGGGCAAGTCGACGCACTCCTCTTTGCTCGCCTCGACCTACTCTCCGCCCTCGAGCTCCTCTCATCCTCTCCGCCAGATCGACGTCGGGGCGTTGGTCAAGCAAGAAGGTTTCTACACGGACTACCTGGAGGAGTGGCAGAGCTACGAGGTGAACGAAGACCAGCTGTTGGACCATCTGGAGCCATTGACGGGCACAAAAGCGCCCGAGCCGATAGACGGGGAAGAGTTCGACGAGGATGAGCTGAGACAGGCCAAGCAGCAGGACGAGGACGATGAGGCCAGGGGAGGGCTCGTGTTGGACTGGCACACGTGCGACGTCTGGCCCGAGAGATGGGCCGACTTGGTTGTTGTATTGCGGTGCGACCATAGCGTTCTTTGGGAGCGCTTGGAGAAGAGGTAAGTATAGAAGATTCGCATTGTGTTGCTGCTTCAAGATACTGACAAAGCTGATGCTTTCCTTTGCCGCTTGAACAGGGGATACCCACTCAAAAAGATTCAAGAGAACAACGAGGCCGAGATCATGGGCGTAGTTGCGGACGACGCGCGGTCATCCTATCCTGCGGAAGCGGTGGTCGAGCTGACAAGCCAAGAGTCAGGAGACGTAGAGGAGAACGTGGAGAGGATCATCCAGTGGATTCACGCTTGGAGGCAGGCGCGCGGACTCGAGTGAATGGGGTACACAGCGGCGGGACGCGCCCGCAGGAAGTAGGTGCATAGCCTACGCCGCCAGCCTCGCCCGTTCCCTCAACTTTGCGATCACAGGCGCCGCCCGCGCCATTTTGGCACAGTATGTCCCAGCATCCCAGCTGTGAATGCGAGCTCGGCCAATTGAGAAGCGAGATTCGCGCTTGGTCAAGGTCAGACGCGGTGCCGGTGTGGCATGTGTTGGCGTGATATTGTGACATTCAGCAGCGGCAACAAATCAGACATCGGTCCTGACCCGCAAATGGGCCGGACCGTTTTGCAGGAACGAGCCAGCCTACTCGTTGAGGTTCTGAGCCTGGAGTCGTGTCTCGAGGTTCCTGAGGCTCTCCTCCTTCGCCAAGAGCTCTTGCCTCTTCTCCTGGATCTCCCTCTGCACTCTGAGCTCGATCTCCTTGAGCTTGTCCTCTTCGCGCTTAAGCTGTTCCTCCTTGAGCCTGACCGACTGGTTGGCAAGCTCTTCGCCTGGAATGGAAGTGTCGGCGTAGTCGCTGTGCACGGTTCTCGAGAGCTTCTCGGTACGGTAGTTCTCGTAGAGAAAGTCGTGGGTGATCTCCTTGAGATCGGTGAGATGTGTGTTGAGCAGGGCGGATCGAAGGCGTGCAAAGTCGGAGTGCTGCGGGTTGTCCACCTCGACGATACCCCAAGGGTACTTGCGTGCGCGAACCGGCTCGCCGTTGACAATGACATCCTCCTCCGAGCCGACAATGGCGAAAGGCATGAGACCACGCAGCTCCGAGTTGTCTGCAATGGTCTCCTCGTCGTCCTCCTCGACATCGTACGGGAAGTTGTACACGGGAATGCCGTAGTGCTCGATGTCCTCCATGATGCGCTTCTTGAACTCTTGCTTCTCAGTGAGAGTCATCGAGTCTGCCTTGCCGATGACAGGGATGACGTTGACACGAGGAGACAGTCGGCGCATGAGCTCAATGTCGACCTCGCGCAACGAGTGGCCGGTGGGTGTGATGAAGTAGAGAAGGGCATGGACACGGTTGTCGCGGAAACGTGGGTTACGCTTGATTCGCGACTCCTCTGCGAGAATGTCATCGTATTGTCGCTCGAGGAAGCCGACAATCTCCGAGAAGCTGCAGTGGCGGCAAGAGTCAGGAAAGAAGCGACGATACAGGTGTCAGTATCTTGGCAGCAATGCAGCTTACGCCCTTTAGCTGAGCGGAGGCAGAAGCTCGAAACTTACGCATATTCGTTGTCGATGTTGTCGCCGAAGCCAGGTGTGTCGACGATAGTGAGACCGATGCGCATGCCATCCTCTTCGAGCTCGACATTGACGGGCTTGATGCGAATGCCTTCTTCAATGTGGGCTGTCTCAGGGTTGTCGCTGATCTTGTGACCAATCACCTCTGACTCGCAGAGAGTGTTGACGAAGGTGGTCTTGCCTGTACCCGAGGCGCCTACGACCATGAGACAGAAAGAGACACCCTTCTTGGCCGCGCGACGGCGCGAAGCCATGCTCGAGTTGATAACGGACGACATGGTGGCCGAGGTGTGAAGTGTTGGCAGTGCGAGAAGAGTCAGTCCGCGCTGCGGGTGGATGAGGTTCGGGCGGTCGGCAAAAGCGTGCTTTTGTTGCGAGGACAACCTTCGGGGCCCGCTCGAGTCGATGTCGCGTTTGATGCTCGGTGCGCAACGATGATGAAGATGATGGAGGAACTGACAGCGGGAAGATGCTTCCAAGCTGAGTGTCTGAGTGTTGAACCGCGCACGAGCACTCCTTCTGCCAGCTCGCGTTCCTTTGAGACACGCACTGCACAAAGGCGGCGGCATTACAATTTCTTGGCCGCCCAATTCAAATGTGAGGCAGCCAACCACAAACTTTGAAGTCCACTTTCAGAAGACTGCGTGCGCCTACCCAAAATCATCTCTTCAGTGCCAGATCCGATGTAACAATCCTAAAAAATTGCTCATCAAGCCATCACTGACCAGGACACAGCATCGCAGCAACACAGCAATGGATGCTAACGAGGCGATTGAAGCCGCCGAGCCTGTTATGACTAGTAAAGCTGACCTGACTCAGCGTCCCAAGCACCGCTCACACGAACAAAGCGCACGGTGCTGCACAAAAGACAACGATTCTTGAACGACAATACGGTACATCAAACTGAGCAAGCAAGCCGTTATTTCTTATTCACCATCTCACGCCCTACGCTCAGAGACGGGCACCGCCACCAACGAGCAGCTGGCTACCGTTCTTGAGCGTTGCCACGGCCTCGTTGACCATCTCGTCGACAATGTCCTTGGCGGGCTTGATGTCCTCGATGACCGAAGCGCACTTGCCGAGCAAGAACCTCTGGCGGGCGCCGGCCTCCTTGGTGCCCTCCTCGTCGTCATTCTCGAGATCGTGGTAGACGGGGATGACACCCTTCTCCGTGAGCCTCTTGATGTCGTCCGGGCGCGACTCCCAGTCCATGATGTAGTCGGTCTTGTAGACGCGGAGGGGACGACCGGTGAAGATGATAGTGCGCACATCGGTCTCGTGCGTCGACTTGAGCACTGCTTCCTTGTGAGCGCGGGGTGCGCCCGACTCCTTGGAGGCAACAAATCGAGTGCCCACCCAGACACCGTCCGAGCCGTAGCAGATGGAGGCGGCGAGACCGCGACCGTTGAAGATGCCACCAGCGGCAACCGTGATGATGGGCTTGCCGGTGAGAGGCGATTTGCGACCACGGCAGATATCGACAACGCGGGGAGCGATGATGGAGAGAGGGACATCACCGGTGTGTCCACCACCCTCACCACCTTGGTAGATGATCATGTCAGCGCCAGCCTCAAGAACCTTGGGCGCGTGCTTAGGGTGGCCAATGATACCGGCCACAATAATGTTGGCAGCGTGGAGCTTCTTGACCACCTCGACGGGGGGCACACCGACGGCCGAGATGAAGAGCTTAGCGCCCGACTCGATGATGATGTCGATGAGCTCAGGGAGCTGGCCGTTGGTGTAATCTGTGTTGGTCTTTCGGGCACCACCGCCGACCTTAGGGAGGAGCAGATCGATACCAAACGGAGCGTTCTTGTCGTGCAAGTGCTCCTTCAATTCCGCCACGACCTTGCGGAGATAAGCAGGTGTGTATCCCACACCCCCGATCACTCCGATGCCACCCGCGTTAGTGACGGCGGCGGCGAGCTCGGGACCAGCAGCGACGTTCCTGATGATCGTATGAGGAGAAGAGGTGTAAAAGTTTGTGTCAATGTCGAACAAGACGCGAAAAGTGGCAAAAAATGAATTACTCACATGCCGGCAAGCATGATGGGGTGCTTGATGCCGAACTGCTCGGTGAGCGGGGTCTTGATCTGTTGTGCGGAAGCCATGATGATGATGTGTGGTGAGAGATGAAGATGGTGGTGGTTGCGGAAGACGAGTGGAAGGCGGGCTGCGCTCAGATGGTTGCACAACAAATTTCAAAATGCGGGGCAAGCACGGTTGAGGCGCAGCCAGCCAAACGTACAGGCAGAGCCACCTTCCGACAGGCGATTAGAGTTGAGCACAAGCGCTTAGGCTCCAACGCAGGACCTGCTGACCTGTCTCTGTGTGTGTCTCTGCGCTGAGGCTTGCCACTGAGGAAAGCGAGCCGCGCTGTGTTGGCGGTGGCAGTCGGCAAAGGCGGATTCTGATTTTGCCGGAAACTACCCGGTGCTCCGGCTAGCAAACGCGCTTGGGCAAGGATGCTCTTTGCTTAGGCGAGACCCTGAGCGAGCATATCGCACGGGAGCTTGGAATCTTCCTGCGGACCCTTGTTTCGGATCGTTGATCTTTGGCAAGGCTTGAAACCATCTGTGCCACGTCAAAGTGTTTGTGACTGGCTCTGCTGTCATCACAGCGGGCTCAGCGACGATGAACGAGGCTGCCACCAAAGCAGCAACAGCTGCGAAGACGATCGAGACCAACTTTGTAGGCCGCACTAGCATCGTCCACATCCCTGACGGTCGCGCTTTCTGCGGCACCTTTGTCTGCGTCGACTCGGGCAAGAACATCATCCTCGGCAACACGGAGGAGATGCGAGTCACACCAGAGGGACGCAGCTCGTCTCGTAACGTGGGCATGGTCATGATCCCCGGTGACTGCGTAGTCAAGGTTGAAGTGCAGGAAGATGCAACACAGACGCAGCACGCACCGCCTCAACCCTCGCTAGCTCAAGCAGGATGGCCTGATGACGAGTCTTTGTATTCTTGATCGCCAGACGCAAACCAAGAGAGGCACCAACAAAGGACGAAGCGCCATTCAAGGAGAACGCAGACGAAGAGCTTGGTCGCAAAGATCGTAGAGCGTAGTCGCGACCCGATCGAGCTCTGCGATGTGGTCGTGGCCTGGATGCTCGATGGCACATCCAAGCACCTCGCTCATCATCCAGGACAATGGCTTCAACAAGGATGTCTCGATGAGACTCAATGCGTCCCGGCCGCCAAAGCTGACGAAGCTCAAGCAGAATTCGAAGATAGCCGAGATTGGCATGAGCAAACTGGCTCCTACGACAGCGATGCCTCCCAAAGCATCCTCCAGCTCCTGCTCCAGCTTCTTTACGATAGCGAGCGCGATACTTGCGGCGATACTGCAACCGGCTGACTGGCTCCGCGCTTGGATACGGTCGAGGATTCCAGCTGCCATCTTGATCTGCGTTTCATCGCGCCATATCAGATCTGCGAAAATCTGGCCTCCTCTGCTGGTGAGGCCGGCTGCAATACCTGCGTTGATCTCTCGACCCTCAAGCTCGACTGTAGCGTCAAGCATAAGGCCAAGCAGGGCCAGCAAATGAGGACGCTGCTGCGTGTCGCCGGCTACGAGCTCCGTTGCCCTTTCAAGACTAGCGACGAGAAGATTGGCGACCTTGGCATAAGCCTCGAGTCCGAATCCAGCGTCGTTGTGCAACACGACCAGTAAAGACAGCAGTCGGCTCGTCAAGTCGGCGGGACCGCCGAAGAAGTCAGGATGCTTTACGAGTTCCTGGTCGAGCTCGAAACGATCGACATCAGTCGAGGACTCGATCTGAAGGCGCATGCAGTCGATGGTGTGGCGAGCATCGATGGAAGGCTCATCTGCAGGCAGCAGTCAAAGGGGCGGGTGTCACCATCTAGTCCGATGCTCCGGTTGGGACGAGCACAAGACACACTCACCATTCCTCCGCTCTGCCACGAGGACGAAGTAGTCTCTGTAGACCGCGATGGGAAAGGGCAAAGGCTGCTCGGGGAAGTGTTGCAACGACTGCAGGAACCGCGAAACATCTCGCTTGAGAGCCTCTCGCGAACCAGACCCTGGGTCAGCAGCGGCTTGCGCGTCGCCCACGACCACCTGTCGTGCAATCGGAGACAGACAGTAAAGAGCTACGGCGTGTCAGTCCACCTCTTCGATGACGTGTGAAGTTAGGATTCGCCAGCAGGACAGAACATACCACAGCAGCTCGTACGAGGTCTTTCATCGCGACCTGAGAACAAAGAGGTTGTCCTAGGTGTTGGGTTGCAGAGGCTCATCGTCCGTTGGTGACATGGCAGGAAGGAGTGTGTTCCCTCCTTCTTTTATACCCGATGCGCAATCTAGACATGTATACATTCATCACTGTTGAAGCTTGGAACGTGTCCGCAGGCCACTCAAAGCTTTGTGCGGATCGTCCGAATCGTGAGAAGATTTTGAGAGAAGGCGTCGGCTCACGCGTTGCGGAAGGTCCGGCAAAGAGCGGGTATGACTCGGCTTGGACCCTTGCGCTTGTTGGTCAGTGTGGTCATCCACTCTTGCTTCCTCGATACTTGCATCACCACACCCTCGGCTCCCCCGCTACCATCCCACGTCCGCCTCGAACAAGATGGCAACTGCAAACGACGAAGTGATCCTCTGCTGCGTGCAGGACAGCCCGGTCTCGTTCGACCTGCAGGCGTCTCTCGACAAGCTCACCAGCCTCGCGCGAGAGGCAGCCACCAAAGCTCGAGCAGCCGCATCATCGCCCTCGACTCCGATCGTAGTCCTCTTCCCGGAGGCATTCCTGAGTGCCTATCCTCGAGGACTCGACTTTGGCGCCAAGATCGGTCACCGCACCGCCGAGGGTCGATCCTGGTTCGCACGTTATCATGCATCATCCGTGTCCGTGTGCGACACAGAGGGGCCCGAGATGACGACTATTCGAAACGCAGCCAAGGACAACGGCATCACACTCGTGGCTGGTGTGATCGAGCGATGCGATCGACCCGAGACGGGCAAGAAGAGGGCAGAGTATGGAAGCAGCGTCGCAGGTGGATCGGGTAGCATCTATTGCACCGCTCTCACCATCTCTGAGACGGGAGAGGTGCTGGCCTCGCACAGGAAGCTCATGCCTACGGGCACTGAGCGTCTGGTGTGGGGTCAGGGCGATGGGCAGGGCATCCGAGTGGCATCCACTCGAGCTGGCAATGTCGGTGCCGTGATCTGCTGGGAGAATTACATGCCGCTGCTGAGAACGGCCATGTACGAGAAGGGCGTCGAGATCTACTGCGCACCCACGGCAGATGGTCGACCCACTTGGACATCGAGCATGCAGCACATCGCGATGGAAGGTCGTTGCTATGTCATCTCGTGTAATCAGTTCAACAAGCGGTCCGACTTTCCTCAAGACTACCCGGCGCTCAACGATCTCAAGCCGGACGAAGTGGTTACGAGAGGAGGAAGCGTCATCGTGGGACCTCTTGGCGAGATCATCGCTGGCCCGCTGTGGGATCAAGCCGGCATCCTGGTGGCCAAGGTGAACAAGAGCGAACTCATCGAAGCCAAGATGGACTTTGATGCGGTAGGACACTATGCCCGCAACGATGTGCTCCGCTTGCAGGTCAACAGTTGACGTGTCAAAAGCTGTCCGTCATCTTCGTGACTTCCATCATAGCGGCACATGGATCTCGGAAGTGGACCTTGTGTCCGCGTCTCTATTCAGCTGTCAGACGAATCACAGAGGGTCCAAATCTTAGCTTACACCATGTCTGTGCGGATGTGGTCCAGCCTTGGCAAAGCGTGGTCGTATCGCGCTATCAGAATTCCGAGCCAGGATCCCGCGGAATTGGACTTCATTGCGATTTGGCGTGCAGAAAATGCAAAGCCGGCATGGGACGTCGAATCGGAGCCTCCCACACAACGAATGAGTCCACCACAGGAACATGAAGAGCTGATCGCCATGCATCGGAAAGAGGGTTGCTGGGGAACATCTCAGTCTCGTCACAAGTCGACCGGGCTAGTCGTCGCAATCATGTTGGAGGTACCAACAAGGACATCGCCAGGACGAGAACGTGGATCAGGGTTCCTAAACTTAGCTAAAAACTCGGCTTTTGCATGATTTTCGTACAACTCAGACATCACACCACTGTGCTTGGCAGAGGTGTTGTTGTTGTGGTTGTCCGCGGCAGTGCCGAGGATTGATTCAGCTACTGGATGCACATCAGCTTGTGATGGTTCGGCACCAAGCCGACTTCCGGTCACGCCAAGCCTTGTTCGTTACTCATCCGTGGTGAAAGTTTTGTCTCTCGCTCCGATCCGATTGCTGGTACTGTCGGCTTGACTCGGACCATCCCTTCAAGCTTGACATCATACATCTATCCTCTTGACCGTCACCCTCCTTCCCACGATACAATGGAAGAGCCGATACCGTCTTCGACAAGCCCAGCAGCCTGAACAGCCTAGACGACGCTAGACCCGCTTGATTCGGCGCTCCCGTCCTGCTTCACCATCATGATGGCCGCTCTTCAGAGTCACAGTCGCGACGAGGTCACATCGACACCGTCGACACCACCCGAGGATGACACGAGCAAGTCGACTCCCAGGATGACGCTAAGCAACAAAGAGGAACACGCCTCGACGACTTCTCCATCGCTGGAGCATGTCGCTTCTAGAGACGAGACAGCGCTATCGCCTTTCGCCATCAAACGCAGTCAATTCACGGCTTTGACGAAGAAGAACTGGATCGTGCTGAGGTCATACTGGCTTGTCAATGCCCTCAGATGTCTCATCATTCCGATAGCCTATTACATCTTCTTGGGCTTCGCCAAGAACTTCTTCAACACCACCAACGACCTCGGGCTAGGCGCTCCAGCAACGATCCGTCAGCTCTCTGACACCATCGGATCCAAGCCGATCTACTGGCTTGACGCACGCACCTCAACGACTGGCTCAAGGTTCTCTGCGCAACAGATCATCGACACCATTCTGGAAGATTTGCAGCCCAGTCAGCGCTCACTTGTCAGACAAGTCCGCGACGATACTGAGCTCGGTCTCGCCTGTCCACAAGCCTTCAACGGACTGAGCAGTTGCTTTGGCGCCATCAACTTTCAAAACATCACTGAACAGGGCAGCGTCAGCTATACTCTTCGGCAGGACCCCGGTCTGACTCGCGTCAAAGTCAGCACAAACAGCGGAGATGCCGAGACCAGGACCCTGCCGTTGCAGTTCGCCGTTGATTCAGCCATCCTTCAGCTGAACGGCGCACCCGCTTCCTTCTACGCTCAACCACCTCTCGAGCAACCTTATTCGGCGCAAACCAATGCTGAGCAATCAGAGACCCAACGAACAGGCTTCCTCAACGGCGTCGACCAGCTCAGCGTACTTGCCTTCTTCATTGGCATGCTTGGTATCGTCTGGCATCTCCCTTCCTCCGTCAGCGAAGAGCGTGGTTCCGGCATGACCGCTCTCCTCACCACCATGGGCTGCGGTCAGCTTCCTCGTCTCCTCTCTTGGCTCTGCGGTCCCGGTGCTGCCTATCTTCCAGCTTGGTTCGTCATGGGAGGTGTCCTATCCGCGACGCTCTGGACCACCAGCAACAAGGCGCTCTGCATCTTTGCCCACGTCTTGCCCGGTCTAGCCATGGCCAGCTGGTCACTCTTCGTGGCGACCTTCTTTGCACGCGCAAACGTGTCGAGCATCATCACCACCGCCATTGCGATCCTCTTCGCCATCGTCGCGCTCATCACCAAGCAGATCGGGGAAGGCGGTGGAATCATCATCGGCTTGCTCTTCCCCTCGGCTTCGTTCGTCTACGAGTTCATCGCCATCTCTGCCTACGAGGAAAATGGTCTCGCTGCTGATGTGCTTGGGTCACACGATGACTTCAACAGAGGACCCTCGATCCTTGGTCAGATCATCGTGCAAATTATCGCCATCTTCCTTTTCCCGGCACTCACCATCCTACTGGAACGCAAACTCTTCTTCGCAGAGCCCTTCTTCAAGTGGTTGTTCCGACGTCGCTCCTCCTCGGCGCCTGTTGAGGGCTCGAGCTACTCAGAGAAAGCGAACTCAACCAAGGGGATGACACCGGCTTTGAAGATCAACAACCTGGTCAAGAAGTATGGCAAAAAAGAGAGCAGCCTGGCTGTCGACGATCTGGACCTCGAGGTGCCGCGTGGCAGCATCACATGCTTGCTCGGCTCGAATGGCTCTGGCAAATCGACTACCATCGGCATCGTCAGCGGGACGGTTCGCAAGACCTCAGGCGAGGTCTACATCGACGGCTTTGAGCGCGGCGCTGCTCCACCTGGACTGCTTGGTGTCTGTCCGCAGAAAGATGTGCTCTTCAACCAGCTCACCTGCCTTCAGCATGTCGAATTGTTCCGTGCCATCAAACATCGTCGTGGTACCAAAGAGGACGCCACCGATCTGCTTTCACGATGCGAACTCGCCCACAAACTCAAATCGAAACCCATGCAGCTCTCTGGCGGTCAGAAGCGACGTCTGCAGACCGCAGCAGCGCTGGTCGGTCAGTCAACGTTCCTCATGTTTGACGAAGCAACATCTGGCCTGGACCCGTTGTCGCGTCGTGCTATCTGGAAGATCTTGCTCAACGAAAGAGGGAGGCGCTCGATCCTGCTGACGAGTCATTTCCTGGACGAGGCGGACCTGCTTGGTGACCACATTGTCATCTTGGCAGCGCCAGGCAAGAAGCTGTGCCAAGGCACGCCGATCGAGCTCAAGACACGGTTCGGACAGGGAAGCACCATTCACGTGTCTCCTGCCGGAACTGGGGTGCTTTCGCTCCTGGAATTCGTGTGTCCTGGAACGAAGCAGATCGAAGCGATCGAGCCAGGTCAGGATTCTTTCTTGATTCCGTCGACCGAACAAACGCACGTGGCGCAAGCGCTAGAAGCGATCGAACAGCAAAAGACGGCTCTTGGCATCGCGAGCTACGATGTAGCCGGCCCGTCTCTCGAGAGCGTCTTCCTCACGCTCAACTCGGAGCACGCCAGATCGAATGGCAGACAGGAAGAGGTCGACGAAATGGAAGGCAATGTCGGTCATCGACACGATCAGTCTGGATTGTCTGACGGTGCAGTTGCGAGCGTCTTTGCTCTCACGCTTGCACAGCTTGGCAAGCGCGTCATGCTGTACCGTCGCATCTACTTCCCAGCCATCTTTGCGATTCTCGTCGCCGTCGTTGGATCGATTGTGCCTCTTGCCTTCTTCTCGAACCGAGATCCATCGTGCACTCGCGGCTTTACGGATCGTCGCATCATCCAAGGAGCCACCTTCTGGGACAACGCCACTTCCACGACAGAGCTGCTGTACGCTGCACCCGTCGCCAACGCGCAGACAGTCTTCGGGACCGGCTTCGACCTGACTTCGATCGAATTCGATCGCGTGCCTCTCGACCAGTACAACTCGTCCATCGAGAGGCTTTGGAACGCAAACATGCGAGGTGTAGGAGGCATCGCGCTTCCTGGTGATACGGCGGGTGCAAGAGTTCAGTTCTCGTATCTTGCTGACCAAGGACCGATCTTCCCCATCGCGGCTCTCAATTTGGTCAGCAATGCCGGCTTGGCCAGTCTTCGAAACGGCGACTCGGACGGCGCGCCCACCATTACCACATCGTACCGTCCGCTTAGCTTGCTCTCCCTCGGCAGCGGGCTTGGCTCAGCGCTCAAGTGGGCGGTCGTCTTTGGACTGGTCCAAGCAGTCTGGCCTGCCTTTGCCGCGCTGTACCCCTCGGCAGAGCGCAACAACCGCGTCAAGGCGATGGCACTCACCAACGGCATGCGGGCTGTCCCACTCTGGCTTGGCCACCTCATCGCCGAGATTCCCGTCATCGTCATCAGCACAGTCCCCGTGGCCGTCGTGTACGCCTTTGCCTCGAAGCAATTCGCGGGCGAGGGCGTCTTTTGGGTCGTCCTCTTTCTGTACGGCATCGCTGCGACACTGCAGAGCTTCGTTGTGTCGCTGTTCGCACCCAATCAGCTTGCGGCGTTTGCGATCGTGGCGGCATGGAACGTGCTCGCTTTCCTGATCTACTTTGCGACGACCATGCTAACGGTGACGTACTACGTGGGCAATGGGCTGGTTGGTGCTTTGGACGCAGGCTACTACGTGGAAGCATTGCTGGCACCGAGCGTCAGCATGACCAGAGCCGGCTTCGTCAGCGTCAACCTCTTCAATCTGCAGTGCAATGGTAGGGGAGGGTACAAGAGCGGCGGCATTGGTGCGATCGAATTGCTCGGCGCACCGATCGTGTACACGATTGCCTGGGCGCTGGCGTGCTTCGCGATCCTGGTCGCTCACGATTCGGGCTATCCGCTTCTGCCGTCCGGACTGGCATTCTTGCGCAGAAAGCGTCGTTCCAAGGCATCGGAAGACATCGGCGAGGAAGAGTCGAAGGTGCAGCCAGTGGGCCAAGGCGTGCGTGAAGAAGCGCTGCGCCTGGACTCGCCCGAATGCGACGACGTCCTCCAAGCCAAACACCTCGACAAATCGTACGGCAAGCTGCTTGCCGTCGACGACGTCTCTCTCGGTGTCCGCCGAGAAGAGACTGTCGCGCTCCTCGGCATCAATGGTGGAGGCAAGACGACAACCCACTCGCTGATCCGTGGCGAGCTCACTCCCGACTCTGGCAGCGTCACGATCGCCGGCATTGGCGTGGCGCAACAGCGTACTTTGGCACGCTCACACATCGCCTCGGTCCCGCAGTTTGACGGTCTCGATCCCTTACTCACGGTCGAGCAGCATCTACGCACGTACGCGCGTGTCAAGGGTGTCCCTCGCTCGCAGCGCGCCGACAACGTGGTGGCCGTGATGCATCTGACCAACCTCACGCAGTACGCATCTCGCCGTGCCGGGGCGCTATCAGGGGGCAACATGCGCAAGCTCTCCCTAGCCATCGCACTTCTCGGCAACCCATCGGTATTGTTGCTCGACGAGCTGTCGTCCGGTGTTGATTCATGGACGAAACGTGGGCTATGGCAGACGCTGCGTCGGGCAGGCCAAGGGCGAGCGACACTGCTCACCTCGCACAGCATGGAAGAAGCGGCAGCGCTAGCCTCACGAGTCGCCATTCAGGCCTCCCGCATCCTCGCCATCGACACCATCGGCAACCTCCGCAAGAGCCATCCGAGCTACGAACTTCAGCTCGACATTGCCGAGCAGCACCGTGGCTCGCCCGAAGCGTACGCGAGAGTGCAGCGGTTCGTAACAACGCTCTTCCCGACGGCAAAGACGAGCGACGAGGCGAGCGCGCGGTTTGAGATCCCGCTCGACGCGGGCGACAGCGTAGCTGGGTTGTTCAGGAAGCTGGAGTTGGCGAAATCGGAGAGAGAGCAGGCGGGAGTGGTGGGATATCAAATCAGTCCTGTTTCGTTGGAGAGTCTCTTCTTGCAGATTGTGAGGCAGGCACAGTCGGATGCGGCGCGAGACGAGATCGGCCGGCATCACAAGTGAGATGCATACATAGACAATCATAGATGCAATAGATGGGTTCTCACTGGCTCAGAAGGTGTGCCGAGAACGGATCCGTCGATGAGTGCCGGGCGTGACGACGGCGCGGCAACAACGTGAATTCCCGCGGATATGCAGGGTCCGTGAGGATCAGGATGTGATAACGTTCGAACGTGGCCTCCACCTTACCCTCTCGCCCTCTCCTATCTTGTTTCCCTACCTTCTCATCGTCCTACCTCCATCATCACCACCTAGACACCACCACTCTCACCCCGCCGGCAGCCATGCCAGCGTCGACAGTCCACCTCGTGGTCATCCACCACGGCCTATGGGGCACGCCGACCAACACCGAGTTCCTCGCCACCACCCTCGCCCAGTTCCACGGGGGCACCATCTCGCCCGCGACCAAGCTGACCCCTCCTTCCTCCCCCTCCACGATCGCCGCGCTTGCCGATGGGCACCCGAACGCCAAGCGCGATGACATCCGTCTGGTGGTATTGAACAGCGAGGTGAATTCGGGGGACCACACGTACGACGGCGTGGACTGGTGTGGTGAGCGGCTCGTCAAGGACATCTACCGCGAAGTCACCCGGATCGAGGACGACGAAGAGGCTCTTGTAGGGAAGCTCAGTCTGATCGGATACAGCCTGGGTGGGTTGGTGATACGCTATGCCGCAGGACTTATGTATGCGGATGGATTCTTCGCATCGAACGACAAGCCGAACGAGCCAAAAGCGAAGAAGGATCTGCCGTTCAAATCACGACCCATCGCAGCGAGCCTTTCAACGATAGCAACGCCGCACCTCGGCGTCACACTCACAGCATCCACCTTCAGTGCGGTAGCCGCTTTCGTTGGAAGTCGCAACCTCGGCCGTTCTGGCAAGCAGCTCTACCTAGCAGATCGAGGGTGGCACCCACCTTCCTCTAACGAAGACGACGAGGGTCTGTGTCTGGTGGAAGCGCTCTCCGATCCGCGCTTCGTCTTTCTCGCGGCACTACGGCGGTTCGAGCGGCTCGACGTGTATGCCAACGCTGTAGCCGATCTCACGGTCAGCTATCGCACCGCCGCCTTCGAGCCGCATGACCCATTCCTGCTTCCACCAGACCAGATCGAGCTCGTTCGAAACGACACCCATTCTGCTCTACTCGATTCGTACGCCCTCAGCTCCACCACTCCAAAGCAAAAGACTCTGTGGAGGAAGGTGAGCGGCGCACTGTCGACCAAGAATCTACCATGGATCCTCAACCCACAACGCTTCCCATTTCGATTTCCGCTCAACTACTTGGCGCTGGTGGCGCTGCCCGTGTTGTTGCCGGCGATGGTCGGGTTGGTGCTGCACAAGCTGCGTAGCGATTCCAAGGTTTCGAACAGGAGGGTGGAGGCGTACGAGAGGGTGTGGGGGGTGGAAAATGGCCATCTACCCGAGGAGCAGGAGGCGGAGAACAGTGCGAATGGGGCGAAAGGCGTCAAACAGGCACGTAAGAAGGATGGCAAGTCGAAGCCTGTTAAGCTGGACCAGGCGACGAGGGGGGCGCTGGAGCGAAAGAGGGTGTCCAACTTCCTTGCCGCGATGGAGGCGGAAGCCGAAGAGACGCTCCGGGAGGTCGGGGAGGACTTTGTGCGGACCTCCTCCTCCTCACCCACCACAAGGGAAATCGACACCACAACTACACATTCGGACACAGACAAGTACCGCCTCATCCCTAACACCCCCACCTTCTCGCAGACGCAAGACTGGCCAGTGAGCAAAGACGAACACCCCCTTCTCCCCACCCAACACCGCGTCATCGCCAACCTCACCACCCTCCCGCAAACTAAGAAGCACCTCGCTCACTTTCCGGACGTGCTCAACAGTCATGCCGTCATCATCGTCCGCACGCCCACCATGGATGCTCACAAGAAAGGCATCCCGCTTATCAAGGGCTTCGTCGCTCGGTTCGGCCTCTAGACCTTTTCCACCTCTAGACTTGGTGGATATGTACACTCGTTTAAGGGCCACACACCGGGACATTTTCCAGCGGATGCGATTAATGACACAGTGTGAAAGTACAGGTGGATAAACGGGATGTTGCGATGCGATGCGAATGAGATCGAAAGGAGTGCGACTGAGGCACGGATGAAGGAGAAAAAAGTGAGGCACGCTAGAAGGTCGACTCCTTGCCAAAGTGGCAGAGGTACGTCTCCCAGTGGCCAAAGTAGTCTCTGCTTCGAGGGACGGAGCGAGGTGCGATGCGCAGCGGCGCATGCGGTGCCAGGCTATGCTGAGGTTTGACTGGTGGGGAGGGTGGGGAGTGGATCAGCTGGCCGTAGGCGTTGCGCGCCGGTTCCGGGTGCTGCTTCGCGCTGGCTTGGGCGCGGGTGAAGTCGATGACGGCCGAAAGGGTCGCCGATGGGGAGAGGGGGATCCTCGCTTTGCGCTGCGACTCTTTTGCTACCGCTTTACGTGCCTGACGCGATGGACGGGTCGGAGAACGTGCTGCTCGGTGGGTGGGGGCATCCGGTGTGACGGGAGACCGATCCTCGTCCGACGAGCCGATAGGCTGCGTATACGCTGGCATGGCAAGCTGACGCAACGGCAGACCTGATTTGGGAGAGATCGGCTCGTCGAGCAACGGCTTTGCACAAGGCTCGGACAGGTGAAAAGTGCCGTTGGACAGCGAGAGCATGCGTGCGCCGGTGTAGTCGAGTTGGTGATCGATGATGGGCCAGAAGCGCTGTCTCTCAGGAGCACATTTAGCATCCCGTTCGTCGTACACCTCGACCATGTGCGGCGCAAAGGCAGCGGCTCCACTGAACTGCGACCATCCGATGGGAGCAGTGCGAGTTGCCGATAGCAGTCGAAGCTCGGGGAGCACATCCTGCTTCGTTTGGGATGGAGGTGTTGCTGCGGACTTGGCCTTGGCAGCTTTGTCTTTGTTGCGTCGAGCAAGCTGGCGCTCGCGATGCTGCTTGCGAGCCATGCGCCATGAAACGATGGACGACTCAGCTGGTATGGGCGAGGAGTGGATAGCGGCGCGAGAGCGAGAGACCAGGTCGGCGGATCGCTTTCGCGTACTTGGATCGTTGCCGGCTCGGCTCCTCTTGTCCGGGCGCGGCAGGATGATGTCGCCTTCTGAGAGGACGCGCTTGGAAGCAAGAGTGGGCCTGACTCGGGCCGAGGAGGTCAGCTTGCGGGATGCAAAGGTTGGCGAGGCGGTCGTATGTCGCTTGAATGGGTCGACGTCCGTGCAGCTGCTGGCACTCGAGTCGGAGGCCTGTGATAATGGAGTCTGAGATCCTGACAAAACAAGATCACGGCACGAACACTCGCTGGCTGGTGGCGAGGGCGTCATAGAGACGTCTCTTTGCGATGACAGATCTGCAGCTGCGTCAATTGAAGGTGCAAGAGGTCCAACGGTCGTGTTGAGCTCCTTATCGGCGATCGTCGACGAGTGTGTTGGGGAGGAGGAGGAGAGCGAGTGCATGCGACTTCGCATCTGCTGAAAGGAGGCCGATTGGTAGGGCTCAAATTGAGTTGCCACGGTGCTTGAGGACCCAGAAGGGTCGGTCGGGCTGATCGACATGATGAGATTGCTGCGCTCGAGGGTGGCAATGCTGCAGCCAATGAGTTGCCACCTGCTTCGCCCAAACTACTGCGAGATAGCTGCTGCTTGACCGATGGACGAAGTTGGGCTGTGTGCGACGTGGACGAGGCACAGCTTAGCTTGTTGATGGCGATTGAGAAATGCTATGTGGCGGACGATGCGAGGAGATCGAAGTATATATCGATTTTAGTGTATCAGAATTGGCCCTGGTGCGAGCAAGAGGATGAGTGTGAAGAGAGTGTGAGGGAGACAGAGATGTTGTGTTGGCGAGGACGTTGAAGGTATGTGGCTGATGGTTGGTGATGAGCAGATGGGGGGTGATGGTGAGGAGGAGGGAAGCAGAGCTCAGCTGTTTCTGTAGGGAGGGGCGAGACTGGCTTCGAGGGCGGTCGATCGGTATCTTAGTGAGCAGAGTGTGACAGCCATCCAAGATGCATTCTGGAGTGACGATGCAAGAGGAATGAGCATCGGATGGGCCGAACGCAGACGTGAATTGGCAGTGTGACAGAAGCCAAGGCTGCGCAAAGCCAGGATCTGGATGCAGTCACGCAACAAGACCCAGGTCGAGGCAGAGCACGAGACGGTTGTAAAGAGGGGCCGAGACCGCGGTCATGTCATGTACCAAAACGTTAAAAGCATCGCGCAGCAGAAGCGAAGTGTGATGCGAGCGAGATCGTCAGAGACAAGATAGTGGAAACGCCAGCCAAACGAGCCTGGACGTCGACTCGATCTCGGAGGATATCTTGAGAAAGCGAGGCATCAGATGACTTGCGAGTCTTATTTTTCCTTTGATCGAGTGGATCGAAGGTGGGTTGGCTCCGCCTCAATCGACTGAGCATCGTCACGAGAACAGCCCAGGGAGAAGTATTCTGGGTGTTGACTGCTCGCTCACACTGCAACGGCCAGTTGCTCGAGATCGCGAGCGCAGTTTCGACTCCATCCGTCCCGCCTGTGGCGCATTGTCGAGGATACAGCTCATGCTTCCCACGCTTTGACAAGAGGAAAGCGCGCAACGTCCTTTATGAATGGCAACGCGTGTACCCCATCATCTTGGCACAATAGTTGGCGGGACCAGACTGCACGTGCAGCTGCGCGCAGACGGCGCGCAAGCTGAGAGGGTCCCAGCGTTGATGCAGCAGCGAGAGATGGGCGTGTCCCAAACACTTTTGCCATTCTGAGTGGGCTACTGTAGAGGAGGTATCATAGAACCATTCAGGCTGGAGGAGGTGACGATCGGATGAGCTTTTACGTGCAAGGCAAAATGATCGAACGATGATGATGGTGGGGACAAGTGTTTCAGAAATCGACAGCAGATTCTGGGTCGGCTCGTACGTCAAAAAAAATCCTCATCACGCTCATGCACCCTCTTGTCGTCACCTCTGTGGGCTTCAGTGGGAGGAGGAAGGCACCATTTGTTCGATCGATCTCTGCTTGAGGCTCCAATCTTCCCGTCGGATGCTCACAAGGGCGCATGATTCTGCTGTACATCAATGATACAAGCAAGTAGCGCAGCAGAGTCGATCAGCGCTTGGAATCAAAGCGGATCATCCGAATCAAAAGGAAAGGCAAACAAAAGGAAAACCTTGTTTTTAAGCGTCATCACCATCATCAACATCGGCAGCCCCGGGTGTCTCGAGCAGCAGCGCGTCACGGCTCAGGATCGGCGGAGCCTGCTGCCTCGGCCCAGTGATTCGGACAATTTTCTCGTAATTTTTTTTTAAATCGTATTCATCATCTCCACACATGAGAAGTGATGGCCATCGAGGCTCTCCAGATCCACATCGACCAGCTGCTCAACAAGCTAGCAGCCGGCATTGTTCCGATAGGATCGTCTTGGGTAGCCAGAATGACTCGGATCCCCCGTTCGATCATGGACGAGCAGAGCGCACAAGATGACGACGAACAGCAACTCTATTGAAGAACAATGAGGTGGTGCCGAAGGTATCTCTTCCTCTTTCTAGCTCCAACACCATCAGCGGGGCGCTGTGGGACAGAATGAGCTCAGAGTTGGGTCTGCATGAATCTTACGGTGGAACAAAGCACAGCTGCGGCTACTGCTGTCTCTGCTCTTTATGGACACGCTCCTTCGCGTCTCATCACACTTTCGTCACTTGCAGCCAGCTCCAACAACGCCAGCCCGACGGAAGAACGAACGTACGCAAGCGGGGCACCCAGCAGTCGGAATCGTACGATGTACAACTCTATACTTTACCTCTCCAAGCGAGCTTCTAGCCCGTGGTGGCTGCTGTACTTTGCAGATCGGCAGATGCGAAGCGGAGAGAAAGCACCGGCCTGTGGACCGGTATTTTGCGAGGATCGCGAGCACACCCTTTGCAGCAATGGAAAACGTGACGTTTTTGTCGATCGCCAGCCGTCATTGTCGCAGCGTGCTACTGCAGACGAGCGCTTAACTCCATTTTATTAAGTTATTTGTTGAAAGTCGTTTTTCTCGAAACGCCCGCAGCGATCGCTCGATTGCCTGACAGACACGAGGCTACGATACTGGATGGGTCTCGATTCGCTTTGACTCTCTTTCGATTGGCAACGCTTCGTTAGGACGCCGTTGCCGGCTGCCTTTCCAAACCGCCAAGCACTGCAGACAGTTGTTCGCCGTGTCGTCAGCGCTCGCTACCATGACTCACTTCCCGTCGAGTCTCGAACTTGTCGGTCTCCCGATCGTCGATGCCCTCTGTCAGAGGTGGCTTTCCGGCGTCTGGAGCTGCAGGTTTGCGGCGTGGCTTGGTTTGCTTGGTCGATCCCGTTGACGAGGCGGGTGGGGTTGCAGCTCCAACATCGACCGATTCTCAAAGCTGCCTCTGCAAGCCACACACACTCATCCTTGCATTTGCGCGCGCAAGCGAGAGCAGTGTGCCGATGGCCGACGTCTCCGACATGACACGTTTGGCAGCCAGAAATGTGGTGCCGAGCTCGATTCGCGAGTCTTCCCGCTTGCAGCTTCAAGCCAGTCCAATGATGCGCTCTCTCGACAGTGGACCCTGATCAGTTAGAGCCCACAATGGGCACAACTTTGCTTCAGAGTGTGCAGGACTGGCTCGGATGAAGCCCTTTCATGGTGTGGATGGCCAGCTGCAGCGTCCGATCAGAAGTCACAGTTGCCGGGCTGGGGCTTGTGTCGCGCATGATTTCCAAGCCGCGCCTTCCGAACGTCGAGAAGGGAGCAAAACTGGGTCACGCTCGATCCGAAGCTGCATATTTTCTTGCGCAGTGCTTTGACACAGGGAAGGCTCCTGCATTCAACCCACGAATCTAGCCCGATCAAAACGCAGATAGGATGAGATGCGGGGAAGGATGACCGAGCTGCAAGGTAGCGGGACTGCAAAAGGGGCCGAAACCGCATCTTACTCGGCTTGGACTGCCAACCCGCGTGTCTGCAGTAGATCTAACCTACTGCACGCGTTGCCACGCCAGCCTTGACTTTGGTCGGCACGAGCTCGGCTTCTCGTTCAGACACAGTTGCATCTGCTACGATCGAAGCACGTTGAGCCGTGGGTCGAGACCTCTCTCGTTTGTGCAAAGAAAGAGCCCAACCCAACGGATCGCGAAATCCTCTCTAAGCGCCCCCAACTTGGTCGAGGTTCCTTGCATTAAAACCTTGCTGCAGCATGCATCCCAAATTCAAGGCCCGAAGATCATGAACCTGCGCCATCCTTTGCCACTCGGCATGTCGCCTTTTTTACGTTCCTCGGGCTTCGCCGAGAATGACCTTGGCTTATCGGCTCACTGGCCGAACGACATGGAGAGGTTGCCCTCGACGTCGATCGCGGCGTGGGGAGGAATTGGGTCGCATCCGTCGGATTCATCGGCCGATCGGAGAGCTCCCGAAGCAGCCTGGGCCTTCCACAGCGCCTCTCCCATGCCTCTGCATAGGAGCACACTCGGAATAGGTTTGTAAGGTGCTACTGCGAATGTGCCATTGCAAAAGAAGGTGGTCCTACAAGAGGCCCTGTTGCTTGAGAAAAGCCACCTCGGAATCGTCCAGCCAATCTTGCGCAGTCCGCTGCTTCTCTGCCGGATCAAACAAGCCGCGAGGAATCAATTCACCACCGCCGCTACCACTATTACGAGCCTTTGGTCCGACAGCATACCTCGATTTGACCACTTTGATCTTTCCAGCCCCTCCCTCTCCCTGATGTGAGATGCTTCCGAGTTTCATTCGCATGCCTAGCGGATCATTCTTCCTCTCCCCGCTTCCCTCGCTCGCATTGCCCATCGTATGAGTGTCGATCAGCAGCAAAGGCACGTCGGCTAGGAGTCTCCCGTACAGTCGTCGTTGCGCTCGAGGTCGCGAGTAGTCTTTCGGATGCGATGACCATCCGTGCTGCCGCAGCGCACGTTTGCGGTGCTCGCTCGAATCCATATCGGATCGATAATGGTCCACCTTTTGCCGAGCGCCACTGAGCCATTGCGCATTGTCTCTCTTCCGGCTACCTCGAGATGGCTTGCCTCGAGCTTTCGCTTCGAGATGAGCAACGATGCTTCCGTCTGTCCCTCCTTCTGCCGCAGTAAACGACACGACGTCCAGCGGGACGAGCACCTTCCTCAGATACGTTTTGACAAATTTCTTGCTCGCATTGGCGACCCTCCTTCTGCTTATCGCTTTGCCGAACAGCTTGACCAGCGCGTCGTCTTCTGCGGGCAGGAAAGGCGGTGGAGGTCTCCGCATCAGATGCTCCTTACTCTTGACCGCCGCACCATCCATGCTCGATGGGCTCGTCAGCAGCGTCTGCAGCACCGGCGAAAAGTCTTTCCTCCGCAAACGTTTCTCGTATTTTTGCTCTTTTGCTGCAGAGGATGGAGTGGGTGAGAGATCGCCCAGAACGTCACGTCGGAGCTTGCCGGTGCGAGCATAGGCGAGCGAGAGGGAGCGTTGCACGCTGTGTTCCCAACCAAAATTGGCGTCCGCGAGGTGACGACGATGCGCTTTGGCGCGGAGAAGACGCTTCACTGCTGTCGAGGGTGGCCATTCCTGCGAGGAAGCCGGCTCCGAGGTCGAAGGTGTCAAAAGGGGCTCGAGATTCTTGCGTGCCAGGTATCGATGCGAGGAGAAGAGAATCGGGTCATCGAAAGTGCAAGAGAGGAGGCGCGCTTGCCGCAAAATGGTGCGATACAGGTGCTTGAGCCCTTCAGCCGTCGAAGTTGATGCTGATAGTAGGCTCGCGGATGCTGTTGATGTTGACGCCAACATCACATATCGAGCAGCTGCCGTGAAGGCTTGCTGTTGGGGAGGAAGAAGAAGAGGAGCAAACTGCGAAAGCGAGCTGTCATGCTTTGCTGGACCCTGGATTTTTTCGACCGACTTCCGCGAAACGGCTCGAGAAGAACACGCAACACCCTTGCACCCTTTATGCATCTTCTTGACCGTTCCCTTGCCCACGACCTCTCACAAAAGCTCGAGCCCAGCATGTCGACGTCTACAACACCAGCGCCAGCATCTCAAAATGCACCAACGTCGTTCTGGGAAGGCCTCTTCCACTCGGTCTTCACACCAGAATACAACACGATCCCACAACGAATCATGAACTTTTCCTTCTACGGCCTCTTCGTCGTGCTCTTCGTTCTGGTCTTCCTGACCAACTACAACCCACACGTCATCGCGCTACTCACCATGGCTGTAGGGCTGTGGATGAGCGTCAACTGGTAAGTCGTACGTGCGCTCATTATGAGCCGGAAGGACAGCTGCTGATCACCGCCTTTGTCGATTTGCGGACGACAGGTTCATGAAGGAGCTCGCAAAGATGCCAGCCTCGAGCAGGGACATCCAGCAGATGCCGACGACGGAGGAGACCAAGAAGAACCTTTGATGATCTTCCCGTACGCCTTCAGCACGTTGGCGACCCAACGCCATCGCGAAAATCGTCACACAGATACCCTCACAATACACACCATGCATCGTCTCACACATCTGACCGCCGATCATGGCATCACGACCGCAGCGATCGTCTACATTGCAGTACACCCTCACGTGCCTCGAGACACAGCTGCTACTGTTTCGTCGAAGAAGGCGGGTCCTTCCTAGGAGTCGCGGTCGACGTCGTCCTCAACCTGTCCACCTTGGGCGACCCGACTCCCTTGTCCTTCTGCAGCAGCGACTGGAAGAAGCTGTGTAGCACCTCGGACTGCTTTGGTGCGCCGGGCGAAGTCGTTCCCGAGTTGACGGCCGGACTCGTTGGGCGGCTGCTCCTATCGCTGCTACTAGTCATGGCTGCTACGGCGGCTGCCGCTGCTGCGGAGGTCGACTCGCGCTTGGATGACGAGTTGCTGCTTTCGAGTCGAGGCCGCGTCGCTGGGGTAGCAGGTTCCGTCTGGCCTGATGCGGCTGCAGAGGCGGTGTCCGACTTGCCATCGCGCGACATGTATTTTTCGACTGATGGCAAACCTGCGCTGGACCCAGTCATGGGACCGACCACGCCTCGCTTGCTGAACTTGGACTTCGGGTCGGGTTCTTTTTGCAATGTCGCATGGTGTTGGCCGAGGAACGTCTGCTCGTCCGGGATGCGCACCTTGTTGGCCGTATCCTTGCCCGCTGGTGCCGCCTCCCAGTCTGCAACAATGTCCTCGTACAGCTTCATCGCCGACTGAACCTCGTCGCCACCATTAGCTTCCGATGACACATCGCCTCTCTGATTTGCTTGAACTTCCTTCTCGAGCTGATCTTCGACCTCCTTCGTCTTTGGAAGATTGCGAGACCTTCGGAGCCTTTCGATTTCGCAGTCGGTGTCCCAGCCTCGTGTCATGCTGCGACTATCAAACGTCTCTCGTAGCGCCTTGATCTTGCCCCAGCTGTCCCAGCCTGCAGGTACGAGTAGGGTGTCGCGATCCGTGGTCGATGCTCGATACGGGAAGCCGAAGCTGGCGACGCCTCCCGCTGCTGCACTGTTCTGTGCTGTCGCTCCATTGCTCTGTTGCTGTGGCTGCTGCGATGAAGCTATCGACGGCGTGAAGAGGCGATGCAGGAGGTAGGAGCGCAGGATATCGATCGATTGCGCACGCGTGGACGAAGTGTAGAATAGCGCAGCTCCGTACCTCATGCAGATGGTTCGGAGGACTTGCTGGATGTAGTCGAACTGCTCCTCTTTGAAGTCCTTATCGCGTTCGAGGCGCGGGATGGCATCTGCCTTGGTGCACACTATGACGATCGGGATGCCGAGGTTGTCCGTGAGGGTGCCTTCTGCGAGAGGGTTTGCGTCTGCGCCATCGAGCTGCACACTGACGGTGGTGATGGGCGCAGGCATCGTGTCGGTCTGTGGCGATGTTGCGGATCCATCCGCCTGTGACGTTGTCGCGACGCTGCTGGACTCGGTCGACTTTTGCGCAGGCTCGACGTACGCCCTGATGTACGCCTCGAGACGCTCCTTCATCTCGTCGAGCGCGGCTCTGGTCTTGGACCACTTTGCATCGCGCTGCTCTTGTGATGAGAGCGCACCATCGGCTGCACCGTCGACGAGCTCGTGCAGAACGCTGAGCCAGTTGCGCAGCTGCTCGAGGAACGTCCACGGTTGCTCCCAGTCAAGCAGAATGACCACGATCGAGTCTTTGAGAGATTCGATGGAAGGCTTCGACGCAAACGCACGATTTGAGGGAGCGGAAGAAGCGGAAGCTGAGCCGGAAAGGGTCGCCGAGGCGAGCGCTGCCATCACCGATGATGCCTCCTTCTCGCTGGACCCGAGATTGGGCTCAGGGAAGGCACACGGCAAGAGCGAGGTGTACGCAGGCTCGGATGAGTGAAGGGTATAGGCGCCGACCCTTGCCACAATCTCGTCCCTGTCCTTTTCGTCGCCGACATCAAAGTATGCGTATGCCAAGCCGAGATTGCGCGACGCTATTGACGATTTGGAGGTCGATGCTGCATTGCTTGGATCCAGAGCGGGAAGATATGATCTACCGCTGATGAGGCCAACGGGCGAGGTGGAAGCCAGTGCAGAGAGAAGCGTCGTCTTTCCGGACTTGGGCTCGCCAAGCAGAATTAGGTTTTTTGCTGAGATGGCCTTGGAGTTGTTGACGCTATTCAAGATGCTGGACCACAGGTCTTGTTCTGGGGTTGCTGTGTCCGTTGCTGAAGGCTTGAGCGACGAGTCGTTGGAGACATCAAGCGCCTGAGTCGAGCTGCCGGCTCGCGCCCTAGCGGCCGATGCGGACGAATCCATAACGATGACAGAGACCCGTGACTAGCGTACCAAAAGCAAAGATGAGTTGGGATGAAGGGTGCGAAGCGGGACCGACGAAAGCAACACTTTGATGTCCAACCCGCGCAACACGTCGAGGTGCGTGTTGGCTTTCCTCGCTTTCAGGGAAAAGTAACAGGCAGGGATCGGCCGATCTGTCCCAAAACTGAGACCGATCTGCAAAAAGCTTTAAAAATCAATTGTATCCGCGACTTTCGAAAGCTTAATTTTGAAACAACTAAAAAGGAGGCACCCGATCGTAGCATCCGTCTCGCTCTGACAGCTGCTTCTGCTGCTGCTGAGTCGTGCTCACACACGGACCAGCTGCCCCATTTCCTCCACACAGGCGGCTAGCAGCTGTGTTCCATCCTCGATGGCTCGTCCTTCACATCCACCACCTTAATCGCAGCGAACACGGTCCACAGCCTCGATCTGCACAACAGACCAGCTCATCACGAATTACACGCTCACCGGCACATTCCTCTAAATCGGTTTCCCGTCAAGCTCAATGATGTCAAGTCCTCGACACTCGCCGCCCCCCTCCGCCGCGGCTCCCAAGCCAAAGGGCATCCTCAAGAATTCTGCTGAACGCAGACCATCTCAGGGCGAGGCGCTCAGCCAGGACGATGACGCAAACAGGCTGCAATGGGACGAAACCAATCTGACACTCCACGAGATCGAGCGCGAGCAGCAGGAGGCTCGCATGAAGATCGACGAGCCCAAGACGCCATTTGTCCACGGCACATCGCTCAATCCTGTTGGCGACGAAGACATGTTTGAGCTTGACGGTGCTGCGCCAAGTACCAGCTCTGGAAGCCGTCGAAGCTCTTCAGCAGCCGATCAGCTCGCCGCCAACACATCCGCCAATGCAGGGCGTGCACCTGGCGAAGGCCTAGGTCTCGCCGTCGGACTCGACGCGGCAGACTTGGCCAACGGAATGGGCGGAACGGCCTCAGGATCTGAAGGACAAGTGAGACCCGGCTCAGCCAGGTCGACATCACGTTCGCCGTCCTTCTCGCTGCCGCCCAAGAGCCCCTCTTCGCGCCGATCCAGCTCGCGCTCTGCCACTGCCGCTGCTGCTGACGATCAGAGGAGTGACGTCCGACAGCAAGCTCACGACATGGACGTCGACGGTGCCGACGACGGCGCAGTAGAGGAAGAGGACGCTGATCCTGAGACACAAGCCAAGCACGCCGCCTTTGCTGCCAAGAGGAATCAGCACTACGGCAATGAGGCAGAAGCGATGAAGATTGCGGCTGCGCTCGCTGCGCGCGACGATGACGAGGACGAAGATGAGGAGGATGCAGGCGGTTTGCCTCCTGTTCCAAGCGTCCCCAACGGTACCGCTGCCAGGTGATCTGCACAAGCTCAGCTACGATAGTGGCAGAATTCCCTCACAGCGTGCCACAAGTGTATCATACTTTCTTGCACAATTGCATTCTTTTTGTAAAACCTTTTGGATCAGCGCAGGCCCGTCAGTGCTTCACGCTTGTGGATCTGAATATGGACTCTGGTACCTCTGTCTCCTGTAACTGTCACTGCGAATGCGGTTGTCATCGTCTGTGATTGTGACTTGCCAGCGTGTCTCTTGGCCAGGCGTCAACGGCTGCGAAGTGTCACAATGTGGAGGAAAGTGGGAAAAATAAGCAGCAGCAGAGCCACTATCTGAAAGTGCTGAGTTCCGGTCCGCACGTTGTGGGCTGCAAGCCGCGAGCCAGAGCGGTTGTTTGCCTTTGCCTGCGTGTGGCCAATCACTCTCGACCCTTAAATTTCGGTTTTGTCTCTTCATTTTTTCTTTTTCCTACAGCTAGCGGAGCACACCATTGAGATTACGGCCCACCACGCTTTCTCTCCGTCACCATCACCATCGCCTATCATCCTACAGTAGGCGCTTCTGTCCCTGGCGATTAGCGGGCTTGTATCAAGTCTCGACGAGCGTGCTTGCGCCTGCCTTTCATCGGCGACCGAACAATCAGCATACAGCGATCCGACTCAGCTCGGAAGCGACCATACAGCATTCAATCTCCCGACTCAGCACCACAACAGTCGGCCTCACAGCGGTCTCGCAACGCATAACATGGATCTCTCGAATCTACGCACGAGTCTGCGCGAGGAAGAGGCTTCGAGTCAGCGCCGCTCAGCACACCTCCGAGCGGCCGAAGATGAGCTCAACGCCTACTTCCGCTCTTCTGCACTCGGACTCACCACGCTCTATCGCCAAGGTGTCGCTGCTAGCAAGGCGAGCTACGAGAAGGGCTACGCGCATGCATTGGCACACGTGCTTGAACTGTGGGACAAGGACCGTGACTGGCTCAGGGGATATCTGCAGAGAAGGATAGAGGCCATCGAGGCCGCGGATGCGGAGGACGACGGGGAGGATGCACACCTTCAGCAGCAGCAGCAACAGCAGCAGCAGCAGGCCCAGTCCTCCGCTGCGGAAGACAGCCCTGCGCGTCCGACAAGTCTGGTAGCAGCGAGACAAGCACAAGCAGCAGCGGACTCGCCAAGACAGACCAACAAGCGTTCGCGCGCCCTCTTCAGCAGCGATGCAACCCCATCCTCGTCCTCGCATCGCGATCAAGATACCGCTGAACGACGAACACTTCACCGCATGGCGCACGCCTCGACCGCCTCGAGGTCGTCGAACAACTTTACCTCGAGCTCGTTCGACTTCTCTGCGCCCATCCCGTACCCGTCGACAACCACTGCAGCAGCATCCTCCTCATCACCGAGCAAAAGACCATCACGCGCCAACCCCGACGCGCCGATCATCAAGACGTCCAACGCCGCCACCTCACGTCGCAAGCTGCAGAAGCTCAAAGGCCTGCGCGCGGGTCGCGATCGCATCGTCGAGATCGAGAAGCCGCACGATGGGATGATGGATGTCGGGGAAGAGGACGAGATCTTGCCCGACGGAGTTGGCGCAGAAGATGCGGATGCGTGGACCGACGACGAGGATGCATTCGAGGAGAACGCCGTGGCAGCAAGAAAGGCAGGAGGGAGGGGGAAGAAGGTGGTCGTGTGGGCGGAAAGGTCGGCGGCGAACTCGACGCACAGCGCACACGCACCACAGGCGGCAGAGGGAAAAGTGCTGGAGCGTATGGATCGACGTAAGCGCAGACGATCGAATAGGCAGGAGAATACGATGATGGATGACGAACAGTCGTCGGCGGACGTGTCGAGGGAAGAAGCTGGGGCGGAGTACAGGTACCACTCGTAGCAGCAGCGCGAGCAGGGAGCGACAATCCGACCGTCAAACTCGATCGCGGACTCGTCACAGCAGCGATGAGGCGCATCAGTCCGTCTTCTCCTGCTCAGTCGAGGCATTGTTCGGGACGAAGATTGCGCCTCTCCACTTGCCTCTTCCGAGATCGCCTCGCGACCGCAGCTTCATCACATCTCAGCATCCGCCTCACCAAGTTTGGGCATCCTCAGCTTCATGTTCGGAGAAGCAATTTGGAGCACACCACAATGTACTTTTATCTCAATACGCACCATCATCCCATCCTTTGCCCCTCAGCGCAATGTCTGTCTGAACCGCTCAACGGCGAACCACGAAAGACACAACCTGCGTGTGAGCGTGACATTCCATTGTGAGCAAACGCAATGAGCGACATCATCCCTTCCACTCAAACCGTATCTCTCCCGTCTCGAGCAGCTCATCATCCTCATCCTCCTCATCCGCCTCATCCTCGCTCGGTCTGCCTTTACTAATCTTCCTCCCCCCCACGCTCGGTCTGGGAGCATCCAAATCGAATGTCCCAACATCATCGTCGTCGCCGTCGCCAGAGTCGTAGAACTCGTCATCGTCGTCGTTGCCCTCGTCTTCGGATTCGGGTTCGGCGGTGAGGACGGGGCCCATGAGGGGGCTCGTTGCGCGTGTTCCGAAGTCAGGGTCGGGGGAAGCGGCTCTTCTCCTCCAGGGTGCGGTCCAGGAGGAGCTGCTGGGGGAGGTGGAGATGCTTTCCAGGGCGGGTTCTGCAGAGGTCGCTCTCATCCGTCGTTCTTCTTCGGGTGCCGGGTTCGTATCACCTCGATTCTGCGATCCTTTCCGGCTCAAGCCCAGACTGCCCAATCCGAACCTCGACAACCTGCCCACCTTCTCCTCCCCCTTCTCCGCAGTCCCACTATCGCTCGTGACACTCCGCACACTCCTCGCACTCCTCCCACTCCTCGCACTGAGCGCAGGACTCACCGGCGGCGTCCCCAGCAACTCGTCATCCCCCGGCAACTCCACCTCGACCACCGCAGGCCTCCAGAAGTTGAAGTCGTTAAACTCGGGTTTCCTCGGCTCCTTCTCCTCCTTCGCCGTGATCGGTGGGAACATCTGATCCACCAAATCCGTCATATGAATGTACGAGCTTTTATAACCGGCCAGTTCGAGCAGTTCCATCTTGACCTCGCCGTTGGTGTCGATCGTATAAATGCGCGAGGAGGGGATGTTGACCGAGCGGTAGGAGAGGGCGTCGGTGATGCGGTTGCCGAAGCCGGCGTAGAAGGGCGTGGGGTGTTCGTTGCGCGGTTCGGGGTCGAGTGGTGGGATGGAGGCGAGGGTCGGGGAGGAGAGGTTAGATGGAGAGGGGGAGAGAGGTGCGGTGTCGGATGAGGGGGCGGCGGTGGCAGCGCCCGCAGCGGGAGAGTCATCCACGCCTGCACCGGTCTCGGCTTTGTCGATCGCCTCAGGATCGAGGTTCTTGATGTCCCCTCCAGGTTGAGAGTGCGCCGTGCGCGGATCAGCACCGAACAGACGGGCAATATCGCGCAGACACGCCATCTTGAACACTTCCGGTTTGCGCAGAATCACCTCCCTGTGCAGACTCGCGATCAGTCGATCCGGGGACATGATCACGGGCCCATCCGGCAGCTGGTACCCATTCTGCCTGATCCCCTTCAAGTAATCGCGCGTCGAATCCGCCTGTCCGATCGCCCGACTCGTCAAGTACATGATGCGGTACCCGTTCCTCGCAATGTCCGTATACAGCTTGGCCACACCAATATGCGTCCAATCGCGTCCGATCATGGTGAACACGTGCCCTAGCGCATCCGATTTCGTGATCGTCCCATCGATGTCCGAGACGACGATCTTGTGGTTCGACTCCCACAGAAAGATGCGAGCGGTGCACGTGGCGACACCAGAATAGGACGAGGTCACGCTGAACGTGATGCTGTTGGCGCCCTTGCGCAGGTTGAGCGACTTGAGCTGGTCCGAGGTGAGACGGAGCGTTTTAGCGTACGTCTTGCCGGTCCTGGCGGCGACAGCAGCGGCTGCTTTGCTGGGCGTCGTTGCGGGCTGATCCGCCAACGTCTTGTCCGTCTCGAGCAGCACAGAGTCTGTGTTGGATCGGGCGATGGATGTGTCAATGGATGCAGGAGTATGAGGGCCTCTCTTCGGCTTTTGTGTGGCGGTGGTCGCCAAGTCGTCGGTGGACGCACTTTGGCCGTCCGCGACTTGCTTGAGATCCGAAATGCTCCTGCTGCTTCGCTTGAACCAGCGCGACCAGTAGCTCGATCGCGACGACGGCTCCGCTTCGTCCGCCTCTTCGTCAATGTTGGCAGCCGATGCGGCGCCCGACAACGTCCGGCGGTACAGCGACAGCGTCGCCAGCACAGCGCTCGCGTTTTCCCACGTCAGGAACCGGTCGTGGTATCGAATGACGAGTCGCTCGTCGTTGACCACGTCCTCGTCGTGCGCAAAACGCTCGAACGAGACGCGATTCTCCACGAACGCATACTCATCCACCTCGTCGTCCTGCCCGAACGCGTCGCTGTAGCACAGACTCAGCTCGAACGAGTGCGACGCCTCCTCCAGCTGCAGCAGGAACGTGTACGGCTCCGACTCGGAGCTGGTCAGCTTGCCACTCACCTCGCCGCCTGCTGTGTGGCGACGCAGCGATTCGAGCGCCGCAGCGTCCGATGATCGGCTGGCTAGGCCGTCGCTGCTGGCGAAGCGGGTGCGTCGGCGAGTGCTCGGCTCGCCAGTCGGTGTCGAGGCCGATGAGTCGCCGGCAGGGTCGGCCCACTGCCAGCGACTGTTGTTTGACAGACCAAGGTGAGCCGCACTGCCATCCATGTAGATGGGAGGCGACTCCTCGCTCGGCAGACGCAGATCCCGAAGACTCGTCACCACGTCGGACACCGTGTAGTTCGAGGCAAGACCCTCGGTCGAGTTCTCGATCGAGTTGTGTCCTGAAGTCGATTTGGCATTTGGCACTTCGGCCTCGGTGTCCGACAGCGAGAATTCGTGCGTGTGGCCAGATGTCGATCCATTGCCTGTCCTCTTGGTGGCAGTGCGTGCTTTGGCATCCGTCTGCTTGCTGCGATTAGTGAGTGAGGCGTGTCTTCGAAGCGTCTCGGGACCCTTGGGCTGGCGTCTACCTCTGGCACGGGCCTCGCCGCCAAACTCGCTCGCGCGGTTCATCCGCGCGAGCTTGGCCAGGTCACGCGACAGCTCGAGCTCGTCCTGATGCCCGCTCTGCGAAGAGATGGCGCCGAGATGCGATGCGCCAAACTGCGAGTTGAATTTGGACAGATTGGCAGCGGCAGTGTCGTCCATACTTTCGCGGCGTGCTTCGCGCTCACGGCTCTGCGAGTTGGATGATCGGTTTGTGCGGTAATCGACCGAGAAGCTGGGTCGATGCGATCGCGAGCCAGACCCTCGTCGCATTGCTGTGGTGGACCCGCCAGGTAGTGAGACTTTATGTTGATGACCCGGTCCGTTGATGCGATCTGGGTGTCCGTTGCGACCCTTACCGCCGTGGCGGCGTCCTAGAGGCATTTCGTCCGCGAAGCGGTGTCCTTCTTGGTAGGCGAGGTCCTCGCCATCCTGCGTCATCTTGTATCCGTCCATATCGAGCATGTACTGCAGATCCTCTTTGCGTTGCTTGACCTTAACAGTGCCGACAGGTTCGTCGTCATCGGCGTCTGCCTCGCCCGATCGGACTTTGTCTTCGTCATCGTCATCGTCCACAGCGGTATCTTCATCGTCGTCGTCAGTCGTCTCGGCTTGGCGCCTGACACGGTCGCTGCTGTGCTTTGACTGTTGCCGCTTCTCGTGCCTGTAGATGTGAGTGGAGGCATCCGTCATCGCAGGGTCAATCGTCCTGTTACCGTCGCCAATGGGTACAGGCTTGAGACGCTTGCCGCCGAGGTATTCCGAGTGGTGAATCGAGGCAACAGACTTGGTCTTGCTCTTTGACGAGGCCTTCCTGCTTGTCCCGAATGGAGCAGGGTACGCCTCCTCACCAGAGTCAAGACTACGGATGCTCCCGCTGTCGTGATCGCTCTGAGCCTCGTCCTCGACCACCTTCATCGCCTTTTGGTGCAGCTGCTTTTCGAGTCGCTCGGTTTCGTTGGCGGGCTCGTCGTGAGTAGCCGACTCGTCCTGCGCCTCTTGCCTTTTCTTGCCCTGTGGGCCACCTTGCTCGGGCTCGTATTCGTGGGCATCCTCGCGGTCCTCGTCGACGGGGGCACCGGTCATGTTGTCGGTGTAGTCGGAGCGTTGCGCCTTCTCAGCCGTCTTGTCGAGGCGAGGATTGGCGCCGCCACCGATGACGGCTCTGCCTGCAGCACCGAGGACGCCGCTCGCTTTAGACGCAGCCGAGCCAACCTTGTCGAGCAGCGAATCAGAGCCTGCAGCGGAACCGGAGCCGGTCTTGGTGGAGTCGGAAGGGACATTGAGATCGCCTTCTTCGTTTGGCTCACCGCTCTGCTTGTTCTCCTTAAGTTTTTCTTTACTGTTTTCCTCGCCATTGTCGTTGAAACCTGCCGACATGAGATCCGACTCATGCGTGATAGGCGGCAGCTCCTCAGCTTCTCCGAGCTCCAAAGGTTCCACGTCTGCCGATCCTTGCTGTGCAAAATCAGCGTCGCCATCTTCGGGAGAGGTGAACGGGCTGGATGCAGCGCTGAGGATGGGACTAGTTACGAGATCGGCAGGGATGTTGTTCCGTTCGTCCTCATCGTCAATCTCGAGCACGAAGAAGGCCTCGCCGGAATCGCTGACCTTCATGGCAAAGGGAAGTGGATCGGTCGAGCTGTTGAGATGGAGCGTGACCTTTCTCTCACCTGGTCGTAGCACGCTCATCTTGCCGAATCGAACATGGAATGGTGTGCTGGCGAGCTCGGTGGTCTGACGCGTGACAGTCTTGTACTTGCGCTCGTGCTCGGGTAGCTTGCCTTGCTCTGATTCGGAGAGCTCATTGCCTCGAGCGTCGACCTCGACTTGATCCTCCTTGTCAATGGTTCGCTCTACGACGATGACGTCGATGGCACCGCTGAGAGTGGCCGGGTTGATGTTGGGGGTGATGGTGTTGTACACCGTAGAAACGAACTTGCCAACGTACTGCATGGCTGTGGTGGGGACTTTGCCAGACAGGAAAAGTTCTGAGTGATTCGTCCGGGGTCGTTGACCTGTGCTTGCTCAATGAGCGTGTCGCTGCCTGGAGCGTTGATTGCGAGTACTACGTCGACATCCGTGGGTGGTCCCGTTTCGGCTTGCTGGCGCCAGAGCGCTGTGCGTGGGTCGAAACCTCCAGGAACCGGTGAGCTTGCCAATGAAGACGAGATGATGGCTTCAGCCGGTGGGTGTTGAAGGTCGATCCAAGTGGAAGGAACGATGAGCGTCGATGACCGTACTAAGCCCTGGTACTGTCCAGTCGACCAAATCAAGAATCGATTCGGACAAACGCCTCGAGGATAGTACAGGCCTTTGAGGAATCCGACGAGGAGGTGATGTGGTGAGAGAGGAGATTCACACAGAGTGAGCAGGCATAGGAGAGAGGAGCAGCAAAGAGCAAGAGCCTCAGGTGACGGTGAAACGTGCTCCACTGTCTTGGGCCTCCTCCTCTCTTTGCCTGCATCCCAGCCAGCGCTAGACGGCAGGGCCATCACCAAAAAGATGAAATCTTATTTTCGGCTACAAACCGTGAGAGACTGATGAGCAAGCCTCCTTTTTGGCACCCTTTTCACGCACTCTCTGTGACAAACGCACGGGCGACTGCGAATCTCATCAGGACCCTTTCCGATTTGTGGAGGCTTGGGCGGGTCAAGAGGAGCATCGAAAGAGATCACAGAAGACAGACATGACGTTGTCCCTTGTTGTTGCTTTCATTCTCGCTTCGACAAGATCTTGACCGGCGGTCCCCCCGTTTTGGCATCTGTCAGATGGCTGACTCCCTTCCGACGGCGGCATACGTTGCGAAGGATGTGATCCCCAAGAGTCTAAGACTGAGCTTCCTTCCTATGAATCGCAGTCCTTCGGCTCCTCCTCCGACAACCGAACTGTGAGCATCGGAGGCATCCCGAGGGATCAATCAGCTTTTCACACGATCCATCCACAGTCCCAGTCGAGCTGAAGGAAGGTCCGAGACGAGGAAACCTTGACGGCGGCTGCATGCTGCGAATCGATCCACTCCAAAGTCTCACGCGGGACGCGCTACCGGCAATCAACGTCCGCACCCTGAAGCTGACTCAAGAATTTAGCCGGCGTATTAGCCGCTGCGGTCAGATCAACCCGACTTTTTTTGATGAACTCTTCTAGCCTTGATGCTCGAGCCTGTCATCCCTGCTCCTCCACGTCTCGAAGCTTGGGTCGCGAAAGCACGAGATACATGGCAGCCATGTCGTCCAGCAACGAGACCATCGACTTTATCGGCGAGCTCTCCTCCACTCGGCCCCACCCTCGATCGCTCCTAGCTCCTGCACCGTTCACAACCTCCTCCGGTCAAACGAAGGACCCGCTCCTGCACATCGCCGTAGCCCAGGTGTTACCTGACGAATCAGGCCTCCATCCGGAAGAGGGAGATGTAGGCCAGGCGGGACTGGACAAGCTCGAGCAGTGGGCCAGCTGCGCCGCGCGCAAGGGGGCAGATGTCGTCGTCTTCCCCGAGTACTTTCTGAGCGGAGCGACGCATGATCTGTGGCGGCGGGTGAGGGAGGTGCAGCGCAGAGAGGCTGGCTCGGCGCAACAGCAGCAAACTGCGGAAGGCGGAAAGGGTAAGGGGAGCGGGTCGAACGAGGCAGAGGGAAACGAAAAGGCGTGGATCGAGATCATCATCCACGTTGCCCAAAAGTACGATATCGACATTGTGGCGGGTACAGTTGTCGAGCTGGGCACCCAACCACACGCCAACATCCTCGCCGACCATCCCGTCTCCCAGTCCGAGCCGCAGGACAAATCCAAATTCAAGGATCATGATAAGATTCCTCATCGCAAGCCCAAGAAGCACGCTCCCACACAGGACGATGAGCACGAGGACGAACTCTTCAACACCTCTTACTACATTTCTCGTCACGGCCAAGTGCTTCATCGCTACACGAAGCAGAATTTGTGGCACCCCGAACGCGAGACCCTCCTCCATTCGCAACAGCACACCCACCCAGAACAGCATCACGGCCCATCGACTTTCATCATCGAGACCAAACGCGGTACAAGATTGCGCGCGGCTATGGCCATCTGTTGGGACCTCGCCTGGTACGAACGCTTTTATCAGATGATTTCGCCTCCATACGCCAAGGATCAGGTCTCGGATCTCGATGCGGAAGATCAGGCGCCGGGTCCGGATGTGATCTTTGCACCCACTTGCTGGTACGCTAGCGATGGCGGGGCGAAGGCGCTGCTGTGGAACGGGGTGGGGGAGGCGCTGATGTTGGACACGTTGTGCCTGAGTAGGGCGGTCGAGCTGGAAGTTGTGCTGATAATGTGTAATGTGTCAGGGCCGAGCATGGATGACAAGGTTATCGAAAAGCTGAGAGAGAGCCTCAGGAAGCAGCACGAAGACGGGGTTGCCGATGACGAGTTGGAAACGCCTCTGATCGGGCTGGGTAGAAGCAGAATCTGCGCACCGTTCTTGAACGTCGTGGCGGAAGTGCCGGATGAGAGGGAGGTCATGCTGCTCCAGTCGATCGATTTGAACGTCCTCAGGGACGCGAGGGAGATGTATAGGATGCGATACGATCATCTTCAGAGGTGATCAGCAATGCCAGTCCACGTTTTCGCGTCGATTGTCACAGCATATCGGATGCATGAAAGAGTTGCATTGATGATCGAAGTCAAGACCTCAGCTGCGTGGACCGTCGACACGATTCCTATCCAGACTCGTCCCGATATCGCTGTGATCATCGTCGCTGAACGCCCCATCTCCGACACCAAAGATCTCCTCGCCCTGCTCCTCCACGTCGTCCTCGTCTTCTGCGCGCTTCCCGCCCACGAGATGCTCCAACTCGTGATCGTCGCCATTCCCGTTCGGCGTCGGACCCAACTGCGTTGTCGAGGCGAGACGCAATGCTCCACCTCTCCCGATGCGTCTCGAATCCAGCCTCCTTTGCTTCCTCGCGCGCAGCAGCAGCCACGTCCCCACGCCCACCGCCAGCACCAAGATCAACAGCGCGAAGGACCCCGCATCGTAGTACGCCCTCCATCGTGCTTCCTCTGCCACCTCGCCTTCTGTTTTCCCTGACCCGGGAATGACGCGGGATCCGTCCTTGCCGATTTCTGCCACTCCGCCGCCGCCGCCCGTGATGAGTACGCGGTCCGGCTCGTTGCCCACGCGCGATGGGATGAGCGCATTAGGCCCGGCTACTTTCATGAAGTCGATTCCCATGAAGCGTACCATCATGTCGTGACTCTCGATGGGTTTGTCTACGCCGACCATGTGACTGGCGCCCTTGATTCCTACGTAGGTCAGATTCCTCGCTGTCCTCCATGAGCCCACAAGGCTGCCGTTGACGTACCAATCCTGCGCCTCTGCGTCGCCGAACCCTTTAATCCCACCCCATTCCAGGTTCTCCGCCGTGCGGCGGACACCGATGGCGTTGCAAATCAGATCTTCTTCGCCGGCGAAGAGCAGCACCCGCACTCCTTGATCGATGAGCTCTGGTAGCAACGTCACTGACGCTGGCGAAGTCGTGTCCTTGCGCATCGCCGAGCCGACGTTCGCATTGCACTCGACCCACGCCTCGGGCTTGTGGTGCTCATCGACGTGCAGCGCGGTGCGCACGTCCGGTCGGCGCAGGTACTCGTACATGGCCGGCAACGTCGTTGGCCAGTTCATGCCGCATGCTGGCGCAGAGTCCGTGAGACGCAGATCGTAAATGTTGATGCACGTGAAACCGGATGCGCCCGGCTGCTTGGTGGTCGTGCTCGCAACGATGGTCTGGAGGATCTCGTCGCATTTGCCAATATCGCGCGAGGAGGTTCGATCGAGCTCCTTGTGGCACTCCTCGACGATGCGCGCGACCGTCTGATATTTGTCCGATGACTTGGTCCAGATCTTCTTCTCGATCATAAGCTCGAGTTCGGTGCCGTACTGACTTTTGGGGTCGATAAAGCCGTTTCCGATGGCGATGCCTTGGAGCGACACGGGGGGTTTGGGTGACTTGAGGATGGCTTTCGCGGTATAAGGGATGTATTGACCTGCAAAGCTCTCTCCGGCCAAGAAGACATCGACACCGCTGCCTTGGGTGCCATATTGAAGCTCGACATCCCGTGCATATTCGGGGAACACCTTGATGAACTGCTCCAAAAAGTGAACCACTTCGTCGGCGGCTTGTGGCAAGGTTGTGGTGTAGGCGTTGGTGTTGACATAGCTGAAGCCAGTACCGACGGGCTGGTCGAGGAAGAGAATGTCGGCATACTCGTTCCAGCTCGCGCCATCTTTGACCCACACCAGACCGCCCTTGCCGTCCATCCTCCAAGCTCCAACTTCCATCATGGCACCATCGAACGACGAGCAGCCAGGTCCGCCGTTGAACCACACGATGAGCTTTCGCTTTGCAGGCACATGACGCGCTCTTAGCAGCAGAAAGAAGAGGTGCGCATTGTCCTTATTGCCGCCCTCGTCGTCGGGTCGAGCTGGCAGGTAGCCTGCGGACATCTGCAGCGGATGTGCAAGTGCAGACGAGGACGACTCGGCATGGAGGTCGGGCAGGCCAGGGACGTGGAAGGAAGAGGCGGGTGGTATTGGCACGCCGCGCCGCAGCAGCACCTGTCGAGGGTCTACGAGCCGCATGGTTGCGTTATGCTCGAGGCTGTGGGGGGCGATGTGTCGTAGGAAGAATGGATGCCAGGGTTTCTGATGCTGGTTCGTACGATCTTGGCGGCAGGGAGGTGATGGGGGTCGGAGACGTTAGGTTCGACGCAGCTTTCTGCGTGGTGTGCGATTGAGAAGGGTGGATGCTGTGAGTAGTTTGGAAGGAAGCGTGTGACTGTCAAAGGAAGCGCCTCCTGACATGCAAGCAATGCTTTTGGCTATGCTTCCAACGTGACAGCCGACAATCTTCGCAGCGCTGTCCCGTGCAGCTCGGCACCCTCTCTCCGCGGTCGGGCGCGCTTCGGAATATATCGAAGTTGTTAGGTTGCTGCCCAGCGGCTCAGGGTCCAATCCGCAGCCAACAATGCCGCGGACGGCTTTGCTCTTGCATTCCATCGTCACAGTCCAACACCTCTAGCAACGATAGCGCGTGCTTCTGCAAGAGGAATGCGCTGCTGCACTGTATCATCGCCGTCACGATGGACGGTCGCGTGACCGATCCGAACTCTGACTCGGACCCACAAGCTGTGTTGCGTCAACTCATCAGGCAAGCTGAAGTCAATGCACCTGCGGCCACCGTCCCACCGACGCAGACTGCCGATGAAGATCACGACTCGGTCTCCAGCGACGGTGGCGACGACAGCGTCTCGATCAGCTCTCACTCGAGCGCAGATGACACTGATTCCGCGGAGCAAGTCGATGAGCAAGAAGACGCCTCCTCTCCGCCGTCAACGTCAATGCACGGCAGTACGCAACTGCTCTCCGATGAACAGCTCTCTGCCACGCTAGCATCCATCGCAGCGGACCGACAGGAGCTCACGACACTTTTACAGCACAAGAGATACCTCTTTAATGCTCAGAAGCGCAATGTCAAGCATCAGCGCTCGCTGCAGAAGGCGCTCGATTTCCTCACCAAGACACGCGAAGAGCTTAAGTCTACCCTTCGCTCGCTCGATGTAGCCGACGTGGTCGATGCAGAGGACTTGTCGCTCGAGGTGATTCGCAGTCACAAGCTGGCCGAGGATGCAGCTGCTACTTGTCCGTTCTCAGCGTCCATGGTGCAGCAGATTCCGCTGCTGCGACTGCAGTCGATCGAACGGGCCGAGTACGACAATGCCCTGGGGGTCCGAATGTGGCTCGAGTCTGAGGATCAGCAGCTGCGTACGGCTGTCAAGGGCGCGGCGATGAAAGCACGCACAATGCAGCTGAGTATGGATCCTGCTTTTCATGGAGATGCGCTTGCCGAAGCTGCAAACATGGACGAGGAGACGGCGCTTCGACTCGCTGAAGAGTTGGATGCGCAGATAGATCAGCCTTCAACGTCCTTTCAAGGCAGACTTGCAAGCACGGGATTGGACTGGGCAACAATCGCAGCTCGCATGCCAACTCGAAGCATGGAAGAGGTCAAGACACGCTGGTATGGACTGCTTCGGCCTAGCGTCAACACTAAGCCTTGGAGTGATCAAGAGGTCGATGACTTGATCCGCTTGGCTACGCCGTACCTATCAACTCATCTCCCTCGACCGCAGACGGAGCAGGTTCAAGAGCCCACGTCACCTTCGATACCAGCCTCATCTGCGTCTTCATCTCGAGCTTCCGTCCCGTGGCAAAGTATCGCTCGAGAGCTCGGCACCGGCCGCACCGCACACGCATGCTTTGTCGCCTTCTGCAGCGCACTTGTACAACGCGATCAGCCCGATCTGACGCCAGCCGAAGACGACAACATCAAGGAGCTCTTTTCACTCTTCCGCGGAGCATGGCGGTTCATGACGTTGCACGCTTCTGCCAGTCCGAACGTCTCTCTATCCGCGCTTCTTCCTGCATCATCCGGCAAGGAAGCGTCGTCGAACGACCGACCACCCACGCTGCTAGGCAAAGTCGCCCGCGATCCACAGGTCGTCTACCGTCGCTTCCGCAACACCCTCGACCCAGCATTGGCCACCGGCTCCTGGTCCCTTCGAGAAGACACCTCGCTTATCAACGCAGTCCGCCTAGTGGGGCAAGACAATTGGGCCGCAGTAGCAGCTCGGATGGCCGGTCGAAACTCGACGCAATGCCGCGAGCGCTGGGCTCGGCGCCTGAAACAGGTCGTTGCCGAAGCTGACCCCGCCGACAGCCAAGGAGAGTTGGGTGAGGAGCAGGTTGCGGAGCTGATGGATAGGAAGAAGACGCTCGTCTGGACGAAGGAGATGAATGATACACTGTTGTCTTACCTGGACGACGAGCTGAAGGCGAGAGATGGCAGGACGTTTGTCAGCATCGCCAAGAAGGTTTCGGAGCAGACGGGGATGGCACTCTCGGACAAGAGCATACGTGATCATGTGTTCACACTGCGCCGCGCAAGAGCGCGTCTTGCCCAGGCTGGTGGGCCGAGCGGAGACAAAGACAAGGGTAAGAGCAAGGAGTTGCATGAAGAAGGCACCGGAGACGATGCGAAGCAGCCAGCGAGCATCGAATCGGTGCCCAGCACGACATCAGCAAGTCCTTCCCAGATTCTACAAGCACCGACAACCAGCTCAGAAGAGTTGACGGCTTCTTTGTCGACGCCAAAAGCTCGTCCACGAACCGCCATCGTCCCCGGCGCCAAGCGTCGCAAGCTTTGATGCTGGCCACATATATACCGAAGTCGTCCCGATCCCTCACTGTATTCTATGCATTTTGCTTTCCCGATGAAATTTCGATCCCAATTTAGGTCGACATCACGTGAATGTGCCTTGCTGAGATTGGACTTTTTCTCGTCTTGTCGACTTCTTCTCACCACCCTCCTCATTCACCGCTCGCGATCATCACCTCATCGTCACCAACTCGACTCGTTGCATCACTTCGCATCACGACAACAGGATCGATCGCACGCACGCCATCGAACATCGTCACACTGTACTATCGCACACAATGGCATCTCTCCTCCGAGCCGTAACACGCACGGCCGTCTCGGCGCAGCCCTCCATCGCAGGCCCATCCAAGCTCGCCGCCTTCTGCACGACACCGCTGCGCCGGATCGCGGACAACAAGAACGACGCTGCTCCCGCACGGGCTCACCGCGCTGGTTCGTCCGCCGGCCCGTCTTCCGTCGCCTCTCCTATCGACTCAGACTCGGTCGGTGTGACCACTGGACCGGGTAAGACGCAGCGCGATGCGATCGACTCTGCTATGGGGGTGCTCGACAACCTCGCTCGAGACGTTGCCGGTTCTCCCACTTCCACTTCCAACACTTTCGAACTGCCCGACACGCCGGAACGACCCATCTCGACGCCGTCCCAGGGTCTCACGCCGGTCCATGTCGCTTCTGGACCATTGTATTCGCCCACCACCCTCCCTCCGAAAGCCGACCCCACGTTGGAATTTTTGACCAACCTCCTCATGAAAGACGGCAAAAAGGCGCAAGCACAACGATTCACCACCCGCACCCTGGCGCTCATCTCCACGTTGACGAACAGTAACCCCCTCCCGCTGATTCACGATGCCATCACGCGCACGGCGCCCCTGGTCAAACTCCAGTCGCGCAAACAGGGCGGTAAAAGTCTTCAAGTACCAGTGGCGTTGACCAAACGGCAGTCGGAGCGCAAAGCGTTGACATGGATCATCGAGGCCTCCAAAAAGCGATCCGATCGGGAGTTGGAGAGGAGGTTGGCAAGCGAGTTTTTGGCCGTGGTCGAAGGGACCAGCAGCGCAATTCAGAAGAAGGAGGAGCAGCACAGGATTGCGACGGTTAACAGGGCTAATGCAAGTGTTAGGATCTAGTGCGGAGGATGGGAATGCCAGCCTTTTTCTACGTCAGGGCGAGCTCTTGTGTTTGGTAGTGTTGCTCAAGTCAGTCGAGCGAAAGAGACCCGCAATGGGATGTGTGCGCAGGCAATCTGCAAGGCATCACACGTGGCGCAGTGGAAGAGGAATGACTGTGTTCAATGGAAGCGACTGTGCAGGACTTCTCCCTCGGGGAGGCTGATATATACACAGCTCAGGTGGCCTTACTCTCCTCGTAAGCATCCAAGACCTTCTGTTGGCTCCCCGGCTCAGCACTTGCACCCCTCTTTTTCATCCTAAACCTCTCCCCCCACCCGCGTTTGGCACCGTCATTGGCCTCCTCCCACTCGTAGCCGTTGGTGACGACGTTGTCGAGCTTCTCGCTCCTCCAGTTCAACCAGTTGAGGACGGTAGCGAGTACCGCGACAGGAATGGCGATGAGGGCCATGTAGAATGCGGGGCCGGGCATGGTTTTCGGGCTGCTGATCTTCTTGAGTTGAGTTTGGACGTAGGCGAGGAGGGCGATGTCGATGGCGAAGGCGATGAGAGCCAGCAGTGCTGCGATGGCGTTGACGGCCATAGCTGCGAGACGAATGGTTTGTTTGGGGATGGCGGTGAGGACGAGTCCAGCTAGAGCCGCGACAAAAGCGACGACATGGACGGCCAGACCGCGCGTCCAGGAGCTGCCAATCGTAACAAACGCCTGCGCCTCCGTGTTGGACTGCGCCGGATTGCTACCGAGCTTGACACTATAGCCGTGAGAGTGCTTGAAACAGCCGATAGAGTCAGTGCCGTTGAGCGTGGTACAGTACCCCCACGTACCGAAACGAATCGATCCCACCGGTCGGTTGGCGTTGCTACCGGGCGAAAGGTCGACCGTGCCATTGAGGTTGTTGGAACGCACAAAGTCGAACGGCGTAGCGTCGGATAGCGTGGTGGGCGTCGAGATGGTGATGAGCACCAGCAGGATCATCGAGATGAACGACACGGCGATCGCTGGGAAGTAGTACCTTCGCGTCATGTTGGGCTAAAACGAGTGGTGATGATGGTAGTAGCAGTGTACAATCGAACAGGCATGGATGCGAGCCAAAACACATCCCCCTCGACCGCCCCACTCCTCCCACCACCACCTCTCGCCCAGCCTTGCCACACCCAAAAGAGAGCCCCTACTGCAATCGGAGCTGCAAAACACTCCAAAAACAAAAACACGCCTAAAAAGCGTATCTTTCAACTCCTCAGCCCCCCCTTAAGCGAGAAGCACGGGAAAATCACTTTTCTCTTGCCGAACGTGCATCGTTGCTCCTCTTGGCTGTTCCAGAAAGAACAAAAAAGCAACAGTGGGCTCGGATGCAACGAGAGGAGGGTCCCGCTGCACACCCTCTGTCAAACTTGTCTTCCATCGGGGCCCGCACGGATCGGGTCACACCCATTGCTTCTGACGAGCTTCTCATCCACCGTCAAACGTCACACAGTCCCATATCAACGTATCGATTGATGTATTATAAAAGCAAGTGGGCAGGAAAAGGTTAAGCGAACTCGCTACCGAAAATAGCATTGACCTTGTTCGCCACCTGCCAAGCGGCCAGGGTGACCGCCATGCCTGCTGTCTGTCCACCTATACTCGCTATGCTCGCTAGCATCACTCTGGGCGTCCACACTTTGAACAGCATCAAATGGCGTCTGAACACCAAGCCGCTGAGCGCTGTTGTGCTGAGGAGCAGCACGCCGTTGTAGAGCGCCAGCGTGAGCAGGGCAGCGAGGATCTTGCGTGGGAGGGTCATGCGTGTCCCTGACCCACGTGGCAGCGGGGAGGTGTTCCATAGCAGTGCGAGGACCGTGAAGAGCGGTGGGAGGACAGTTAGGTGGCCGAACGAGTTGAGTGCTACCAACAGCGGCGATAGTGGATAGGCAAGTGTTGGGGATGTGAGGAAGGCCAGTCGCCACTGGATGGAGGGGAAGGTCGCTTGGTGACCCGTGCCGAAGAAGCAGAGGTATCCGAGGAGGGCGAACGTTGCGATCTCGGCAGAGGAGAGGTGGATGCGGGTCGAGATGCTCGCTGTTGTCGTTGAGGGCTGTGCACCTTGATCCGGGATGGAAGTGGTTGAGGTTGCAGAGGCGAGCGCGAGTCGTTGTCGATGAAGAACGAGAACATCCCTCTCCGCATCCCCCAATTCAACCGTCAGCATCCCACACAACCACACACAACCCAAGGCCAACTGCCCACTCGGCTGGGTGACCACCCACAGCACCCCCACCACCAACCCTACGAGCAGCACAAAACTGCTCCCAAAACTGTTGGCGTATCCCAAAATTCTCACTTTCTCCTTCTCCTCCTCTTGGGTCGCAGGCTCGCGTCGAATGTCCAAACACAACGGGGCGAAGATCCAAAACGCCATCGCCACCCCAGCTAGCACGACCAGATCTACAACAGCCACCCACCCCTTGACCCACTCCAGCGTCGCTCCCCATCCACTGCGCTCTACGGCAGGAAGCACGCTCGCCCAATCCAACGCCCAATACCCCGCGCCGCTCATCAGCGTCGGCCTTACCACCCAGTCGAAAAACGCGGGTGCAATGCCAACGAAGCTCTTGCTCCCGCGCAAGAAGCGCGCGATGAAACTGGGTAAGAGGTAGGCGAGGATGTAAGCGAGTGCGATGGTGTACGGGCTGTTGAGCGCCGATGCTGCGTTGGACGGAGAGGAGGCGAAGAACGTGCTGGTGCAGTGGGGGGCTTGCTCCTCGCGACACACCCGGGGGTACGCTGCGACCCGTGTCAGGCCAAGGGCGAGGAGGGTGTGCATCAGAGCGCGCGTCTTGGTGTGCGCGTTCGGCGAGGCGCCAAGCAGCAGCAGGCCCCGAATGAGCAGGAGAGTGGTGAGCGAGAGAAGCACGAACCGGTCTTCAAAGACGAGGAACGAGTTAGAGGCGAAGATGGCCGAGTGAATCAGGAGGATGAGCCAGCCGGAGGAGGCGAGGAGTTTGGTGGTAGCCGGTGTCGTGCTGGCTTCGTCATCATCCTTTCGGTGGGAGATGCTGCGGGGGAAGTGCTGGATGAGCAGGCATAGTTGGGATGCGATGGATGCGCCGGCAAGCACGCTGTCGAGCAGTGTGAGCGGCTTCAGGAGTGTGGCCACGGCGAGGGGGAGTGGTAGCAGGGTTGCAAAGTGTAGGACTGCTCCTACCACGGAGCCAGTGAGCATCGGGCGGGAGATGGATCGCTTGACCACCGTGTAGAGCTCTTCTGTCGTCTGACTCGGCCTCACCTGCTCGACCTTGCTGTTGTCACCAGCAGCGTCGGTATCAGTATTGGGCAGCGCTGCAACCAAGCCGTTCAGCGCACCATCCCTGATGACCCACGCCGTCGTCAACGCCAACACCAGCACCACCAGTCCCACGGCAATCCTCACCATATCAAATTGCGCCCACACCTCCCTCGCCCTCACCAGACTGACCCGGTTGAACCGGTGGTACGCCTGCGCCGCCTTCCTCCACGCCGCCTCGATCGTCACCTGATTCTTCGCACTCGGCGTCTTGGCCAGCAGCTGCGCCAGCTCCGCATCCGCCCGCACAGCGTCCAGCCAGAGCGCGTCGAACTCCGGCTTGAACGCCGCCAGATCTGGTGACTTTTGCGAGTACGCCGTGAGATACGAGCGCATCTGCGTCGCTGTGATGCGCAGAGCGAGGAGTCGCGTGTCTGGGTGAGGGAAGAGGTCTGGGATGATGCTGCCGAGGTTGTTGTAGGGGATGGGGAGACCGAGGAGGATCGAGATGGTGGGTACGAGGTCGATCTGCGGTACGCTCCTGTGCCCTTGACTGGGGTATGGAGGGGAAGGAAGCGGACTGAACGGAATCCTGCTTGGCAAGATCGCTTCGACCTCCGGAGTGGAGATGTACTCTGCAGGGTCGAGGCGGTCTTCCACTCGACGACCAACGGACCCGAACCCGCCCTTGGAGTACATCCACAGCCCAGCTCCGATTTCGAGCTCAGCATCACCTCCGTGATCACCCCTCTCGTCCATCCCGTGATCGCCCATCACCACCACGAGCGTCTCCTCGTCCACTGCATCCGTGATGTTCTTCAACAGCAGCTGCATCTCCTCCAGCTTGACCTTCATCTTTGAATGGCTGGCGCCGAAGCGATGTCCCACATGATCCACTCCCAGCGTGTGCCCGACGAGCAGCCGCCAGGAATCGTGCACGCCTACCTGGCGATCCGGGTGATTTTGCTGCAGGAAGAGGAGGAGCTTCGACTCGACGCCCCGATCGACCGTGTCGAGGTCTTCCACGTTGAATGAGTCGTACGTCCACGTGGTCTCTGCGTCGAAGAGGTTGGGGAAGACAGTGCTCCACGTATCGTCGCCTGCGAAGACCAGTCCTGCTCTGTCTTGCGTACTGCTGGACGTGAGGATGGAGCGCTTGAATTGGGCGATCCAGTTGTCCTCGTTGACTTGGCCGATGCCCGTGCCGGCCGAGCCAAAGTTGGCGCCTGCCTCGATGAAGGTGGGCAGCGTCCCCGTGGTGAGACCCTTGAGTCGTTGCAGAGTCGTCGTAGGTGGATCAGCTGCAAAGTGAGCGAGGAAGGAGCTGGGACCTTTCTGTGTTGCGTATGCCGGGCTGCCATGCTTCGCAGTCAGCTCTGCGGGAAGCGAGAGGATGTTGTGGTAGTACGGATTCGGTGTCCATCCTGTGCTGTCTTCCTCAGTCGTCGGCGGAAGAGGAGCAACGAAGTCGTACCGCAGCGCATCTATGATCAGCACCACGGCCTTCTTATGTGTCGGTGCCAACCTGCACTCGCCCTTGCCCACCCTCGGATCCAACACCGTCTCCGCCCAGTTCAACAGGCTCGCATCGTCAAAGCTCTCCGGCGGACCAGGCAGTGTCCAATGCCTCTCTACCGTCTCTGCGCACTCGTTGATCCCGGATAGCTCGTGCCGTGTCAACAAGAACCCCTTGATGAACAGCCACAGTCCTACCGAGGTGTACACCAGGACGAGACCGAGCAGGGCCAGCACGCTGAGGAAGGCTTTGTTCGGCGATGCTGCCTTCTGCGGTACGCGGTCAGGGTGTCTTGCGGCATAGGAGGAATGTGAAGAGTGCGACTCATGAGAGCCATGCGAGTCGTGCGAATCATGAGAGGAATGCGAGGCTCGACGTTGACGGCGCCGGAGAGAGTCGCCGAACGCTGGATGCTGTGGGGTGGTCGGTGCTGGTGCTGGTGCTGGTGCTGGCTGGTCGCCGCGCCGAAGGTCGGCAAGCGAGGGCGGCGGATTGAGCGCCGACGAAGAAGGCGCCATATCTAGCCCTTGACTCTCTAGAAGTCTAAAGAGGAGGTCAGTGATGGACGATGGTGAGAGGGAAGAATCGAGTCGAGAAGAAGTCGAACTGCACAAAAAAGTCCGTGCTCGACAAGCGCGACTCCACATGGCAGACCTCCGCATGGCGAAGCGCTGACGTCGTGAGCTTCCAAAGTCCGCCGTCTCCTTGCTTTTCACACTCTGAGCTCTGCTCCCACCATGATGGCCCTCGGCACGATCGACCTTGCTACACAAACGCCGACACACACACAGCGCAAGCACAGAACAGGCGATGATGGCAAAGACTACATTGTACACTATATACAAAGACGAGAGAGAACCTTCTCCCATCTGCCAACGAGTCCAGGAGTGATGAACGACCTAATGCGATGAACGAAGCCCTATTTACAATGATTGATGATATTTACAGCCTTGCTCGTCTGCAGAGCAAGGGGTATATGTTGCCTTTAGGCGCTACCCTGGAAGCGGCGCATGAGGGCGTCGTCGTTCTTGGTCTCGGGGTGGAAGGTGACCTTGCCCTCCTTGTAGAGCGTGGTCATGTCGACGGGGGGCTCGTAGGCTGCCTGGGGCGCCTGCTGCTGAGCGGACGGCTTGGCGCTGCTGTCCTCCTTGCCCTCCTTGCCCTCGGAGCGCCAGTTGCCGCCGATGCTGGCAACGACGAAACCAGGGACCATGGCGAGCACGCTCTGGTGGTGGAAGTTGGCCGACTTGAGCTGGCGCTCACGCGACTCGTAGATACGAGGGGTGGCCGCGATACGACCACCGCGGATGCTGCGGAACGAGTTGAGCTGCTCGCCCACCTGGCCGACGGCAGGGAGCCACTCGGAGAAGGTGCGGGCGCGGACGTTCTTGCCGTCCTCGGAACCGGTCTCGGAGACGGGAGGAGGGAGCGCGTTGGGGTCCTGCATCAGCTTGTACTTGATCAGGAAGTTCTCGAACGGCTGTGTGGGCAGCAGACGGATGAGAACGGCCAGCGGCCACGAGACGAAACCGACAACGATCGATACTCCCCAGTCGCGTCCAGTGAGACGGATGACCGAGAAGGCAGCACCACCGATGAACATGATCAGAACCTGGAAGCCAATCTCGATGGCCAAGATGCCGAGGAACCAAGGGTTCTTGTGCAGATTGCTGAAGATGTTGAGCTTCCTGGTGAGCGAACGAGAGTTGACCTGGTTGAACAGCTGGCACCACACAAACGTGTTGAACACGATGGCCGAGAGCTCCGTGTCGCTGCGCTGCTGCTGGAAGGGAGTGCCAGTCTGCATGTTGAGGATCGATTTGCCGGCAAAGTTGAGCACCAGGATGACAGCCGTCTGGTAGATCGACTGGCCGATGATCATCTTCCACATGTCGGTCGAGATCAAAGCAGCGGTGCGACGGTCCGGTTTGCGGTCGAGCAGATCAGGGGTAGCAGGGTCGGTGGCGAGGGCAAGAGCAGCAAGCGTGTCCATGATGAGGTTGATCCAGAGCAGCTGAACAGCCTTGAGGGCGGAAGTACCCTCCTCGGAGGCGACGGCGGTAACGAAAGTGACGATGACGGCGGAGATGTTGACCGAAAGCTGGAACTGCAGGAACTTGCGCACAGCGTCGTTGACACAGCGACCCCACATGATGGCGCTGACGATGGAAGCAAAGTTGTCATCCATGAGAATGATGTCCGAAGCTTCCTTGGCGACCTCAGTACCAGCGATACCCATCGAGAAACCGACGTTGGCGGTCTTGAGCGCAGGACCGTCGTTGGTACCGTCACCAGTGACACCGACGACCTCACCGAGACTCTTGAGGGTCTCGACGAGAATTTTCTTGTCTTCGGGCGAGGAACGGGCGAGCACCTGGAGCCTGGGGACGACCTCCATCATGTCAGTGCGGCTGAGCTTGCGGAAGACGGGGCCCTCCATGACGATGCCGCCAGGAGTGTAGATGCCACACTGAGTGGCGATCGACTTGGCAGTGAGCACGTTGTCACCAGTGCACATCTTGACCTGGACACCGGCGCGGGCGCACGCGGCGACGGCCTCAGTGACACCAGGTCGGAGAGGGTCCTCGATAGCAGCGATAGCAACCAGAGTGAGATCCTGAGCGAGCGAAGCGTACTCTACGTCTCCAGACTCGTCGATCTTAGCATCCTGGGGAGGGAACGACTCGAGGTCACGGTAGACAAGAGCGAGGGTCCTGAGCGTCTGGTTGGCGAATCCGGTGATGGTAGAGTTTACCTTCTCGAGCTTGGCAGCGTTGAGCTCCTCGATCTGGATGCTGTCTGAGGTGGTTTCAGTGACTTCGACGTGACGAGTGCAGAGACGGGTGAGCACTTCGGAGGCACCCTTGAGGTAGATACGGAAACCGCCCTCGGGACGCTTGACAACGACACCCATGGCCTTGCGTTCGGAGCTGAAAGGGATCATCTGGACGACCTCGGCACGCTCTCGCGAGGCGCGGTAGTCCTCCCAGTTGAGATCCTTGGCCATCTTGAGTAGAGCAGTCTCGGTCTTGGAACCAACAAAGCCGTTCTCCTTCTTCTTTTCCTCGGTGGCAGCAGCCTTCTTGGACTTGAAGAGACCGGAGAGACCGAACTTCTTGACCTTGGCAACAGGGTTGGCGACGGCAGCCTCGTCATCGTCCTCCGACTTGGCCTCCTCGAAGGCGGTCGAGTTGATGGCAATGCTGTCGTTGAAGAGCCTTTGGAGGGGAGCGCTGATGTTGGAGTTGAGGTCGTTCTGCTCTACGATACGAGTCTGGGTGGAGGAACCGGCGTCGTGCTCGGTCTCGACACGCTTGCGGTTGGCCTCGAGGCGATCGGCAAACTTGAAGTTGATACCGATGCTACCAGCGACGACGCTCATCTCGTTCTGAGTAAGAGTACCGGTCTTGTCAGTGCAGACGACGCTGGCGTTGGCCATGGTCTCACAGGCGCCGAGCAGACGAACAAGCAAGTTCATCTTGGTCATGCGCTTGGTAGCAAAGGCAAGAGCGAGGGTGACGGCGAGAGGAAGACCTTCGGGCACGGCAACGACCACCACGGTGACGGCGATAATGAGAATGTTGATAAAATCCTGGGCCTTGTCGTTGGAGGAGCGGTTCGGCTCCTGAGCGAGGTGGACGAAGAATCGGATCATGAGGGCAGTGAAGAGAACGATACCGGCGGTGGAACCGAGCCAAGCGATGAGATCGGCGAGGCGGTTGAGCTTGGACTGAAGCGGGGTGTCCTCAGCGTCGCTGCGGAGCGAAAGCATGAGTTTGCCGTTGAAACTGGTGGGACCGACAGCGATGACGACGTACTCGCCGACACCCTCGAGGACCTTGGAACCAGAGATGAGGAAGCAGTCGCGGTTCTTGGGCTTCTCGTTCTTGCGGCGGGCCTCTTCGAGATCGGTGATGCACTCGTCGTAAGTGACCTTGCGGATCATGTCGGACTCTCCGGTAGCACCAGACTCGTCACACTTGACATTGTGGCCACGGAGGAAAATACCGTCACAGGGGACAATCTCACCAGGCTCGAGCTGGAGAATGTCACCAACGACAACATCGTAGACAGACATGAGAGCGGGCTTTCCCTGACGGAGGACCTTGACGTCGCGCTGCTCCTTCTTGGCGTTGAGTTTCTTGAACTGGCGCTCCTTTTGGTAGTCGTTGACGGAACCGACGAGATCGACGATGATGATAGCGATGAGAATAGCGAGACCTTCGACCCAGTCGATGTGGATGGATTCACAGGTGGTCTCGATACCGTTGACGACACAGGCGACCTCCTCGGGAGGCAGTGTGCTGGTGTAGATACCGAGAGCAAGCGAGACGACGGCAGCAACGCAGAGCAAGATGAGAATCTTGTCCTGGAGAGCGAGCCACATGAGGAGAAGAAGACTGTTGGACTTGCGTTCGGGGAGGACATTGTTTCCGTAGACGCGGACACGGTCCTCCTCGGAGGCATCGACAAAGTTGGGGTCGCGGCTCTTGCCGGTGGTGGTGGGAGCGCTCTCGATGTCTTGAGTGGCTGCACCGCCGGCCTCGATGGTCTTGGTTCCGCCAAGGTCGAGGCCGCGGTGCTCGTCGGTGCCGAGCGAGGCGAGAACGCCCTTGACACCGCCCATGTCGCGAAGCTTCTCTACGCTCTTGGGGTCGAGGAGATCAGCGAGCTCAATGGGCCTGAGGGGGAAGGGGCGAGGGTCGACATTGCGCTGGCGCTCGATTTCAGCGGCGAGCGCCTTGGCCTGCGCCTCACGACGACCGGAACGGGTGACGCCCTTGAAGGACTGCTTGATGCCGCCGAGGAAGCCAGGCTTCTCGGTCTGAACGGGCTCCGAGGAAGCGACGGGCGAGTCGGTCTTTTCGATGCTGGCCGACATTTTGACAGGAGGATGGGGTAGTTGTAGCTGGGAAGAGACGGTGCGGGGAGTCGAAGCTGTGTGCGTTGGGAGGGACGCGCTAAGCGAGAGCTTCAGTTGACCATGCCCTGTGGTTGAAATAGAGACGGAAATGGAAGTGTGCTTCCACGGTGACCAATGAAGGTAACAGTGGGAGGGGGGATGGTAGTTGAAGAGATTCCAAGGAGAAGAAGAAAGGATGGCGAAGACAGAAGCTAGTGATGACTATATACTGGGACCAGGCTTTTGGCGAGGCGCAGATGAAAAAAGTGGATGCGAACAAAGTGTTGGTTCTGCGGTTGATGTGGTGCCGGTCGCGCTGCTGGCTGGCAGAATGCGACGGCCCTGACTGCTGAGCAGGCACTCAGCAGCCGCGAAGAGGGCGAGAGGGAGTGAGTGAGACTATGCGCTCATGAAGGTGGCACTGGGGAGGAACGTGCAACGGGCGCGATCAGACGAGGCGAGGCGTTGAGAGAGAGAGGCGAGCGCACTTGCAGAATGCCAAGCCGTCAACGGACTTTGAAAATTAAAGGGCGGCAACACAGAGGCACAAGAGATGCAGTCCAAGAGGCGCGCAGCTGAGAAAGCAACACACACGCTCGCACAAACCAGTCGAGAGAGGAGGCTATGTGAACAAGCGAGGCACTTTCGCCAGCCAAGCTTGTCTTGCCTTGCCTTCACTTCGGCACATGGCCATCGAGATTTCGAAACCATGCTGCGAGCCAAGCTTGTGTGTGTGAGCTTCGGAGACCACTTGACCGAGCTGAAAGGCACAGATGATGGCATGGGCATGAATCGAAAGCGCTCTCTCTGCACAGCAATCAGGGCCCACAACTCGGCCTGCAGGCTGTGCTTTTTGGGCGTCACTGAGACAGACCAGAAAATGGTACAGCAGAGCGAACTATCGGAAAAAGCAGCTTTGGAGGAATTTCCTAATTTTGGATTTTAGCATGATTCTCGATGCATATCGGATGGATTTTTGCCAAGACTTGGCCCCGCCTTCTCCCTTGGCCTGAGCTTGAGCCCTGCAGCAACCAGCAGCCTTCTGGCTTTTGATGCCCGCTGTCCGACCGCTTTCAGAGAGAGAGCTTCAAGGGCAGCTAGACTCTTATGCGGAGCTATTCTGCTGCTTGACAGCCCTCAACCCTTGTCGGACCCCTTGGCATCCACTCTATCCATCTTCCTTGCTATTGTCTGGCTTGCACCCTAGCTTGGCTCGGCGATCAGGCGAGCCCACGTGCGGTTGTCACTACAGTATGAGAACCTTTCTGCTAGTCGTGCTCTTTGCCCGCTGTCCGAGCAGCCTTAAGAAGATCACTTTTCGATCAATCATGGTGCTGGTTGAGCATACGACTCAAGGCTCTGACTTGCGGCTTTCTGGCTGACGAGTCTAGTGATGACGCTGCTCATCAACCAAGCTTCGCGTGGCTCGAGCTCTGATGCTGCTGTGCTGCGCCTGCGAGCTGACGAGAGAGACAGGCGCAAAGGAAAATGTTCGTTGGAAAGCTTCTCTCGAACAGAGGCTGTGCCCTTTTCTCCTCTTATTTTTTTTCTCCGTCCCTAAAAAGGCTTGGCAAAGAAAAGGGCTTTGCTTGGCATCTCACTCATGCCTTTCAGACTGCCGCCAGCTACCGTGTAGCCTCACCGCCGAACCCAATCAACATTCAAAGCCGGCGACACGTGCGCTCCAATGGGTTCAAGGCAAAGTCTTGGCTTTGATTCCTTTGCTCCGCACACTCCGCCCCGCACCGCAGGCATCCAATACCAGCCATCACCGATCGGAGGGTCATGGCCAGGGGGCGATCCATGTCAAGGTACCGTTTCAAATGAGGCTGCTGCACCGGTCAAGTCACAGTCAGCGCGCAATCGAGAGAGGTTGCAAGTCGCCTTCATTCGTTTGTATTTGTGGGAGGAAGAGCTGCGAGAGCAGGACAAGATGCAATGACGATGCTAGACGCCTTGTTGACCGGTACACTCGCCGATCCGTGGCCAATCCCGATGCAGCGCAGATCTCTCGTCGCTACGTGACGCCTACGCACACTGCTGGTCCATATCATCAGATCTCCAGACGCTCGAAGCTGTAGGCGCCCACCAGCATGCTTTGCTCGAGCAACTGCAGACGACGCGTCTTGGTCTCGCCCTGCGTACCCAGCTTGAGTCCCAATCCACCGCCCATCTCGGCCCTCGCGGCTGCATCCGCCTTGCTGCTCACGCTCACCTTGGTGTTGCCCGCTGATGCTACCGCACCGCTCGCCGACAGCGTCGTTCCTCGGCTCTTCTTCTGCTTGGCTTCCGTCAAAGCCAGAAGATCATTCTCCTGCTGCAGCTTGGCGAACGCAGACAGCGGCGCGTTGAGCACTCGCAGCGTCGACAGCAGCTGCAGGTAGCGCGAGATGGTCGACGAGAGCGACTGCACCGTAGCATGGGACCGCGGCGTGGCCAGCAGCAGAGGGAAGAACGTGTCGAGCACATCGTTGGCCAGCGCCATCACCGCATCTGCGTTCGGCGCTTTGTTCTTGCCCTTCAGCGAAGCCAGGCTGGCAAAATCGCCCTTGGCCGCAGCGTCCTCGTCCGCTTCCGAGAGTGGACGCTGGATTGTCTGGCTCAGCCATGCATTGCAAAGCTGCAACAGTGCCATTACCTGGTCCACGTCGTCGCGAAGCTGCATCTTGAGGGCACTTCGCAGCGCGGGTCGGGAGACGCGCAGCTGCACAATATGAGTCAGCAAGAGCATGTATTGCTGCGCTGCTTTCGCATTGCCTCGAGACTGGAGCAATCCTCGCACTGCAGAAAGCAAGAGCGAAGCCAGTGTATCTTCGCCAATGTCGGACATACGCTTGAGGGCCACACGGAGGAGCTGGGCATCGTTCCAGGCTCCCAACCTCGACCAGAACTCGGTCAGGTGAGCACCGTTGGCCTGCACCGAGGCGCTGCGTGCACTTGCTGCCGTGTCGGTAGAAGGCTTCAATGTGGCAAAGATCGACGGGTGGACTCGAGGATGCTTGAGAAGGGTGAGAAGCGCGCTCCGCGGGAAGAAGGCTGGTGGAGTAGCTGGACTGCCCTTGCTGCTTCGTTGCGAGGGCGATGGCAGAAGCAGGCCGAGCAGCGAGCCGAAGAACGACGTGTCGGCTTCATGCGCGGAAAGCGTTTCCAGCATGCGGCCATCTGCTGTTGTAGCGTCGATCCAGCCAGAGAGGATCGAATTGATCTCGCCAGTTCTAGCGGATCCCTTGCCGTTGCCCTGAGCAACGGTCCTGATCTGATCGAGGAGTGCAATTCGGCTTGCATCCGACGCCGAGGTCCCCTTGACGGCTTCGTCGAGCTCGTCGCTGGCACTACGAAGCCACCGAGCGGTGAGCTCGCCTTTGCCAAGAGCATCACGGAGGACACTGACCTCGGGTACAACGAAAGGAACCGAAAGCACGCAGACTCTGCGCTGGTGAAGTTGAGCCAAAACCTCGGCTTTGTCCGAGGAGCTCGAAGTGCGAGATGAGACGGTGGGAGGTCCCATGGTGATGACGCTGGTGGAGCCTGCGATACGCGTTGCGGAGATGGTGGTCATTCGCTGAAGCGAGCCATGAGAGGAAGCTTCGAGACTGGCGGGAACGAAGGGGACCATCCAGTCGATCTGTTTGAGCACTGCGTTAAGCTCGAGATCCACAATGAGGGACACCACGCGCTCCTTGTCGGCGGTGACCGAAGATGGTTTTGTGACGCCGACAATCAAAGCATGATCGCGGCTCAGAAGCAAGCAGGAAGATGGCGAGGCAGTCGAGGTGAAAGAAGGGCGCGAACCGCTGGCAAGAGCCAGAGCGTCGAGCACGCCGGTGCTGATGTTGCTAAAGCGAGGCTCGCTGGTGGCTGATGTGGCCAGAATCATGGAGGTGAGAGAGCCGTCGAAGCCGAGAACGACAAGCCGTCCGTCCGGATGCAGTTGCACGTCTGTGGTATGCCTCGCGTTTGCGAGATCAGGGAGTTGAACGCGGCCAAGCTTGATGGTAGCGATGGCCGAATCCGAGGCGCCATCAAAGCTCTTGACAAAGGCGGTGAGCTCGAGCGAGAGAGGACCTGTAGGCGTGGGCGATGTCGGGAGGGAGCTGTCGGATGATTGCGGATCCTCGTCATCAATGGCGTTTCCATCCTTCCTGGAGCGTTTGGAGCGTTTCTTCTTCTTACTGGCGTCCTCCTCGACATTTGATGGCACTCTGGGCAGCTTGGCATCCGAGGTGACAGCGATACGCAAACCGAGCACAGCGGCCTCTTCGACGCGCGAGCTACCCGAGATAAGGCTCTTGGCCGAGGCAGCGTCGAGAAGATTGACGAAGAGATGACATCTCTGCTGAGATTGGGGATGAGTAGCTTCTACGGTGTCGACAATGTGCAATGAAGTGGCAGCTGCTTGCGTCGAAGCCTGGTCGTCGTAGGTAATGGGCGAGGAAGCAACGATGGTGAGAGTATCGTCCGAGTGGGTGAGAACGAGTCTTCCATCACCGAGGGCGTGGATGAGACGAATGGGCCTGGACACTGAAAGCGACTCCTTCTTGACTTGGACTTCGGCGAATTCCTTGCCCTTTGCAGAGAGCTCCTCGACGTAAGCATAGAGGTGATGGGTCGCCGTGACAAGCCCGCGTCCCGACTTTGCTCGAGCATGCGACTCGATTCCGACGTAGGTGGTACGAAGAGTGCGTCCTGCACCGAGGGAGCGTAGAAGCGTGAGTGGGGCCGAAGAAGCGATCTCTGCGGAGGAGAGGGTGAAGCTCTGAAGGGGCGTCTGCGTCTGAGGGTTGACAAGGTTGAGCGCGTGGCCGGCAATGAGGATCGGTAGCGTTCCCTTGAGGCGGCGCAGCATCCGAGTGTCAGATGACAGCTTGTAGGCTGCGCCGACCGAGACCGACGAGGTCTTTGTGGTGGAGAAGCCGGTCGCTGGCAGGGTGGCATGACGCGCCAAATCGGCAGCAGCCGGGGTAGGATGCGTCAGCAGCGTCGATGGCTGCGCCAGCTCGGGCTGAGCCGATACCGATGCCATCTTGTCACGGTCGTAGTCGGGCGCGGCCGAAGCGATGAGTGTCTGTGGTCTTTGGTGGTAGCGATCTGTGATGCGGAAGAGAACCGAGAGGGGAATGACGAAGTAGATTCGACCGTTGGGAGGAGCGTGTCGGAATGGCGCCGCACTGCAATGTCTGTTCTTCTTCCTCCGCTTCGGCTCGCCGTGCTGTGACAGGAGTGGATCCGATGTGAAGAGCAAGCGTTGGAAAAACGATGAGCAACTCTGATGATGAGGAGAGCTTCGCCGTTGTGGAAAAATTTCCACACGAAAGCTCTTTGCTGTCGGCAACTTTTTTTCTTCCTGCACCCTGGCGACGCTCCTCTGAAACTTGGATTTGTCAGCGTGACAAGGGCCCCGCCCTTCGTGAAGCGTACTTAACATGATAAAAATGGCGACCCATTGTACCGGGTCCAGCATGCTAGCTGGCTCCAGGCTGTTGCTGAACCTGACAGCTGAACAAAATCAGATTGTCGAGTCTTGTAGAGACTGACTCTGTCAAGGCTAGCAAGGCTGCACGTCATCTGATGGGCTCTGCGGCAGAATCGCTTGACCGATGCGAGGACTCAACGACGAAGCGTTGCAAGCTGCAAGATCTGCACGAGCATGTTCTTTTGAGCCAGGGGATTTGGAAAGGATCTCCATTGTGCAGATCAACTAAGGCAGGCGTCTGCGTCGAGCTCAATCGAGTCGGGCGTCTCTGCTCGCAAACAGGTGGGAGACCGACGCAGCATGATCAGAAACGAGCGTATCGAGCAGTCCTGTCGGACTTTCTGACGGCTGGAGCTTGAAATCGGACAGCTTCCGACGTCGTCGGCGGATGCGAGAGGAGATAGGATTTGGTGCGCGTGGCTTGTGACCACTCTGACGGCTCAAGAAAAGCGGTTCATGACTATTTCATCGAGTATATGGACACATTGCGGCTGTGTTTTGGTCGTCCTCTATCTTGACCGACATGCCCGAATGCGCCTTGAAGTTTGTTGCGTTTGACGAGCCCTGACCAAACCTAAAAATTCAAACAGGCGGCGTATGACCCTTGGCAGAACGATCTTCGGAACATCCTTCTTAGGCTAGGTTAACCTCTAAATTCAGGCAGCAGCCACGCACAAACAAAAAAGGACACACGCACGCATGCTGGACCCTGTTCTTCTTGTTCTTCTTTTGGCAAGCCTGTCCGCATCAGGCGGGCCGGAGGCGTGCTGCCGCCGTTTGTTTGCTTGTGGCTGACCTGCGCGTGCGTATGCGTGTGCGTGTGCGTTCCGGTCTGTGGTCTGTGATTCAGCGCCGCGCTTGGGCCTGCCTGTCTCTCAAGCTCTCCTCGACAGCCTCGAATGCCTGCACATGCTTGACAGGGCCCACATGCTTAGACTGCCTAGCTGAGTTGGAGCAGCTCTCAATTTTGAGAAGCGCTATCAGCGAGACCCTTTCTGCATCTGAGCCCTGCCATTCACTCGTCGTCGTCAGTCTTCCCACTTGTCCCTTTGTTCGCCCACAAACATTGAATCCTCCCTCTTCCCCATCACTCGTTTCTGGCTGCTACCCACGTTGAGCAGCAGCTGAGTTCCGCACCGAGGCCCGAGTTGACTCTATCAACAATTGACGACCCACCTTCTTGGCGCTCACTTCATCTCATCTGCTTTCGTCGGGCAGTACAGAACACCCCTAGCAGCTCGCTCGTGCTCCGTCATCGAACCCTCTCAGGCCGAAGTCGATTTCCTCGTCGTTCCCGTCCAGGCCATCATGACGCCATCCTGCACTTGATCTCACACTCGCTTCATCAAAGCATCCAGCTCTGCCACGCCTCGCCGTACGACGATCTTCTCGTGCAGCTTCGATAAGTCGCAGCGAGCAGGACGCTACAACGACACTGTAGCAGCAATGCCGGCATCAGTAGCCACCAATGGCGACGCAGTCATGGCTCTTGACACCGTGCCATCCCTGATCAGTGCTCGCTCCGCCAACACGCTCATCTCTGAGAATCGTCCAACTCGTATCCAAGCAGAAACGCTTCTCATCCTCAACGGCCTCCTCGACGAATTGCTCCTCGCCATCATCAGCTCCGCCAAGAGCCTTGCGACCGATCGCATCAAGACCGATGGCGTGCTCAAAGTGCTAGGCAGCAATCTGCTCGCCAAGGATGCCGTTCTCGAAGCTGAACTCGAACTTCGCAGCTACCTCGAAGGCAGGAGAGCAGAAGGCGCGAGAGTACCCTTGGGTCTTATGGCCACCTCCCGTCTCGATGGCACCGATGGCTTCCCCGTCCAGAGTGCTTACAAGGCACTCCAGACCCGCTGTCTTTCCTACTGCACCCTCAGCGACTCCCACGACGATGACGTGCCCAAGGATCAAAACATCATGAGCAGCGATGGACGCCCCATCGCAACCGTCACACCGGGCGCCGCCATCTACGTGACTGCTCTGCTCGAGTACATCGGAGAGCACATCTTGCAAAACGTCTCCCGCGTCATCGAGCGTGACAACTCGGACGAGGCCAGCCTCTATGACCTTCGTGCCGCCATTACCGAAGACGAACAGCTCAATCCGCTCTTCACCAAACTCTCGATCAGGTCAGAAATGGCTCGTCGCATCGACGTGCTCGAGTCTCGTCGGCGTAAGATCACCGAAGATGGCGCCGGTCGCGGAGTTCGATCCGACGCCAGAGTGGTCAAGCCGTGGCACGTTCCAACCGAAAATGACTTCGATGAAGCTGCCGGGCCCAACCTCTTCTCTTCCAAGCGCATCTCCGTGCAGCCAGCGCCACGGAGTGACAACGTCCAATCCATCGCCACGGCGTCCTCTCATCACGGTCATGGGACGTCCAACAGCATCGGGCAGGACGACTCGCTTCGCAACAGCACATCCACCTTTCGAACGACGTCATCCGTCGCCAACAACAGCACTTTTGACTCTACTTCAGGCAAACCGCAAGGCAATGGCAGCGTCGGGAATCAAAGCTCAACGCGCCCTCCTTCCGCTCTAGGTAGTACTTCCGGTCGACAAGACGGTGGTTCCAGTGTCCCAAACAGCGCAGGGCCCCGGCCGAGCTCAGACCGTACCTGGTCTGGCGTGTTCGGCGCCATGAAGCGCCGCAACAGCTTCAAGCAGGGGTCCGACCCGACATCCACGTCCAGTCGCCCCATCTTGCAGACACAGACCTCGTCCCACTCCAACCAAGCTGATTCGGTGCTGGAGCCCGAGGATGACTTTGACGCTCTGATGCTCTCCGGCCAGACGATGAAGGTGTCGCTCACGCCTAATCGCTTGCACACCATTGAAGTCGCTAAAAAGGGTCAGGGCGCTCCCGTTGGCTCGGTCCGTCGACGTGCAGGAACGACAGGCATGCGCGAGGACTCTGCCTCTGCAGCGGCCGCATTCGGTCAGGAGTCCGGCCCTTCGCCTGGCTCGCAGATGTCGACCGTTAGTGATCAACTGCCGGATGGTGCCGGCCGCAGCGGCGAGAGGCCTTCGACGAGCAACACAGCCCCTTCAGATGCAGTTCTTGGACGACCTGCTTCGCGCACATCGATGCAGCAGACTACCTTGCGGCCCGAACGCAAGCTGGCGGCGCCCCCACCGTCGTCGTACAGAAGTCCTTCTCCTGCCCTGCTGGGCCAGCACAATTTGCTTTCACGCGAGGAAGACGGCGCTGTGGCAGCTTTCCCGCCACCACCAATGGTGTCGAGACGCAGCGCGCCACGATTGCTGCCACGCGATGACGAAGCGGACGGTAGGACATCCACCAGCAAGGACCTCGTCGACCTGTTTAAATCGACGCCTCCCTCTGCCACTTCGGAAAGATTCAGCATCCCTGGCTCCGACACCTCCTCGCTAGCAGATGGGACTTCGAAAAAGTCGGCTATGGGTGACCGGGTCCGTCACTTATTCGGTCGAAAGTCGAGCAGCAGCACCGGTCATGCCTCGCCCTCCTCGCCTCGTCAACGAAACTTCCTTTCGCATCAGCGCACCGACACGAAAGCAAGCCTAGAAGATTCACAAGATACGCACGTCACCAGCAGTACAACTAACTCCATCGGTCAGAGACGTTCCGTCGTTTCTCCGTACACAGCACCTTCCGACCAGCATGCGGCATCACGTTCGTCTACGTCGACCTCGGAGCATCATCCGTACAAAGCAGAGGCAGCGGTGGGGGCCAAGCCTCTGCCTGATGTCAGTGTCGTTGAACCAGAGTCAGCTCCCATCCAGGCAGCAATCGGTCTAGGAGTTGGACTCGCTGCTGCTGATGCCGGCGCCGCAGGACCCGTCCCTGCTGACCGAAGTGCCAGTCCTGCCTCAAGATCCACCAGCTACGTGAGTCAGACGGCCAGCACGGCAGAACGAGCTGATGCTGAAGAGGCGACAGCGGACGACTCTTCTTCGACATCTAGGTCCACCAAACCAACAGAAGAGCTGGTGAGCCGCAAGGTACCGTGGGGCTACAAGCGTGCCTCCGTCGGCGCAGGTACGATGATAGACCGCGCAACCACGCCCAACTCGGACCGACGCAAGAGCGTCGGGTATCAGAGCTCCAACGGTCACGGCGTGCTGCCTGTCCGCAGTCCGTCGGGCATGGCCTTCTCGGAAAACGGCCATAGTCCGAGGACAGCAGCGATGGGGTCGCCATTCATCGCTTCGTCCGAAGAGGGACCGACGCCGGCAACCTCGACCGCTGCGGCAGCGAAAGGCAACAACGCACCCACCGCCTGGTCAGGCACGGGATCGCAGACGCTGGGGCGGAGAAGATCGTTCGGTTCCAGACCACTTTCAATGGCTCAAGCGCATCGAAAGAGTTTGAACCTCGAGACGATTCAGCTCCTGGCGGATCTGGAGAGAGCGATGCGCAACTGTCACAGTGTCGATGAATGCCGTGCGCTGGTCCACAAGGCCATGCATTCGGATGGGGCAGCGTCGGCGCTGTCCGACTCTCAAGTCAATGGAGTCACGGACGAGAAAGAGACTCAAGAGGAGGGCAAGGCGACCGGCGCCGCAGGTCACGCGAATGGAGCTGTTCCAGCAGGCGCAAGTCTAGGAAGTGTAGCAACGGCAGCTGAAGTGGTTACGGCGTCAGAAACGACTGCAACGCCCGACCGCAAGCTGCCAGACGTCAAGAGATTGGACGCGAACAGGAGCACCTCTCTGGAGCAAGTCGATCAGGGTTTGATTGTTGCATGGCTTCTTGGCGGGGACGAAGGCCCCACATCCACACGCGATGTGGCTTCTGACAAGCTGTCTGCCCTGCCACAGCGGCTGAGCCAGGAACAGGCTGCCACGAGTAAAGGATCCGCGGCAGAACAACCTGCGTCGCTCGACTCTTCTGCATCTCGTGACGCTACGAGAGGGCGCGCGTCGAGCAGCGTCGCGTCGGTGCAGTCCAACTACAAGGATGCGCACGAGGAGGTGATGGTGGAGTGATTCGTTCATCTCCGTTACTTCCACCTTGCAAGCTGGTTCGCACGTACGGTGGTCAGCACTGTCACGCTGCAAGGATGGAAGTCGCGGCAGGCGACACCTCCATATGGTGCTTTGCGAAGAAAGATACAAAAGGGTCTACCCAGACACGGCAGGACCACTTGTTCCGTATCCGGACTGCTCAATCCGCCATATCAGCAGCATCTGCCTAATGACAAGGAATGACAGCCAAGACATTGACCACATGGTGAGGTGCACCCCACACTCGGGATCAGGAACCAGTGCACAGAAAGCGACGCTGCCGTGATGGCCGGAACTGAACAACGGACTTGGATTCGGTAGGGGCGGGAATCCATCTGAGTTGCAGTCGCAAACCCCGCAATTTGGTCAAGACGATGCAGACTTATGGCTGAGGTAGGCGACAGCAGCAGCAGCAGCAGCAGCAGCGCAGATTGTGGGGAAGACTGAGGCGATCGCTGCCTGCTCTTGTCGCCGCCAAGAGTGCTACCTTGGCGAAGTGCTGGAGCATGTGGATGTGGCCGGGGCGAGACCCTTGCCCGTGAGCGTGCGGGGTCGCACCAAGATTTTCGTATTTGTCGCGTGGCAAGCGTCGCTGGCGTAGTGCCTCGAGGAGGATGTCCTCGGGTGCGAGGCGAGGCAGCTGTCCGAGGCACTTTGGGAGTGGAAAGTGGCTGTTCTCGCTTGTCCAATATGCATGCAGTTCAATGTCTTGGCGTTTTGCTTCTCCTCGCTCTTTGTGCCTGGCGGTTCCAGTCCGTTCGATCTCTTCGTTTCAAACGACTCGAAACTTTTCACCTCGTGTGCTAGAGTCTTGCTTTGCGATCGAAGGACGGTAGAGCGAGCCAAGGGGATAAGAAGTCAATGCTTTACGGAGATACTAGCAAGCTTTGGGAGGAAGTGGGCGATCGAATGGGACATGCTCGACGAGGCTAGCGGCGCTTGGAATAGAGAGATCCTCGTCGGTCAAGCGGGTAGACGGCTACAAGATGAGCCGGAAGACGGACATGGGCAATCTAGCTGCCTTGCGCTCACCAATCCGAGGCTCGAGACAGGGTCAGGACACCTGTCTCTGGTGCATCCCAGTGGCGGGTCATCGAACTCGCGGTTTCATCAGATCATCAAACATTTGCATTCCCAGCTCTCGAGAGCCGCCCGAACACTCCATTGACCTCTCTTCCGCCTTTTCCGCTCCTCGTCGTATGCCTTGGGGTAACCACATCTCACCTGATTGAGCACCTGCTCAATCTTTCGTCAGGCAACCTTTAGTTTGGCCCGCAGAGCGGTGCTCGAATTCTGAACCTCTTCACAAGCACAAGCAACAGCAACAGCAGCCGCCCTTCCCGAAAGCTTGTGTGTTGCTTGCTCTCGAGTCAGCGCAACTATAAGCAGTAGCAGCCGCCTTCCTCCCCGCAGTGCCTACACATGAATCTTGTAAAGTCCGTTTGCTCGGATCTGCCCACTCGACCCTCGGGATCCGTGATACTTCCCCACACAACAAGCTCAATCCGTGTGTACAGCAGTGTCAAGTGAACCCCGCAACTCATGCGTCAACAGCATCTGAGAGCAACCCTGGACCGGTTGCAGAGGCTTGGGATCCGAGGGGAGACGTGCATGCAGCTCTGGTCGACATTTGCCGCTGACTATATGTACCGCTCCTCTCGTGTCAAAAATTTCTCCCTGACTCGCATCCCCCTTCTCCCACCTTCCCTCCTTCCTCTCTCACATCTTGTCCTTCAGGGCAGCCGCTCCTTCCTGTATCCTCCCTCGACCTCGTATCATCACTTCGGGACAGTAGCTCATCACCAGTATCGACGTCAGTCACAGCACTTATTGCTCGATTCCGCGCACCTCCTCGTGACGCCAACCCCACAGCCTCACCCGATCTCATCCACCCCAATTTCAGCCGCTGTCAACTTCTTCTGCCTGGCAGCCCTTGCAGCCTGATACCAGCTATGACGAGTACAACATCGCCTGAGGCGGTCATCGCAGCCATGCGTGACATCGAACGAGCCTCGTCCTCGGAGGACGAGAAGCACTACGACAGCAAGCAGGGCGGCGTCGCTCCTCTGTACTCAAATGGCACTCCCGCCTCGGACCCCAGCTTGATCTACGATGCAGCACGCGAGAAGAAGCTCGTCCGCAAGATCGACTTGTACATCGTCCCCACGGTAGCTGTGCTGTACCTCATGGTAAGTCCCTCTCTCCTCGACCCGCATCGATTTCTGCAACGAGGCTGACTCGTGCATGCCATCTCCATCTTCTCGAATTCGTCTGGACGTCCAGTGCTTCGTCGACCGCGCCAACATCGGTAATGCTCGTATCGCCGGCTTTGAACGCGATGTGGGAATGAACCCACGATCGTACGACTTCAACATCCTCCTCACGGCCTTCTACGCTGCCTATGCTGCGTTCGAAATCCCTTCCACCACCTTGACCAAGATCATCGGTCCTGGACGATGGATCCCCATCATGGCGTTCCTCTTCGGCTTGCTCAGCTTGGCCAACGCCTTTGTGACCAACTTTGCCAGTGCCGTCGCTGTGCGATTCTTGCTTGGTGTGGCCGAGGCGGGTATGCTTCCCTCCATTGCTTACTACCTCAGTCGTTGGTACAAGAAGGACGAGCTGGTGTTCCGTCTCGGTCTCTACCTTGTTACCGCCCCTTCCGCCGGTGCTTTCGGTGGTCTGCTGGCTTCGGGTATCCTCAAGCTTCCCGAGATGGGCATGGTGAGGAGCTGGGAGAAGATCTTCTTGATCGAAGGTCTCATTACGATCATCGTGGCCATCATCGGCTACTTCACGCTCACCGACTCGATCTCCTCAGCTCGCTGGCTCTCGGAAGACGAGAAGAAGTTCCTGCAAGCCCGTCTCAAGTCGGAGCTCGTCGGTCAGAAGGATCTCATTGACAGGACGCACAAGAAGCTTCTCTGGAGGGGTATCACCTCGACCACCTCGCTTGCCTGCGCCTTCATGTTCCTGCTCGACAACATTGCTGTGCAGGGTACCGCCGTGTTCCTGCCTACTACCGTTCGTGGCATCTTCCCCGCACCCAGGTACACTGTGATCGACCAGCAGCTCTTGACGGTGCCTCCCAACATTGCGGGCGCTATCGCGACGTTGGCCTTCGCCTACGCTTCGGCCAAGTTCAAAATTCGCTCGGTCTTCACCATCGCCGGCTCGCTCGTCATGACGCTCGGATACGCCATGTTTGTCGGCTCGAACAACCTCTACGTTCGCTACGCCGCCTCGTTCTTTGCGACCTCGGGTGCCTTCACCCAGGGAGCGCTCCTGCCCGCCTACGCAGCTGTCAACGCTAACAACGACAGTGAGCGCGCCGGTGCCATCGCTGTCACGGTGTTCTTCGGCAACATCGGTGGTCTGATCAGTTGCTGGACCTACCTCAACCGCTACGCGCCCAACTTCTTGCCCGGCAACGGTCTCAACTTGGCCGGCGGTATCACCATGGCGCTGAGCGGTGTGCTCCTCGTCACTTGGCAGCGATGGGAGAACAAGCAGAGGGATGCTGGAAAGAGGGACCACAGGCTGGAGGGCTTGACCGAGGACGAGATCTACCTGCTCGGCTCGGACCACCCCCACTTCCGTCTGAGGTACTGAGCTGGATTCGGTCGAAGAGCATGTAATGGATATGCGAGGTGCTTCATCTGTGGTGTATTGTATGTATTGTTCACGGTAGATGTCATCAGAGCCTGTTCGCTGCGAGACTCGACTGAAGATGGCATCGATGAGCGTCCGCGAGGTTGTCGAGCTCAATGTGACTTGCGAGCCTGTTGGTGAGCTCGACTTGTTGTTCGTGATGTCGGTGGGGAAGCGCTGTGGCACAATCTGACATTTGGCGGATAAAGGCGAAATCTGCCCGATCTCGAGTTTCTTGTGACTTGAGAAGAAAGCTGCACCGCACGGAGCAGCGCCAAAACTCCACTTTGACAAGTCACATGAAACTCGACTGAGCACTCACTCTCCAAAAGGTAACGCGTCAGAGAGCTGATCGACCATCCTTCCCTCTCTTCCCACCAGCACCATCCGCCTTCCTAGTCAAGATGGCGTCCTCATGGGCTCATACGGGCATCGCGCCCCTCCTGGAGCGCATGAAGTCCCAAGACTCGGACTTCCGTTACATGGCCCTCAATGATCTCATCTCAGAGCTCTCGAAGGACAGCTATGCTCAGATGGACGACAGCACCGAAAACAACACCCTCCGTCAGGTGCTCGCCCTTATGAAGGATTCCAACACGGAAGTCAAGAACATGGCCGTGCGCTCCCTCGCTATTCTGGTGCCGCGGTCGCGCGAGAAGAACATGCAGCATGTCATTGACACCCTCATCGAATACATCTCGTCCAACAATGACGAGCTCAGAGACATCGCTGCGCTCGCACTCAAGACCGTCACCGCACAGATGCCCACCCGCTCTTCGTACGCCAGCACTGCACTCAACAAGCTGGCACCAAAACTGCTGAATCACATCGCAGACGCGGCTGCGTCACAAGAACTCCTCATCGATTCGCTCGACATCCTTGCAGAGCTCATCAACAAGTTTGCTGCCACTGTCACCACCACCGTTCAGCTCCAGAACTCGCTGCTCAAAAATGTCGTACCTGCCATGCGTCATCCCCGCCCAGCCGTTCGCAAGCGTTCGTTGACGGTGCTGGGTGCCTTGGGCTCGTGTGCTACCTCGGATGTCTTTACCCAGCTCTCCGTCCAGCTCAGCTCCGACCTTGCGCCCAAGAGCGCCGTCGAGACTCGAAAAACTGCTGCCCAGCTCATCGGGATCTTTGCGCGCACCTGTCCACGAAGACTCGGTCGTCGCCTGCCGGAATTCATGCCGGCTGTCATTCAGACTGCCAAACATGACAACGATGAGCTGCGAGAGACGTGCCTTCAATCGATCGAGCTCATCCTCCTCCGCTGTCCAGCTGAGGTTACACCGTTCGTCAATGCGTCTATCGACCTTGCCATCACACTCATCAAGCACGACCCTAACTATGCAGGCTTTGACGACGATGAGGAGATGCGCGACGCCGATGACGACTTTGGCGAAGACGACGAAGACGATGATCTGATCGACGACGATTACTCGGACGACGATGACATGTCGTGGAAGGTGCGAAGAGCGTCTGCCAAAGTGCTCAACGCTGCATTGACGAGTCGACCGGAGCTGTTGTCCCAGAACGTCAGCTCGGTAGCGCCTGTTCTAGTCGCTCGCTTCTCTGAGCGCGAAGAGAGCGTCCGCCTCGAGGTTCTTGACACCTTCCTCGCCTTGCTCAAGCAGATGCAGCTGTACGCCGGCGGTCCGCAAGCCACCGAAGTCATCGGCTCCAGTTCGGCGTCCTCCGCGAGTCAAGCTGCTGCCATCGCTGCTGCAGGTGTACTCAAGCGCAAGCGTAACGAGATGGATGCCGACGATACCGAAGACTCGCCACGCGGTCAGCTGTCCTCGCTGGTTCCGGCCATCGCCAAAGCGCTCGAACGCGAGATCGTGTCCAAGTCGATCCCCACACGCCACAAGAGCTTTGTCGTTCTGCGAGAACTGGTCATGGTGCTTCATGGCGGTCTAGAGGCCCACATCGGCTCGATCCTCGCAAGCACGGAGAAGGCCTTGAAGGGCGCAGAATCGGCTTCCTCTGGTGGATCCAATCTCAAGGCTGACGTCCTTGGATTCTTCCGTGTCCTCTTCCTCACCCACGCTCCAAAGAGCTTCGACGACCAGCTGCCCACGCTTGTGCCCATCTTGGCAGCATCCATCGAGGACAAGCTACACCGCAGCTGCATTGAAGCGTTCCTCACCTGTTCGCAACTCGTGTCGGTGCTTCGACCTCTCAGTGCGACTGCTGCGAGTCCGACCACCGCTCGTCCCGGCCAATACAAGCCGTACCTGCTGCAGATCTACTCTGCCGCTGTTTCTCGACTCAATCGGCTCGATTCCGATCAGGAGATCAAGGAACGTGGTATCGCTTGTCTTGGTGTCTTGCTTGCGCACGCCGGCGACGATCTCGCCGAGAAGCACGACGAGTGCTTTGAACTGCTCACGGCTCGTCTCACCAACGAGGTGACGCGCTTCGTCACCGTCAAAGTCATCGCTCAGATCGCCGCTTCGCCAGTCTGCTCGGGGCCTGCATTTGACGCCTTCCTGCAGAGCGCAATTGCCGAAGTCGCGACACTGCTCCGCAAGTCGAACCGCCAGCTTCGCCTCGCAGCCTTCGACTGTCTTGCGGCTGCCCTCTCTCGCTCTTCGACCAAGCTGAACACGGCTTCGTCCAACTCGATCCTGGCCGAGGTACAGCCGCTCGTCAACGCCGATATGGACATGAAACTCCTCCCGCACATCTTGCGCAGTGTCAACTTGATCCTGCTCAACGACCCAGCGACACGCGAGTCGGTTCGCGTCTCAGTACTTCCGCAGATCCACTCTGTGCTCAGGCTGCCGATTGCACAAGGACCTGCGATGGAGTCGCTGCTCGAGTTTTTGCGACTCTACGTCAGCGCTCAGCCAGAATCTGCACCCGAGACAGTTGAAGAGCTGCTAGCCGCGCTCGAGTCCGCCAAGGGCAGCGTCAGCGGCACTCACCTGTACTCGACCGTCTCGCGCTGCATCGGAGCAGTGTGCACCGTCTCGGAAGCAGCCAGCGGCAATGTGGCCGCCAAGGCGACAGCGACGCTGCAGAACGATGGCGGCAAGGATACGGAGGTCTACTTTGCGCTGCTCTTGCTCGGCGAGCTTGGGCGCTTCAACGACTTTTCGTCGCGTGCCGGTCTCCTCGACCGAGTTCTGCGCTTCTACGTCGCCGACTCGGAGGAGGTCAAGATGGCTGCTGCCTTCGCGGTGGGCAACATGACCGTCGGCGCGCTTCCAGTGTTCCTGCCGGCGATCCAAGAACGCATCAGCGCTCCCTCGGACGACAAGACTTCCAGTCTGCGCTTCCTGTCATTGCACGCGCTCAAGGAGCTCATCACGCACGGGTCCGCCGAGCAGCTCAGCGTCGTTGCTGAGCAAGTGTGGCCGGTATTGTTCGACGCATGCGAAACGAAAGAGGAAGGTGTACGTTCGATTGGTGCCGAGTGTCTGGCGCGTCTGACCCTCAGCGAGCCGACAAAGTTCCTTCCGCTCCTGCAGGAGCGCCTGCGCTCACCATCGATGTCCGTTCGCGCCACTGTGTTGGCCGCGATCCGCTTCACCCTCTCCACCGAGTCTTCCGCAGCATACGACGAGCTGCTCGCCCCCGTCCTGGTCGACTTCCTCACCCTCCTCTCGGACCCCGAACTCGAGGTGCGTCGAAATGCCACCTTCGCACTCAACTCTGCGGCGCACAACAAACCCTATCTCATCCGGGACCATCTTCCAACACTCCTCCCGCTGCTCTACTCCGAGACGCACGTCCGCGCCGAGCTGCTCCGCAAAGTGGCCATGGGCCCATTCCAGATCGTCACGGACGACGGGCTCGATTTGCGCAAGAACGCCTACGAAACGATGTATCAGCTGCTAGACAGCCTATGGTCGCGTCTACACCTGCCCGAGTACCTAGACCGCGTGATCGCCGGCCTATCGGATGCCGATGACGGCATAAAGACGCTATGCTATCTGATGGTGATCAAGCTTGTCGAGCTGCGATCGTCGGCGGTGCGGGCGGTGCTGGCTGGGCGGTTGGAGGAGCTCGCCGAGCCAGTGGGCGCTACGTTGAGGAGCAAGTTGAAGGAGACCGCGACCAAACAGGAGATTGAGAAGCAGGTGGAGCTGCAGCGGTTTATCTATAAGATGTTGGTGGTCGTCACGAGGGATTTGGAAGGGGTGGGGACGGGGACGCCCAAGTTTGCGGCGGTTGTGCAGGAGGCCAAGACGGGCGCTGGGGGTGCGACGACGAGCAATGGTAGTGGCACGGCGCAGGGTGCTCAGCCAGGGGCGCTGTGGAGAGAGGTCGAGGCGAGTTTGGGGGCGTCTTCGTGAGAAGTCGTTTGTCCTCAATCGCACACAATTGAACAAACGCACTTTCAAATGTGAACCTGGGTTGTGTGAACTGGACTGCTGATTCGCTACGTCGTTGTGACGGGCACATTTGCCAACCGGGGAAAAGCCTCCTTCGCACTGAGCACCAGCACCCCCCTCTCGTGCGCAATGTACCCTTTCACATACCCTTTGTATATCAGCGTCGCTAAAACCCATTCCAGCTCCTCCTTAGTGTATCGCAATCCAACCAACTCGGAGCTGGTGGCGGCGTGCAGCGTTGTCAGGGCAATTCTTGTCGGTTGGGTCGATGTCCCTGGCGCGGGGGGTAGGGAGAGGTAGGTGAGTTTGAGCAACGTTCTCAGCGTCGCATCCCTCGCGCGCTCTATTGCGATGTAGGTTCCGCGTTTGACGAGCCATCTTTCCGTCTGCGGGTGACGAAGGGCGGAATCGAAGCGTTTGACATCTCCTGTGCGAAGAGCCTCGATGAACGGCTTGTACACCTCGAGCTTCGACAACAGGGAGGGATGGGGTAGTTGACCTTTCAACAGCTTCACCGGCACAAGATAAACCAGTATCAACCCCACCTGCTCCTGTCCTCGTTTACACCCCCTCAACGCCCTCTCCAACTCGACCTCCCCTCGCTCATACTCTTCGTTCAAAAACGCCAGCACGCCCGTATAGTATCGAAAGGTCACCTGTTGACTCCTCGGAAAGTCCTCCAGTTCTGGCAGTGCCGCGGCGGAGATGGCGCGAAGAATGTTGCGACAGAGCGAAATGCTCTTCAGTCGAAAATACGTCTTAAACACCAACCCAACGATCTCATACGTTCCCCATTTGCGCGAGTCGACGAGCGAGGGGTTGCGATCGGCGATGCACGCGGTGAAGGCCTTGTTGAGCTGTCGGGCACACTCTTCCAACCTTCTGTTGGGTTGCGCTGCCGTTCGCACCGCCGGGTTTCCACTCGGGACGTCTGCCGCGGCGGAATCGGCCTGAACGGCCAACCAGCGCAGGTTGAGGCAGAGAATGCGCAATAGCGGCAATGCCCACCGCCCAGGGGTAAGAGTGGAGAAGAAACGCAAAAAGGCAGTGACGACAGAGTTGTACGCATCAAATGCCTCCCCCAACCTCTCCCCCCTCGTCCGACCCTCGGCATCCACCCCTCCCGCCGGCAGGGATGATGCGATGGAGAAGGAGTACAACGCAGACAGGTGGTGCGAACACATGTCTTCCCACGGACTCGCCAGGTAGCCGGTGCATTTGCGCAGCGCGGCGATGATGCGTGGTGGACGTGGGTCGGGCAGTTCGAGCAGGAGAGAGGCCGCGAGAGGTCCGCCGATGGCGAACAGCTGGGCGAGGGTGTGGCCGTCCGAGGTGGAGGCGGCGGTGATGACCGCATCGGCGAAGAGCGAGGGCTTCATTGTAGGGGCGAAAGGATGGTGAGGGGGAAGGGAGTGGATGGGGAAGAGGTTCTTCTCGTCGTACCCTCCACCAAAAATGACAGCTCGGATGTCGGGTTTTGGTGCTGTCGTGCTGGGTGGACCCTGAACAGCTTGGCTTGCCTTGGCACCTTGCTCCGCTCATTCGAGTCTTGTTCACCCATAGACGCTCACATCAGCACCATAGTCGCACACACGAGGGATAGTCAATCGTACAACCCTTGCCTAAGCATTGAACCATAAGCACATGCCCTCGCCCACCTCCATGAGGGGCGAGGGACAGAAATTTCGTACATGAAGGCCACTCGCACGCCTGCTTCGTGCTAGACCTTCCCCCATTTCCACTCGGTGACCATGCACACAGCTCCTCCCTCGCGCAATCCTTGCGTTGCGTCAGTAAAGGTAAGTACGAAAGCCGCTCTTCAGTCCAAATTCAGCAGCAGCAGAGTTGTCAACCGAGAAGGTCGTCGAGCACGAGCGACGAGATGGTTGTTGGGTAGTTTCGATACCTCGCGTAGCGGGCTAGGATCAGGACGCGAAAGATGACGCGGCAGGTGGTGCGCAGTCCGAGCAGTTGGGCGGGTGTGACTATCTCTCCCACTTCCTCTCTCTCTGGTGGTTGAGTGGGCGGATTGAGGAGGGAGGAGAACAGCCCGCCGAGCTTGCTATTCGCAGCGATGGCCACTTTGGTCGTGAGCGGTTCGACTTTGCCCTTGCTCTTGGTAGGCGTTCCTGGTGCAGCATGTCCCGCTAACCAGCCCATGAGACCCCACTTACCCTCCTTGGGTTGTACATCCGCGGTCGAACTCATCTGCTGCTGCTGATTTGGGACGAGCGTTTCGTACCTACCTTTCTCCTCGAGCTTTTTCGTCATCGCGGCGCGTCTCGCCTGTGTGCGCAGCCACCCCAGCAGGCGCTTTAAAAATTTGTCACCACGGCATACACCGCTCCTGTAAACCCAGCAAACACCAGCACGCCCGAGAGCAGCGCCGCGAGCCGATTCAGCAGCACGTACCGCTCGAGGTCCTTCCAGCCTTGCTTGCTCGCCATGGCGGTCTGGTAGCCTAGCATCGGGCTCGCCTTGGCTGCGTCGGGGCTGAACTCTCCAGGGTAGCCGGCGAAGAGTCGACTCCTCCGCGCCGGCTCCTCTTCCATCAACGGCGTCATGTTCCCACGCCAAACACCGCCAAAGCTCGCCGGCGGCTCCTGGACAACCCGCACGGGCGAGGCGTAGAAACTCACTTCGGGGTTGCTATCGAGCAGCGCGCCGAAGCTGCGCGTCTTGCTCTTGCGCACCCGGCTCGGCGGCGGTCGGCTGGGGTCGGTGCTTGTCGACTGCGCCGTTCCGGTCGTGCCGGTGGAGAGGTACGAGTGGGAAGGCATGCCCGGTAGACCCCAGCTCTCCTGAGTTGAGGCGAAGGTGGTAGACCCAAAGTTGGGAGGAGGCATGGAGGGTTCGTGCTGCCAAACGTCGGTTTTGGGCGAATCGGAGGAGGGATGACGAAGTTGACCGTCAGGGGTGAGGTACCAGCCTCCGATCATCCATAGCCACGGCATGCCTAGGAAGCCCGCCCAGAACATGTTTTTGCTCGGCGTGGCGCTGTCGAGCAGCGAGGCGGGGGTGGCGAATAGCCCGTGGCCGGCGGCGTGCGCTGCTGCTCGACGCTTCGATCGACTGCGGTGCTCGGTTTGCGGAGCCTGGCCATGCGAGTGGTAGGGCAGATGCACACTGCTTGATACACCATGGCGCGGACGAGTAAAGATGGAGACCGTCGGCTGGTCGTCCGGATGATCCTGCTCGTAGTGGTGGTGGTAGTCGTCATCGGCGAACCGGGCGGTGCGGGTCCGACGATGCAAACGCGTCTCCTTCTTTTCGGGACTGATGCCAAAGTCGTTCAGCTCGGTAGTGGGCTGGGTCGCATCGTGGAAGTCGACCCCTTCGGCGTAGTATCCAGCGTCGTGCTCGCCAGCGTACGCCCAGCCTTCGGCCATATCCGGCACGGGAGTGTGGAACGTCTCTGCGGCGTCTTCGGCGTACTCGGCCTGGTTGAACGCCATACCTTGGCTTGCGAGACGGCGCATCTCATCGCGCGCGCGGTCGAGCTCGGACAGAGTGAGCCCATGGTCCGCAGCAGAAGGAGCGGGGCGGGCCGCCGTCGCGCTGCCGGCCAGCATGAGGGGGATGTGGTTGACCGTCGACGCTCCTGCAGGCTGACGAGCTTCGAACGCCATACGAGGCGTGAAGCCAGCCGGGCTGTTTGCGTCCATAGGCGAGCGCATTGCGTCAAACCAAGCATGCTCGGGTGCACCAGTGATATCCTCGCCCTGCTCGGGAACGGGCAGCGTCGTCATCCGCTCCTTACCACCAAACACGCCCATCGACATCCTCTTCCTGTTCATACTCGCGACTCTTGAAAAGCCACCGTGACGCACCGCCGCGGCATCCTGCGGCTCCTCGCGACTCTCGTCGTGCACGTACGGCAGCCTCGACTCGACCACGGCGGGCGTAGAAGTGATGTACCCAATCCCCGAGTTCCTCTTCTTCTGCCTCTCCATGGCGCTCATCCGTCTGAGCTTCTTGAGTGCATCCACGCGTTCCTTCTCCCGCTCTTCCGCGGATGCGCCGGAGCGGTCCATGCTCTCTTCCGCGGTGTCGACGACTTTATCCTCATCGAGCGGGGGCGGGATGCGTGGTGACCCGGCGAGCAGCCGCAGCGCTACAGCACGGGCATCCTTCTCCGCCACCTCGTCCTCTTCTCCCGGTGTTGGGGAGCGGAACCGCTCGCGGGCCTGGAATCGGCCGCTGCTCTGACGCTTTTCCACCAGCGAGAGCGGGCGGAAGGTGCGCGACGGAACACGATCCCGGCTGCTACTGCTGCTGTTGGCCTGCTCGAGGTCAATAGAGCGATCCCCCGAGGCTTGGCGGGGGGACGCAACGGCCGTCCAGAGCTTGCTCACCCACGGAGCGGCGGCAGGTCTTGCGCCCTCGATCTTGACGGCCTCAGGCACAGGGGCAGCGTCGTTCAGATCGACACTGACAAATTTGCTCTCTGGGTTGAGTAGGCTTTCTCGACTGCGATGTGCGGCGATCGTTTTCGGCTTGACCCCGGGCCGGCTACCATCAGCGGGCGCAGGCGTGGCGTTGTACGTGAAGGCAGAGATGGTCGATGCGACGCTCTGCGATGGGTGGAGCACTTGGGCGCGATTGACGGTGACCTCGGCGGGCGTGTTCGGATCGGGACCGAGAGCCTTGGCGGCTGGACCGCGGGTGAGGAGCACCTCTTTGGACTTGCTCCGTTTGCGATGAAGCTTCGCCTCGGGAGACATTTGGATCGCCAGGTGCGGCGAGGGCGCATCCGGCTCTTGCTGACGCATGGAAACGCGTGAGGCCTGACGTAGGAGGTCGGTGGTTATCGGTGCAAAGCCGTGCTGCTTAGCCTCGACTTGCGAAGCAGGGAAGTTAAGGTCGAGACCGAGACCGATCACCTTCTCCTGCTCGTTGTCGTTCTGCGTAGTGGGAGGAGGCAGCTGGAAGTTCAACAGCAACGGGGATTGGGCCCATGGCCCCGTCGTGCCACTGCGATTGCGCGTCATCGGCAGGTTCATCTTGGAAGCTGTCTCCAGCTCGTTGTGCGTGTTTGCGCGCTCCATCAGACTGGGCTGACCTGCGACGAACCCAAACGGATCCGATCGCTCCTCCGGCGTCGACGCGGTCGAGATGACCATCGTGTGGCGCTTGACGTGCTCGTCGTCCGTGCTTTCGGTGTCCTGTCTTTCTCTTGTCTCTTTGTCTTCGGCAGGTGCGATGTGGCTCGCGCGGATGCTCAGTCGTACGGCCTGCTGGTTGGCCTCCAACAATCGCGCGTGAGACGCCAACTCCTCATGCTGCGCCATGGCCTTCCTCGAACGCTGCGTCCGAATCCACTGTTCCGTATCGCGCTCGCCCCGCTCGTCGGCCTCCTGCAACGTCGCCCCTGCTCCGCCGAGCGACATGGCAGGGTGCACCACCTTCTCCGTCGGCAGCGGCACCTCGCTGGGTGGTCGCGTGAAGGTCGTCTTTGCGCTATCCGGAAAAGCGGGCGTGAAGGGCGTCAAGGGGCTCATCGACGGTGTGGACCGATCGGACATGCTCCACGTCATGCCCGTCGACGCGGTCGACGCGAGCGTGTTGCTGAATGCCATGGGTTGCGAGCTCGCGCCGCTCGACGAAGTCGTCCAGTTTCCGAAGATCGCCTCGTAGCGCTGAAGAGGCGGAAGTGGCGGCGCCGCATCGTCAGACGCCCATCGACGGTCGTGCACGCTCCGGCTGCTCGTCGTCATGGGCAAACCGTCCGAGGCGGCGGTGCGGAAGCTGTCCAGGCTGCTGCGCTGCGTCGACCGCGGCACCGTCGTCGCATCGTTGGCGGTGTTGTACGCCGACGACTGGGTGGGGAACGACGGGCTGACGGCGAGCGGCGACGGGAGGGGTTCGGTGGGTGGTGGAAACGGAGGAGGCCCAAGCGAGGCGAGCGATGCAGAGGCGCGGAAGGAGCGATTGGAATGGGAGCGTGCGCGCTTGGCCACGGGTGTCGCGCTTAATGGTGTGGTAGCCGTGGGCGTGCGCCGAAGCGCCTCGTTGCTCGTCGAGGTCGATGCTGTTCGACGCACTTCTCGCCCTGGAGTCGTCTCGGGAATGCGATTGATCGAGGCGCCTCGACGAGTAGCGCTGAGCGGTGTGACGGGCAGCGCGGGAGGTGCACCGAAGTCACCCATGAACGCCGCCGAAGTGGAAGCACCAGGTGTGACGGGGGAGAAGGCGCTTTGTCCGACTTGCTGGCTCGGTGGTCGCACACTCGGCTGAGGCGGTCGCGCTCGCTGGGAAGATTGCGGCGTCAAGGTGAGCGGTGCCGGCGGCGCCTTCCTCCGCTTGTCCCACGTCGCATTAGCTTGCATGCTGCGTACTACACTGCTGTTCGTGGACGACGAAAGTGAGCCCGAAGACGACGATGACGTGACAGCTGGCATGAGCGAGCTGCCTACTGTGGCAGTGTGGTTCCCTGGAGCTTGGAGCGACTCCGGCGTGTCATCTGGTGAAAACTGGCTCGTCAACATCCCCGTCTCTCTCGAGCTATCAAAGGCGGTTCCGCTCGAGTCCTGCTGCTCCGACGACGACGACCGGTCGAATCTGGAAATGTAATCGAACGAGAGGTCGAGGTCGACATCGCCATCATCGGACGCTACTGCGGGGCGCTTGTTGGCGTAAATCGGATCAAAGTCGGCCGACCCGACGAGGGTGAGTGGTCGCCCGCCGAAGGATGTGCGCGCAAGATCGGCGGAGAAATGGTACACTTTGCGAGACTCGTCGTCCTTGAAGGAGACGCTGTCGGTGCGTGTGGAAGGTGGTTCTGCAAAGGCGGACGTGTCCGGGCTGGGCGTGTTGGCGAGCCAGAGACCTGCGCCGGATCCGCTGTGGCTGTGTGGCGAACGATGGGCGGTGGTGAGCGTGGAGGGCTTGCGCGTGATGGAGGGGCCCTCGAGACCTGCGGTGGAGGTCGAGGCGCTCGTCATGGTGTCGATTGCCGTCACTGAGTGCTGTAATCCAGGGATGTGTTGTTGGATGCTTATGCCGTTCTGGCCGTATGGTTCTGCTAGACGAGCTGGCTGCCTGCTTCAGCTTGAGTGATTGAGCATGGTGGCTAGACAGAGTAGTGGTGGTTTCAATCACGTGCAGTCACTACGTCTCTGGCGTTGTTTTGATCGTCCCAGCGTGCGTTTGCTGCAGCGAAATGAAGCTGCGAGACGATCTATTCAATGAAAGTGGGTCGTATGTATTAGATGAAGCAACGCCGATCACGAAAGCACTCGTGACGACCTGATCAAATGCGTGGTGTTGGTGAAGTCGGAGGTGGTATCGGCAATGGAGGATGTAGGATAGCGATGTCGAGGATGGTGTTGGTGGTAGCAACTTTGGCGACGACGTCAACGACGAAACGATGAGCAAGTCGAATGCACGGCCAGGGCGGTAGCGAGGGCGGGTACGGCGCTCAGCTTAGGCGAGATGGATGCTAGAACCTCACTGATGTCGCAGCCTTGGCTTGGGTTGGGCGTGTTCAGGGTTGAGCGAGGGCGGTAGAGTAGGTGTCTCAGATGGGTCGAACCGGGGCAAAAAGTCGAAAGCACAGAGCGAGGGGGGAGCAGCTGCTGCTTGACGAGGACTGCGAGGGGACCAATGTTTTGGATCAGCAAAAGAGGGGCAGATCTGCGGCAGTTGCGGCTGGTCGGAGAACCAAAGGGATCGTCGAGGGGCATAAGAATTCATTCCTCCCCCCGTTCTACAGAGTCGGTCTCCATTGTGACAGCGGTAAGGTCAGGTTGCTCGTGCAGCTCTTCATGAGCGGAGCAGCAAAGAGTTGCTCTCTTGGTGTGTCACCCAAAGGCACGTTTCGATGACCAAGCTAATGTAGGCGAGGCGAGGCATGCAGGTAGCAAATGAATGATGCAGCGTTGCGCAGACGGCGCAGACGAGAGGCAGGGCCATGTAGCTCGGGGAGACTCGAGCCTGAGGCTGATCTTGAGGAGCAGCGCAGAGAGATGGTTGACCTGTCAATCTTGACTCTAAAGAATTTCCAAGCCACCGACGCGCAGCAGCCACGCGTCTTTTAAATAGTCAAAACAACACAACAACACCGCTCTCCCTTCTGTCCAACCCTGTTTTGCAGCTCCGCCTCGGCGATGGAGTCTGTTTGAGCCTTTTCCCCCTCTCTAGCTTGACTCATCCCCGTCGACATTCCGGTTACCAACAGCCGGCATTACTTCTTGCTTGCCGTAAGAGCTAGGTGCGAGCGAGCTAGACGTTCCGGTCAGTTGAGTTTCAACCCAGTGGCTCTGGTACCGTGGCTGGCGCAGCACAGTCGGACTGTGGCTGCAATGATCTGCGTTCTTTGCAGAAGCGTGCATCGCAAGCCTCTTTTCAGCTTCATGCGCCGCAATTTTAATTAGATGTTAGAGTCTCTTGCTGCCCATCATGATTATCTAATCCACTTTCTTCTCGCCAGGGTCTTCTCGGACGCATTGACCTTGATCATTCCTTTCTCCTCGACTTCTATCCGCCCAACTCATCTGGAGTAGCGCACAGCTCCAAGACGGCTTCAACAATGGCATCGCGACCACCCGCTACGAGTGGCAGCAGCGCCAATGCCAACGCCGCTTCTTCCAGCACCGCCAATGCCAACCCATCCTCCTCCAAAACCTCCACCGCATCCTCCCAGCAACCGCAGATCTCGCTCCTCGGCACCTTACCCATCCACCTCCTCCCCTCGCTCCTCCGTCGCATCGAGTCGGCACTCCTCACTCTCCCGCCGACCTTGCTATGCGAGCGAGAGACTGTGCTTTCACGGCACGACGACGAAACATCTGCCGTTCGCGAGACCGGGGACAATGCGTGGGCAAGCGTAGTCAAGGCGCGTCGTGGCGTGAAACTGCGAGTTCGCGAAACGGCCATTCCCTCTCGCTCCTCTATAGAGTGCACTTTGCATTTGCCATTACCGAGTCTACCGGAGCGACAGTATCCGAGAGCGTCGGTGCGGCCGAGCTACACCGTACAAGTGCTCTCCGATAGCCCCCTTGCACAGGAGCTTCCTTCCGACCCCTTTGCGACGAGCGATGGAGGGGGCGTGGATCCGACAGCGCTGGATACCGATCCAGTGAATGGGTGGAAGAGCTTCGTCTCATCCATCGGCTGGCGTCCCCACTTTTCGTTCTTGCGCCACGGACTAACGTACGCACTCAACGAAAATCTCACTCGGGTCTCCAGCACAGCAACGACCAACCCGTTCAACCCCGCACAGGGGACCAAACATAGCTTGAACGTGTATCGCATATTTACGCCCGATCCAACGGGGTATACGGACGACTGGGTGCCGTTGGATCCCGAAGGGGCGACCGTGGTGGTTGAGCTGGTGGCGACGGTGGGGGCCCAGTTGGATCAGAGCCATTTTAATCCCTACTGCGCGCCCGCCGAGCTGCCCGGTCAGTCCGGGGGCTTGGATGCCAACTCGACCATTGAGAGCGCGATCGAGTTTGCGGATGGCGTGGCTAGGGCGCTGCGCGGCTTGGTAGATCTCAGAAGGGAGGCGTACGATTGATCACATCCGGCCTTTGTATTTGTACACATTGTAAGCAGTGCTTTCATTGCGAGGGTCGATTGAGCGTGGTGCTGAGTCCCTGAGTGGTGGTGTCCTCTTCTCTGTGCTGCACCATTTTAACACCGCACAAAGGCACCAAGCTGGGCCGACCATGCGCGCACTGGAACGGAAACCTGCACTCGCCCAGACGCCTCACCAGCCGCTCGCTCGCCTCCCTGCTCAGCGCATCATTGAACATGATGGCACTGCGACAGGCTGTGCTCTTGATGACATTCATCAGCGAGCCAGGCATAAATCGCGACAATGTCAGCCAGTCCAAATGCTTCGCAATCGCGTCAGCCCACGACGCGGCCTCGTCCAAGCATTCAGCAAAGGTCCTCTCCAGCAATCCCATATCCTTGATGCTGCCCCGTTCGGTCAACGCTTTATCCTTGAGAACATAAGGTACACCGCCGAGATCAACCTGCGCATGTCCAAGCTTGGAATGGATGAGAAAGGCGTCCTTGATCGACCAGCCCATCCTCGCCAGGCCGGTGGTAATGGCGGAACTGCCTTTGATGAGCGCTTGCTGCTCGGTGGTGATCGTCAGAGTCAGGCTCGAAGGGAGTGGGTGGGCAGCGGTGCCAGCGATGCAGTCGGCGATATACTTGTCCAGCAGCCGTTCAAGGCGGTATCGCTCATCTGCAGCGTGCTGATCGACGCAAAACATGATCATGCCTGTCCCAGGCACCGTCGACGCAGTGCAGCAGAGAATGAACTTGCTGTCCATCTGATCGATTACGTTGGCCTGTTGCAGCGCTGAACGCGTGATGGCGAGCTCGAGAGTGGTTGTCCCTGATAAGGTGGCGTTTTCATGCTTCTCTACCACGTCGCGTGGTCGGGCACAAGTCTGCATTAGAGAAGAGCCGGGGCAGCTAGAGTCAAAGGAGAGATTCTGAACATCCGGAGGCGCTCTCGAGGTCGGCGATGGAATGGCAGCTAGGGCAGCGTCAAGGACCGGATCGTCAAATTCGTCGACACTGCCTGCATCGTCGAAGACTGCTGCCTTCCGAAGAGTACTTGTCCCCAGATCGAGCTTTCTCAAAGACGGGCGCCTCACAGGGGAAAATGCTGTGAGCACCGTTGTCGAAGCGCTACCACTGTCCGCCGCTGATCGACCACCAATGGCGACGCTATGACCTGTACGCAGATCGATGTGGAACAGCCGCCCGTTGACCGGATGTCGCCATTCCGTCATTCCTAGTGGTACCGCAGCCGCCGGTCCGTATGACTCTAATGCCAAAGAGGCTGTGGCAGGCCGCGATCTGGGCAGCGTCGTCACGCCTCGTTCAGGTATGCCTTCGCCGACAGTGCTCGGTCTGGACGGCCGCTGTCGCTTCCGCCATGGCTGTGGATCGGGTTCTGGAGTTCGGTGGATCGACCTCATTCCCACGCTTCAAGATGAAGGGTGGCGGTCAGATCGTTGAGAGGGCGTGCCGTTTTGAGGTCGACAGGATGACCATCATGGTGAATTCAGCTCAGACAAAGCAGCCGATCCGCAACCAGCCTATCGACTTGACAGCAGTAGCGCATCCATGGCTTCCGTCATGGCTGAAACATGGTCCGAGGCAGCAAGACAGAGAAGGTCAGCGTAGTAAGCCGGGTCGGCCAAAAGCATCGAGCAACTGGCAGAAGCGAGCCTTTGGTTAGAAGCAGAGGTGAGCGCGCGCAGGTCTAACTTTAGCCAGCGAAGCGCTCCGAGATCTGCGCAATTTTTTGCGATGTTACACCGAAACCTGACCAGTCATTTCCGCAATTGCTTTGACGCGCAGGGTCCTGATGCAGAGTCACGTGCGATCGCCAGTCAATTAGCGCACTGCTACGCGGTGGGGCTTATCCGCGTCACAGCGCCTTCATCGTGTCAACCTACCCATCTCGTCTCGACATAATACGCCAGCACTTGCCATCTCGTCTTGAACTTCGTTCGAGAGAGGATTAGGAGGAGCAGACAAGCTGGCAACAGCCGGCTTGTGGCGATGACTCAGCAGTGTTTGAGGTGAATCGAGGCGCGGGGCAAAAACAGCCTCGATCCGCGTGCGTGAATTTCAGCTGAGCGCACAACAAGCGCGACTGCACCTGCCCGAGACTCGATCGGCCTCCTGCTCATCCTGACCAAATCTCGGCGCGTCTCCTCGTCAACAGATCATCATCGAAGAGCATCAAGCTCCATGATCCAAACACAAACACACAGGGATAGAGAAGAGAAGGACGTAACCATTAATACAAGAAACAAAAGAGGGAAATCGGACCGGTCGCGTCCAGGCCGGATCGCGTGAGGGCGATCGCATCCATGATTCCTCTCCGAAGAGAAGGAGCACAGAAGGCAGGTGGAATGGACGGTACGAGTGGCAGACATGACAAAGAAACAAAGAGAGCCAATGTTGTACAAAAGGTGTGGAAACTGGCGAGAGCCAGAGACCAGACTAACGGGAGAGCAACATCGCGTATGGCAGTGCCAATGCAGCGATGAGGAACAGAGTACAGTGCTAGAGACCGCAACGAGGCAGTCAGAAGCCGACAAGAAAAGGTATCGAGGGACAAGAGCAGCTACGATCGCGAGGGATCACGTCGCGAGCAGCTTATGCCTTCTTGGCAGCGGCCTTCTTGGCGGCAGGCTTAGAGGCCTTAGGTTGGGTGGGAGCAAGAGGTTTGCGAGCAGCAGCGTCAGCCTAAATGATCATGGAACGAGACAGGGGCAGGGGAGATGATCAGCATCGGAGCGCTGGCTACGTCACTGGTCGATACCGATTCGACAGCGTCGAACTAGCACAGCTACTGTGTAGAATCATCGCCGACGAAAGGCAACGATCATGACAAGACAGGCGACTCCGACGCTGAAGAAAGGGCTGAGAGGGGACTTACCTTCTTGGCAGCAGGCTTCTTGGCCTTGGTGGCCGTTGACGAGGCAACCTTCTTGGCGGCGGGCTTCTTGGCAGCGGTCTGTGGGGGATGAGGACGGAGGAGAGATGGTCAGCGCTTGAATGATGACGATGAGGAAGGGGTGGACGACGACGAAGACGATGGGAGGGATCGCAGGTGGTCATGCGCGGCAACGTTGGTGAAGCCACCACACGCGCTGAGGCCAGCCTCGAAAATCGTGATTATTTTCGCCTCCCATCCATCCGCCTCGATCCGGCATCGATGATGATGGTGACAACATACCTTCTTAGCAGCGGGCTTCTTGGCAGCGGGCTTCTTGGCGGCGACCTTCTTGGCGGCAGCAGGCTTCTTGGCCGCAGCGGGCTTCTTCTCGACCTTAGCCTTGGGGGCAAGCTTGACCTTGCCGGAGGGGCCCTTGGGGAGGACGAACGCCTTCTTCTCGGCACCACGGGTGATGGCCTGGTTGACGCGGGTGTTGAAGCTGGCCTCGGAGCCCTTGGCGGTCTCGGGGTGGTGAGACTGGATGTACTTCTTGATGGTAGCACGGCCGATACCGCCACGGGACTCGGCGGGGTGGGCAAGGATGGCCTCCTTGATCATGGCCTATGGGAACGAAACGCGACGCGACGGACACGATGACGATGGCGAGCAGCGATGAGCAGACGAGAACAAGAGAATCAGTACGTTGTTACAGGCTGGGTGATCGACTGAGCCATCCCAAGTGAGGCACGCGCCAGCATGCATTTTTCGCCATGGTCGGATCCCAGACGCGCGTCGACCGTCCATCCGCGCGAAATAGGCAGATGGCCAACGGATCGTGACGACCAGGATGGAGCCAAGCACGAGGGCGCGTGTATGCGTGCTCTGTATGCTGTGGATTTCGACACCATCACGAGTGAATGGGCATTGGTGATGGACTTACCTCGTAGGAGACGCTGGAGGCAGCGGCCTTCTTGGTGGCGGCCTTCTTGGCGGTGGGCTTGGCGGCGGCAGACATTGTTGCTGTGGGTGTGGTTGACGACGGTGTCGAAGGGTGTTGGTGAAGAGTGTTGGTGGTGGTGAGCAAAGACAAAAGTCTTGACGATGATGTGCAGAGTAGAGATGGTGGTGGGAGAGAGGAAAGAGGGGGGAGAGAGGAGAGGGAGGGGAAAAAGGAAGCGAGGGCACGGGTGGGAGGGCTTTTGGGGGGGACGCGCTGAGTCGTGCTTCGGTATCCCAGAAAATTGCGTCTTGCTTGCTCATTCTCTTGCATTCAGGGTCGGGCAGATGCAAGCCAACGGGCAGTGGAATGACCGGCTCGAGCGGCAAGAAGCAGGGCCATGCAGACTCACTCTGTACACTGCTGATTGAACAGCGGGCGGGGAGGTAAACCGAACTGAGACTGAGACCGAAGCAACAACCGGCGCGTCGAGCTGCTCGGATTGGGAAAAGCGATAAAAACAGGGCCGCTTGCACGCTGCGATATTTCCATAATCTGGGTGCCATTTTCTCGCTCATCGCTCCATGCCCTCCTCCTCCTCCTC